CTCAAATGGTTTGCTTCCATTACTATGAGTTTACATGGGATAGAAAGGATAGAATGGGATAATTCACAGTGGCCAGGGAGCATGGCTGGGTGGTGGCTGACTAGGTAGGTGTGGCTGGGTAGGCGTGGCCAGCCATGCCCACCCAGCCACACCCACCTGGTCACTGAGTCATCAGATCCTAGAAAGGAAGAGCAAGGCTTTAAGCAAAGAACAGGACTTTGAAGAGCTCTGAAAAGAGACAGATGGAATTGAAGGCCAGACTAGACCATCTTGACTAAAAGCAGCTGTCTGAAGCTGAGAGATTATGTACAATTAGTTTACACAAGACACTAGGAACCTTTATCAGATTATGCCCCCCCCCCATACACATACAAATAATAAATGAATCTGTGTACTTTCCTTCCCATAAATAAAGCTGATAAATTCTCGGGGGTTGAAGTTGGACAAGTAATATCCAACTTTCTAAAAGAAGTGTAACTTTCATCACATTTTCTTGACTGAGGCTTAACATTTCATTTACCTCCCAGTTTAGGCTAATATCATAAAATAGTGGCTAAAAATACTGAACTTCACTAGCATGTACATTTGTTCACGAAACATTCAAAGGCAGATTATGCTACTTTATCACAATGCAGGTTCTGGTCATTACTTAGCAATTGGTGCATGGAGCTTGATACCCCAGAGGATATGGCTTTTAATACACAATCATACCATTTTATAGTTTGGATGGATCTATGATTGATTGGTAAGGAGAAAGATGATAAATAATGACAGATGATGGATGGATGGATGGATAGATAGATAGATAGATAGATAGACAGACAGACAGACAGACAGACATAGATCATAGAGAGATAAGAGAGAATGAGATGATAAAGAGTTTTGACAAGTGGTTAAACCTACCGGCTCTCTTCTAATCCTCTCTCAAAACTTCCTCCAGGTTTTGCTCTACTTTGTGCAAATCACTGCAAGTTGCCCAAGCAAAGTTGGCCTGAGTACTCATTTTGCCTATTAAAAAAAAACTTCCCTGGAGAATGGTTGTGACCTGCAGTTTGAGAAGCCATGCACAAAGTTATAATGTGGTTTGTCTAGTTTTAGCTTAACTGGGAAAGGTATTCTAGGAGCTGAAAGATGATAGAGGTCCATTTCATACAACATATTAAAGTATACAGCACTGTTTGGTTTCAGTTTAGCATGTTGGTGAACTAAACCACAACTATGGTGGTTTTTAAATGGCTTCTGGCTCATAGCTTGATGGTTTAACTCTTTCCCCCCCTGGGAAATCTCTTGCGTTTGAAAGGTCTGCTAGCCAATGTTGCAAATAATTACTCCAGTGGCATTTTGCCTTGGTGCAGATTTGATAATGATGCCCTCAGAATCAGGTGGAGACAGATAGTAGTTGGCATAAAAGCTTGCTTATTTATTTCTGTTGTTAGATGTTAAGTGCTTGACTCAAAATTACTCTGGGTGACTCACATTATCAAACAGAAATAAAGAAGAACACAATAAACTATAAATAACCGAAATGGAACTCAGAACATTTGCAAAAACTTATCCGACAAGACTAAACATGTCTTCAAGGCCTTCTGGAATGGCATTAGGCAGAGAGCCACACAGATCTCAAAGGATATCTTATTCCAGAGGGTAGATTCTTGAACCAGCAGGGGTGTGTGTCTTTCTGGGGTTATATCAAAACAGCTTCCTTCGCTCTATTTGATTCTTCTTCAGAGTCCTCCATTTCATCTTGCAACTTTGAGTTGGGCCAAATTTTAAATGGCTTGTACTCCATCTCATTTCCATTCCTATTTTACTCAACAGTCCTCAAGGGCAAAAAGAATAAATATCAAAAGTATGACCCATAAAAATACCCCACAGAGCTAAGTGGCAAATAACAATGAGAGAGTAAGCTTGGTATAGTGATTAAGCATCAGGGTAGTAACCAGGAGACTGTGAGTTTTAGTCCCACCTTAGGCACAAAGCTAGTTGGGTAATTAGGCCAATCACTTTCTCCCAGTCCCAAGAAGAAGGCAATGGCAAGCAATTTCTGAAAAACCTTGGCAAGAAAATTGCAAGGACTTATCCAGGAAATCTCAAAGCAGACATAAATGAATAGAAGACAAAAATCTAATTATGTATCTTCCCAATAACTATAAGACTTAATTGCAAATCTGGAAGGCCAGAAGAACATGGTGTGTGAAATCTACAGCCTTGCTACTGATACTATCACTCTATAGCAGGGATGGGCAACTATGGCAACTTTATGGCCTATAGACTTCAACTCTCAGAATTCCTGAGGCAGCAGAGTGGCTTGGGAATTCTGGGAGTTGAACTCTGAGAGTTGAAGTTCATAGGTTGAATTATGGGAGTTGAAGTCCATAGGTCATAAGTTGCCATTGTTGTCCACCTTTGGTAAGAGTTTTTCTTTTTAAAAACAAGAACAGGGACTGGAAAGGCACAACATTTCAGTTATTCAGTTAGTAAAAACACCTAAAACTCTAGTGGGAGATTTTTGTGCCATACATCTTGTCACCTATGAGACCCAATTTATCTGCTATCTCCTAAATGAATGTTCCTTTCCCATTTTTGATGGTACTCTGCCTTAACCTGTCTTTTGACATCTGCTATTTGCACCTTTCCCAGATGTTTTCTATTAAGGAATTAGCGATGGTGTTAGGATTACAGAAGAGGTAGCCTGAGCATCACCACTCAACTGTAACATTTATTAACAGAAAGAAATAATTTTTGAAATAAATAAGTGGTTCTTGCCCATATCTAATGACACCTGCTGGTTGTACTAATTGGCACAAACATTAACTTTACAAAAAGCAAAATTTTACCAATATAAAAATCAGAGTTAGGATTGGACCAAGGGGAAAATAGAAACTGCAACCAGAAAATGCCTTTTTATACATCAGTACAAAGTCTCCTTCTAGCCAGTTTAGAAACCCATCCATGTCTTAAACGTCTTAACCCTGCTTATCTTCTGAACTCAAATAAGGTCAGCCAGCTGCTTCTGTTTGTAGACAACAGGCTCAACGAAAGTTATATAGAAGACTTTGTAGGCTGTAAAGTCTCACTTAGTGCTAATAAAGGCACGATCCAACAATTGCTAATATTTTTATCAACTTAAGAATGTACACATTTATTTTTATTTATTGAAATTGGAAACCACCCATCTCCCTTGTAGAAAAACTCTGGGCAGCGTACAAATCAAATATGATGATATAAAACAGCGCATAGAAGTTAAAATTTAAAAAGTTGCAACCCGATTCAAGTGTGTCAGATGTCATGTGAAGAATCTGTCCCACTGGCTCGTCACACTGTATGTGTATTTTAATATAACACAGGCTAGTTAAGGCAGGTAAGTGGTTGACTTTCTTTTTTCTCTGCCTCGAGACTTTCCACAGCTATTTATAAAAAACAAACAAATGGCAAAGCTGAACACAGGAGTGAACAAATGGAATGTGTTAGGTCCCTTTCTCCATTCAGTGTTGATTTTGTATTCTTGAAGATATTCCAAAATACTTCAAGGGAGAGTGCTTTAAAAAAAAAAGGCAGTTTGCTGATACATGCCAAGGCTCTTAAATTATTAGTTTTTAGGAAATGATCTCACTATTTGCTTTACCCAACTGACAATACAACATGATTAATGTAGAATGCCACTTTAAAGAAGCTTCTGTGGACCTTTCATGTATTATTTTGAATAGTAGTAAATAAGGCTACTTGCTTTTTTTTTAGTTCAATTCAGCTACTGTCATTTCAAGTTAAAGAGAGCAATTTGTAACAGAAGAATAAGCTAGCTGAATACTGATGCCCAATCAGCAATTCTGAGATCTAATGCTACAGTAGAGAGAATTGCATATTGGTGAACATGGAATCCGGAGTTTAATGAAACCATGGAAACCAGGAACAGATTGATTACCCTGTCCATTGTCCTAAACTGCTGTTCAGATTCCATGCTCACATTTAGTTGATCTGGAAAAAAAATGCATTAACTTATGATAATTGGGACCAGAACTTTTTGTTGCTAAGTGATGTGGTTCTTAAATGAGTCATCATGTGACCGTGCCCAATTTTGTAACCTTTTTTGCTGTGCTCTTTTAGTGAACCATGCATTAATTAAACAAATCCAGTTTCTCCCAAGGACTTTGCTTGTCAGAAGCTGGTTGGGAAGGACACAAATGGTGATCATGTGACCGCAGGACCTTGTAACCATTGTAAATACATGCCGGTTGCCAAACACCCAAATTGTGAACATGTGACAGTGAGGATGCTGGAATGATTATAAGTGCAAGGACTTAAGTCACTGTTTCCAGCACCAGGGCTAACTCACCATGGCCAACTTGCCATAGCCAACTCACCATGGCCAACTCGCCACGGCTAATTCATCAAGGCCAACTTATCACAGCCAGCTCGCTGCGGGACAACTCACCATGACCAATTCGCCACAGGACAACTCGCCACAGGACAATTTAACTATTCAATTTCATTATTTAAAATAAATAAAAAAAATATTTAAATTTTTGTCATTCACATTTCAATCTCTCCCTCTTTTTTCATCCTTTCTTTAATGATTCAATTCCACCATTTCTTTGATATTAATGTAACTTTTGTCCCACAGTGAGTTGTCCCACCATGAGTTGGCCATAGTGAGTTGTCCCACAGCGAGTTGGCTGTGGCAAGTTGGCCATGGTGAGTTGGCCACGACGAATTGTCATAGACTCTTCCAGCACTGTTACAACTTCAAATAGTTGCTAAATGAATGTCTTAAGTCAAGAACTACCTGCACCAAACAAGAGTACCAGTGTCAGGTCCATACATACAGCAAAGTAAGGTCTAGCACTGCTATGTACATATAGCTTCTTACTGCTAATGAACATATGTTGCTTAGAGTAGATGACATTTGTCAAAGTCTTATTCTACTGTCTTCTTTTTCAAATATGGAGTTTGGAAGATTAAAGAGGATAGTGCCACCGTATTTGAATAAAAAAACCAGACAATGATTTTTCGTACTAAAATAATATTTTATTTCATTTAAAAAAATGTATATACTGCTTTTAGATCTTAAAGTATAAAAGTGCCAAAATATTTAGTTGCCCTCAAAGACTTGGACATTTGACAACACTATATACATATACACAGGTATGTAACAGAAAAAAATATTTTTACCAAATATTCAGAAATATGCGATTATCAAGAAGCACTTCATATTTCTAAAATTATAATAAATCTACTACTAGTTTTATAATAATAATAATAATAGTAGTAGTAGTAGTAGTAATAGTAACTCAATGTATATGAAGGCCAGCACCAGCTAAAGAACTGGTAACTGTGAGTTCACATTGTTATGTACATAAAACTGTTATGTATATAATAACGTAGCTATAACAGTACGAAAAAATGTAATTAAGATGGGCTCTCCATTGTTATCAAATCCTATTTCCCCAAGTTTATTAAACTTGTTTTTTTATCCTTTTTGATAAAATAAAACCTCAGGTTCTATGATATAATTGCTTAACAGGCCCATTGCAATGCTACCTGTCAAGCATTTAAGATTGTTGATTTCATGCAACAAATTGGAATTGTACATATTCATAATTTACCTGTTAAACTAAATCAGATTTTACTTGAGCTAAATCTTGTTTGATTAAACTTTGTTACTGTTGATATTTGCACTCCCCGGAAAATCTGTCTATATAATTTGAATGTCATCTATGATTAAGTTAAATGCTTTTTATAATAATTCTGGACATTTTCATAGGACTGCTGTGATCAAAAATCCACAAAGTAGTCTTCACAGATATTCAAACATACAAAGAGGGAAGACAGTGCAACATCTGTTAACTGGCCTTTATATCTTTGGAGAAAATGCAGGAATATTTTCTTTGAAGGTACAAATATTAAACTGAAAAAAATCCCAGCAATCTGCCCTCTTGCAACCAATGGCCATTTTGACTCATATGTAGTGATTGCTGGTCATGTTATTGACAAAATGTGGCCATCAGGAATTGTGAGAAGAGCTTCCTACATGGCACACCAGCCAGTATCTTCCTTCATTTGATTCTGTTGCCGAAGGATTGCTTGTTTTTATAAGACTATTCTTCTTAAGAGTTCTGCATGGGCAGTTCATACTTTCTTATACTAGAATTCTTGAAAGAATCTCTGAAATGAATAACAATTATAAAATAATTTTAAAATGTGAAAATGGAAATGTGTGAAGAGAGAGATTTTAAAAAGACAATCAAAGAATATTCAAACTAATGGTATGAATGGCTCAAGAGCAGAAATAAGGAACAACACAAATAGAGGAGAAGATAAAATGTAAAATATGTACGTAATAAATATATATATATATATATATATATATCTTAGGTAATTGTTTTAAGGGGGAAAAAGTTAAGCATTTATGGGTTTTTCAGGCATCTGAAACAAATATATAGAAATGTATAAAATTAAGGCTATTAGGATTAGAAAATACACTGTAATCAATCAATCAAAAGAGGACAATGAAGAAAATGAAACAATATGAGAGACATGGGGGGGGGAAGTCACAGTGGAAAGCAGACTATGAAGAAACATTTGTTAAAAAGAGGATATATTTATATGTTGTATGTGATGTGTTTGTCATAATGTGTAGTAATAAAACAATAAAACTTTAAAAAAAAGAATATTCAGACTGCATATAAAGTCTTTCTTCCTTGGTGTCAGTAGATGGAGAAAAAATATGCTATTCCCTTGAAGCAGAATTAATATATTTCTGAGAAGTACTTATTATTTAATATACACCTTGTTTTAATATTATATGACTGATTACATAGCTATATATTACTGTAACGTATTTATATAGTGCACCAGCTTATATAGAAAGAACTGGAAGAAAAGACATGATCTATTCAAATATTGAATACTATGTTCATATAATGTAACATTTAAATGGCTAGAGTATAAAATTTATATCCTCAAAATCCAGAGGATTTTGCCTCTATAGAAATGTAAAAATAGAAACACAAACCAGGCAAAAAATTAATTTGGAGAAAACAACAATAGGTTTTGGCTTTTTGCATTTTTTAATCTAGGCTAATTCTTTAAAAGCACAACTTCTTTTCAATTTAGAAATAGTTGAATTATATTGGCTATATCCCAAAGATACATTTTGGCTTGGATGGAGACAGGATATATTCTCCGTGTAGCAATTGTAACTTAAATCAGGAACAGGTTAGTTTCTTTTCTGCATAAGGATTATTTCAGTTTATTGGGCAAATCTAATTTTATTAAGATACTATAAAACAATTCTGATGACTTGATCCTGACCGGATGCTCCTCACTCTCGTGTAACACATTTTTTATGCACTCAGCATCTGAAATACAGTATAGTTTTAATACCTTGAAATACTGTTAAATTTCACAAGAGGTTTATATAGCTCTGGGATTTTCCTCCTAATCATTGGTCTGAGGCTGTTCTCCAATTTCTCATAGTTCTTTTTCAGTTCCTTATGATATTCTTTTTGCTCAGGGGTAATCAGGTGCCGGTTTTTTTCCAGTGCTTCTCCACACCTGTTGCCCAAATAATGGAAAAAAACATTACATGGGTTACACTTAAGCCATGTGTAGTAATAACAAACCCTTGGCCAGGATATGTATATTAGTGACCTCATTCTGAAAAAGTAGGATGGGGAAAAGATGAATATTAAGAAGTAACCTACTTCTTATGTCACAATCAGAGGCAATCTCATTATTAGTTTTCCTTCTATAAATGTAGAAATATGATTTATCAATGATTATTCCATAATGCAGTGGAGATCCTGTGACTTTTTACATGTTAGCTGTATGGTCTCCCACCTTTTCTGTAGAAGCTTAAGGCCACCAATATGGGGTTATTTCTTCATTTCATCTCCATAACAATAAGCCTAGGAGGTTCATTGGATTGAATGATTAGCCCTCATTAGGAAACCCTCTCACACCCAGATCTGCTAGTACAGACCAACTCAGGGTAATTACAAGATTAACTAATTTTTCTGTCCTATTTACTTACCTCATTATAAACTCTTTGAAACATAATCTCAGCTTGTTGTGATGTCGGTAAAATTTTGGATCATCTGGAATCTCCGCCAGAAACACTTGGGCTACCTCTAGTGGTCCCTTATTAAAATAACATTTTACTGTATTAGGGAAGTACATTTTGTTATCTATAGAAATATTAGCATGTAACACCCAGTAGAAGAACAAAAATTGGGCAATGAACTTTAAGGGAATTCCAGGTGCAATAGAATGGGCCAAAATAAAAAGAAAGTCAGCATCAGGAATCTACTTAATGGTAGCAAAATTGTAAAACTGATAACCTAGATCAGAAAGTGAATGCCAATAGATTATACAGCTGGTAGATCCTCAGGAATCATTGGGTGATGTCAGCAACAATGAAAAACCTACGTTTATTTCCAGAATGGGTATGTGCACACATAGTTATGACATTTTCGTCGTTGTTTTCCCAATATGCCAGTATGGCTGAACAAAAAAAATAGTACTCTGCAAAGTATAGGTATGTTATTATTTATCCTTATGTACCTGGTTAACAGTAGCTCCTACAGAACCTTGAAGGACCATCTGAAGCATTTTGGCATCTGGAGGCACTTGGTTGGTGGCAACTGCTAGCTCAAGGGTTTTCTTTTGCATGTCTTCAATTGCTACTTCAATTGGCATCAACACATACTGAAATCAAAGATAGCCCATTCATAAAGAAAATACAGACATTAATAAAATAAAAGTCTGGAAGACAAGCATAGGGCTACAGAGTGGGGAAGGTCATCATATCACACATGTACACTGGAGTCGGGGGGGGCGTTCCCCCAAGAATTCGAGAGATTTACTTTGTGTTATCTCTAATACCTTTTTAAGGACTTGACTACAATATCTTGTCTGCAAAGCATCAAAGTTACTTAGTAAATGGCAATAGTGAGCCAGCATTTTTTATATTTCTCTTTTGCTATTTAGGGATCCTAGACTGCGTTTTTGCAGTCTAGGTATTGTAGCCTCTACACCATGAAGTTAAAAGAGTTTGTAGTTTTAATAGTTTTTACTGGTCTTAAATTGACTGAAAATTGTACCTTCAGCAATTGTGATCAGAGATAACTCCAAAAGTAGAGAAAAGGTGACTGAAAAGCCTAATACTGCCCTGAAGCTACAGATTCACTGCTCCTCCTTAAGATACATGCATTACCTCCTCCTTTTGAATTACGTTGATTCTAGTTTTGATGTAAGGAAAAGCATGCATTGTGGTCAAAATGGTCTTCCTCTTATATTGTTCACTCAGCTCTCCTCGTGGACGTCCATCCTGAGTAAAAGGGGTGGTGTACATAAATCGTCGAAGATCAAAGTTTTTCTCAAAGGGGGTTACTCTGTCTTTCATCTCATAGTCATCAAAGTATGGTTCCACAAAAGTAATTTGTATATAGGCCTGGGGAGAAGGTAAAGTAGGTAAGTCTTATATGTTAATTATTACTATGATTCATCACACAGTCAGCTAGATATTTAGACTGGATTTGAGATTTTTATCTATCTTTGAACTCCTTCCCAAGGATCTGAGACAGGCAGATGTTGTTATTTGATGCTGCTGAAGGTATTGTCACAGGATGTATTTATTATTATTTGGGGTCTTCACCTCAGTATTGCCTCCTGATTACTGCCTGGAGTTGTCCTTGCTTATTTTTTAGCAAGGTTTTTCAGAAATAGTTTGCCCTTGTCTGCTTCCTAGGCAGAGAGAGAGAGAGAAAGAACGATGGCCCAAGATAACTCACTTGGCTTCATGCCCAAGTTGGGACTACAACTCACAGTCTCCTGATTTCCAATGCAATGCCTTAACAAGTAGGGCCTTGTAGGTTAATTATTATCAAGCCTAAGCTAAAGAGAGTCACACATGGAAAAGAGAAGGTATTTGTTGTACTTGTTCTGGATCCTATTCTTATTTAGTTGACATTCATTAGCAATCCAGCCCCCACCATGCAAGACTGGATCTTGAAGACCACTTGCAAGACTGAACTCCAGTGTCTTTCTGCCATACGATCCTGGAATGTTCACCACAGACATCTGGATCCTGCAAGACTATGCTGGTGCCTTCCCAGACTCTGCTCCCTTTTCATTTGGACAAACTTGTTGTCTTAATTTAGGTTCAGACTTTAGGAGCTTTTAACGGCAAAATAAAAGATTTTTAACTGTAAAGTTAGAAGTAGTGTTACCATACCTTTCTGGGATCTAACTTCTTCTTTTCGACAGGAATAGAGTCTTTGATCACAACAATGCGATCTTCTCCAAAGCATTGACCATAAAATCCCTGAGAAGGAAACAAACTCATGAGTATAGGTAATACGTACACACACGTCTACGAAATAAGTCACGTGATAAGATGAAGTGCAATTTAAGGTGCTATTTTTGACTTTTAAAGTCCTACATGACATGGGGTCAGACTATTTGAGGGACCACCACTCTCCGATTACATGAACACATCCCATCATATCCAATAGAGAGGCAGGATGATATCTAGGAGATGAACCTTTTCTGCTGTAGCATTTCTCCTCTGGAAGTTCAGAGAGCCGTGGTGGCACAATAGTTAGAATGCAATATTGCAGTCTACTTCTGCTGACTGCCAGCTGCCAGCAGTTCAACAGTTCGATTCTCACCGGGTCAAGGTTGACTCAACCTTTCATCCTTCAGAGATTGGTAAAATGAGGGACAATATGCTGACACCTAGAGAGGGCTGTAAAGCATTATGAAGCAGTATATAAATCTGTGCTGTTGCTATTGCTATTCATCCCCCTGAAGTGATGCTAGCCCCAATCCTTATGGCTTTCTGAAAAGTTCTCAAACATGCTTTTTTCATCAGGGTGGGGAGTCTGTGGAAACAAGGTGATCATTCATTGGCTGCACCACATATAATATGCCGATTTTAACCCCCTTGTGGTCTTGTACTTATTTATGTTTAATTATTTAAGTGTTTAGGTGGTTTGACAATAGGTTTAAAAGAAGAAAAAAAAAGGCTACCCAAGCTATAATGAGAACCAACATACTCAAAGCATTAAAAGGACAAAAGATTAAATGCATCCAAGGAGTTGGTGTGGTGGACTACAGTATATCCAGGAAATAGCAGAGTACATTTTATTGCATTATGATTAGACACCTGCATGTCTAATCATGCTCCTGATTATGGCCAAAGGCTCACCCATCACATTCCATGCATTTAGCAAGTGAGTTTGGCGACAATTTTTCTTGGAAAGCAACCCCTCATGCCTCCTGAGCCATAGCCAGCATCTCACAAATCTTATCAAAGGTCTCAACTCATGCAAAGTAATTACACAAGTGAAAAGTCCTCATTCTACCCTAGTGAGTCAATTATTAGTTCACAATAATATGAACAAAAACTGCTGCCAATATCACAGCAAGATCTCTTCCCACCTTGAGCAATACTTCTTCATTGGTTTGTGGAGAGAGAAGAAAAAAAGCAAAACTGTTGTTCTAATGCTCAGGTTGCAGCTTCTAAAGGTCACCCAATCTATCCAATGAATTCAAGCTCCTTGTCATCTTATATTTTGTCATCATGTATTGTATGACAGGTGTTGGAATACAGTGTTCATGTATTTTGTACAACTACAGCAGTATTCTGTAGAGATATACATTTTTCAACCAGTAGATGGCAGTGTTCATAAGTTTGTAGTTGTATCTATGGTATACTCTACTCTATGTCTTCTCTCTGAATAAAGTTTCCTGTTTCCTGTCCCAGTTAAGCAGAAAAGCACATGTGGACTGTGCACTGTTTGCTCTGTAGGTCTATATATAGAATTTCTAAGAATAGGATAGCAGGATTCTCCTTAAAAAGCCTTAGCTTTGGCCCTTATACTATCCTGGAATATATTCAGCCTCAGAACAAGTCAATTATTTATGATAGGAAAATGTTTTTTTATAGAAGGAAAGAATTAGAAAAACTAGCTGTGCAGATTTTTTAAAATAGTGGTTCATCCTAACATATGGGTCTTTTATATTGTTTAATTATATTTTAAGATGCAAGTAATACCTTATATTATTTGTGTAGAATGGTATTTATACAGTATAAACTAGAGATTATTAACAGCATGATATTTAGCTAACTCGAACTTTTAGGAGAAGGGGGAAAAGTTTATATGAATATCAACTGTGGTTTCTAAAATGTTACTATTGATTAACATAAAGTTGCTAAAATTGTACATACAAAGCTAAGTGTAGCAAAGTATATTATTGTGTTATATGTTTCTATTTTAAGCTTAATAATACTAAAATCTCCATTGTGTTACTTGTTTATGCATAGTAGAAAAAACAAAAACAAAATGAAAAGAAAAAAAAGAAAAAGAAAGGGAAAAATACAACTCCTAAATGTAGGTAGTTTCTGACTTCCCCCTTTATACCACTCATTTGTGTTATTTATAAACCTTTAGGGCACATTAAAAACCACAGTGTGTTTATTTTTGCCTTGCTGTCTGATATACAGAGGTAGGGAAACCATTCTTCAAATTTGGCTAAACTTCTGTTGTGAAATTAGGCTGTTAATTTTGCCATTGCTGCATATTGTCCAAGTATAAGTTTTCAGGGACTTCCTAACAAATTGAACTCTTTTCTTAGCAGTGATCTAAATCATCCACTTTCTCTTTTCATACTATCCATCTCCATCTGCTTGTCAGTCACTGGGGCTCTTAGTACACCATTTTTCTCACCTCCTATCACTCAAGCGTCCTCTCATTCTTCTGCTACAAATCTCTGAAAAGGTCAGAATTCCTCTGCAGAATCACAATCAAGCAGGCACAACCATTGGGAGGACAATAACTCTGTCAAGCTAATTTGTAAATCCTAAATCCTAGAGCACTGCAATGTTTTGTTAAAGTGCTTGGTTTTCTCATATAAAGCGATCCTCATTCTCACATTTCAAACACACATTTCTGCCATTCACTAATTATAAGTTTTTAACTTTCATTTCAAATCCTGAAGCCCTGAACAAAATCCATGAGGTTTTATTGGTTTTGTTTCAGTTCCTTTATTGTCATGAGGTAAAGGAGTAAAGGAGTAAAGGGGTAAAGGAATGAGGACTTAATCATCTGATATAAAAAGTTAATGTATCCAGTTTCCCTTGAAAGCTCACTAATTTTACGGGAAATTTTTCATATTAAAAAAAAAAACCATTGTATCCTCTCTTTGATGTCCCCATTTTTTTTCATTGCATCCTGAGCTTTTCTACTGCTATAGTTCCCCTTATTTATATGACCACTCCTTATTTAAATGACAAATGGTAACTAGAGGTAACTAGAAAGCAATGGAAACTGTAAGATTAAACGCTTTCCAATTTATAAAGATCTTTTAATGTTTAAGTTGAGCTAAACTCCTGGGTTCAAAATAATACTTAGTGAAATAAAATCTCCAGATCTGCATGGATTATAAATCCCAGAATACCAGAAGGCATTGTAGGGGCTGCTGTCCCATTACAATTGGGGGGCATGACATTGGGTAAGATTAGTTTAGGAGACTATAAACAAAATTATTCCTTTACCATATTTCCATTCAGTTTATACAACTGTATCTTTCTGAATACTCTTTTGCTACATTTTTTTTATTACAGGTATAACTACCTACCTCCAATCGGTGAGATATCTCAGGAAGTTTGGTTATGGCAGGCTCTTTATAAACAAATTCCTGTTCATCCAGATCTCCAAAGATGGCTCCATAAAAACCAACACGGAAATAGGTCCCAAACATTCTCTTTTGACCCTGATTGATGATTACAAAATCACAGAAATAAACCTGTCTTTTTGCAGCAGTTTTCCAAAGAGCAGTTGTATTTTACTTTTACATGTATCCTAGAAGAACTGACTAAATCAGGGGTCTCCAAACTTGGCAATTTTAAGACTTGTAGACTTCGACTCCCAGAATTCCCCACAGCTAGCTGAGGAATTCTGAGAGGTAAAGTCCACAACTTTTAAAGTTGCAAATATGGAGAGTTTTCTGTGTGAAAATCATTTCCTAGAATTTTATTGAAGGTGAATTTGGCTATTCTGCTCCCAATCACACCACTATCAACATTAGCTACTTGTTTTATTACCTGATCAAAAATGTGTCTGTCTGTATCTCAATCAATCAACCCAAAATTTGGAGCAATTTACATAAAGAATTACCTAGTTTGCAAAAAAAAATGTATGTCTCTTAGTTGAATGTAAATATTTACAGAGCATTTATAACCTTACAAAGCTTTTTAGCTACTTGGGGAAAACATTGAAGTGGAATCCTATGCTAATAGAAATAGCATAGCAGACAGGTATTTATTGAATAGCACATCCTCATTAAAGTGAAATTTTAAGCAGGGGGAAAAAAGGGTTGTACAGGTAATCCTCAATTTATGGCCACAACTGAAACTAAATATTCTGTTGCTAAATGAGACAGTTGTTAAGTGACTTTTGCCCCTTTTTATGACCTTGCTTGCCACAATTGTTAAGTGAATCACTGTAGTTGTTAAGAGAGTAACACAGTTTTTAAATGAATCCGGCTTCCCCATTGACTTTGCTTATCAGAAAGTCACAAAAGGTGATCACATGGCCCTGGGACACTGCAACCATCATAAATATGAGCCAGGTGGCAAACATCCAAATTTTGATCACATGACCATTGGGATGTTGCTACGGTCATAAGTGTGAAAAACAGTCACTCTTTTTAGTGCCGTTGGAACTTTGAATGGTCACTAAATGAATGATTGTAAGTCAAGAACTACCTGTATTGCAAATATCCTTATCTTCCTAATCAATATACAAATACTGTAGCCCAACAACAGAAAAAGTACCTTATTTATTATGCTCTCAAAAGCCTTTTGGAGTTTACTGTGAACAGAAGAAAGCTTCCTAAAGTCTCGATTTGTTTCCAAAATGGGGATGACAATCTTGTAGACCTCATTGACAATTTCATACAATCCTCCCTTGTGGAAAGAAGAAACATTTTTTTAAAGACTTTCAGTCATCCATCAGAAAATTACCACATTTAGAGCATCATGCCTGACTAAGAAATGTTTGCTCTGTTGTACATTATTTTCCCCAGTGAAGCCACAGTGACAAGGCTCACATGCTCACAAACCTTGCGTTTTTACACCATGCCAAACAAAACCAAGCAAAGTGCACCTCTGCTTAATGCACTATATAAATCAGATCACTGCTAATGTGTAAAGTCTCATTAAGGCTGTTCTCAATTCAGACAAAATTGATATTGGATTTGCTACAGTTTGATCTAAAAGGATACACCGTGGAATATGAATGGTGACTATATTACTTTACTACAAAGTGGTATTGAAATGAAATTGTCCTCCCAAGTGACTGAACCAGGGGTGTCCAACCTTGGTAATTTTAAGATTTGTGGATTTCAATTCCCAGAATTTCCCAGCCAGCCATGCTGGCTGAGGAATACTGACAGTCAAAGTCCACAAGTCTTAAAGTTGCCAAGGTTGGACACCCCTGGACTAAACAAAGAAAGAAATATACTTAAAATTTACAGAGCTTCATGTTCACTTCTTTAAACAAAGAAGCCAATCAAAGCCTTTTTATATACCATGAATGCAACAGCGCCCTCATGTATCCACCCACTTTAGGTTTTAAGCCATTTATGTTTTTAATCAAGCAATGCAAATAAGCAGAACATATATATTTTAAATTAAACAATGCCATTTATTAGGAAGTATTTCTTCTCTGTTGCAGTATCATTGCTCTAAAATAGCATCCCCCTGGAAATGCATACGGCTCCCTCTCCACAACTGTTCTACAAGTCTTTGAAAAGCTGGATTGGCTCTCAGGCCTGGCGTTAAGATGGCTGTCAAGCCTCAGTTAGTTTTCTTTTGATGCATTGGATGTTCTGGATGTGCATGACTTTTACTTTCATTTTATTGATCCTACTTTGATGTAAGCTGCCTAGAGTTGCAGCAGCCTGTAAATCCAATTAAAGACATATATAAATAACTAAAATAAATAAAAGATGGTGTACTGCTTCTCACAGTGTTAAAAAACTCAGCAGCATTTTCCAGCAGTCCCACCAACCCGTGCTCTGAGAAATATCTTCCCGAGCAAACTCCATCTTCATCTGGAGACAGAATATGATCTGAAATAGCAGACTCTTCTAGGACATTGGAGGAAATATTCTGAAAAGGAGAACAAGAAGTTAGAGAACGGACAACTCTAGATATTGTATTCTATTGGAAATCTTTCTTTATTCCTTTTACTTTTTGTTTTATATTGTTAAAATATAATCTGGCAAAAAGAAAAAGAAAAAAAACCCCAAAATTTACCGACAAATATTCAATTTTTTTCTTCATCTCTCATAACTCAAGCAGTAATATATCTGGATGCTCATTTTCAGTTTGTATAGTAAAACATAGTTTGCCCACCAACAGTCTTATTTCCGAAATAAATCATTGATTTTAACTGAACTTTGTATTAAGGAGAGGAATTTTTGCAGTTAAATATCCTATTTATAATGATTTGCTTATTAATTCATCTGCTATATAACATGCTATAGTTTCAGAATTTCATTTGAAAACATATACATAGAAAAACATGTTTAATAAGATTGGCATGTGCCAGTTTTAAAGTATTCAGGGTGGCTTCGAAACTGAAGAACATGTTTCACTGCATAAGGAACACTACAACACACTAAAAAGAAGACTGAACTTAAGGTAAGAATGGAAAGCAATGAACACAAGAGAGTTTAGGTTTGTCAAACTTGGAACATGTGGGCCTTGGATGTGCATATTTATATTCTCAATAACTTCAGATTTGGACAAGGGACCATATCTCTGCCCAGAGCTCTATATCCCTATAATAAATAAGAAGAAGATAGGGTAAATAGGGTAATCTTTTTTACAAATATCTGTGTAGTGCTTTCTCTTCACAAGTCCACTGCTTCGGTAGCATGCTTCTCCTGATTTGCATTCTGCTTTGTTAAGATTCACTCTTAACAAAGAGTGAATAAGTTAGGACTCACTCTAACTTTTTTTTTTCTGTTCAGTCGTGTCCAGTTCTCAGAGACTGCCTGGACAAATCCTTTCAGTTTTCTTGGCAAGGTTTTTCAGAAATGTTTGCCTCCTTCCTAGCGCCAAGAGGAAGTGACTGATCCAATGTCACCCAACTGGCTTCTAATCTAAGGCAGGACTAAAATTTATGGCCTCCTGATTTCTAGCCCGATGCCTTAACCATTACAGCAAACTGGCTCCCTACTCTAAATTAGGTAACTTTTAAATTGATACCTTGCCTATTTTGGTGTGGCATAGAGCTACGTACTAGGATGGAACAATAAGCTTTTGGATTTCTAAACTAATTATACTTAATTTGTAGTTTTCAGTGTGCAGATATGTTGCATACATAGAAAGAATTTAAATCTTACAAGCTTCTTATCTGCCTAGAAAGATTCATGCAGTACCAATAATGAGAAGTAGGCTCTGGTTCTCCCTGCTTTATTTCTGTAATTTGCTTTGACTACTGGTTTTTATCCTGTCACCCTTGCTAAGCTTCAGTGAATGTACTTAGCATTTGTGGGATCAATCTAGCTTAACCCAGGACATTACCTTGGTTACCCAGAAAAAGACTTGCATGAAATGGAGTAATTTGCTCCTACCTGGAAAGTGACACTTCCAACTGGCAGATAGCTATGGTCCTCTAACATGCTCAAATATTCTGCCACAAGTGCAGCAGCATGAATGAGGCACATGGCAGCCTCTGTGTAGCATTTCTTCTTGGTGTGCTTCTCTGCCATGTTCTGAAGCCAGGTAAGCCTTAAGTCAGGTGAAGTCTGATACCCTTTGGCAATTCTAAGAAAATAACGTGATAAAAAAATGTTTTGTTTGGCTTTTGATTGAATGATGAACAATATCATGTTATTAGATCTTGAAGCATAGCATCTGGCTTGAAAATGGAAAGTAACTAGAAAATAATATTCCATAGAATTTCTCAATCAATCTTTTACTACTAACATTATCCCAGAACTGCATCATAAACATCTCTTTCCTTAGGTTCTGTAACACATTTCTAATGAGCCCTTATATAGAGTTTTTTTAATGACACATTTATCAATAGGCTAAATTCCAAAGGTAATTTTAATGAGCTTTTTACCATGTTGCTAAAAAAGAATAATCCTCAAATTATCAGATAATCCTCAAATTAGGATCATAAGTGAACCTGCCCATCACCGTCATGGGGTGAGGATTGTAAATTGGGTCACCCTGATTTTACAACCTTTTATTGTGGTGATCATTAAGTGAATGCCAGGGTTGTTAAGCACACCCATGTTGTGCTATGGGTTGCTTTTGCTGAGAAATGGAAGTAAAGTCCAGCTTTTAACAAAATCATTCTAAAACCTGGTCAGGTGACCATGGGATGCTGCAAATTACTGTAAATGAAGCCTGGTTGTTGAGCACCTGAAGTGTAGTCACATGAATATGGGGGAGGGGCATTCAAATCTGGGTCATTAGTACCCCAGGTAGGTCAATTATAATTTTTATGAGAAACTATGCTATAGAATCAATTTATTTTTGTCGAATATATATACCGGTAAAAAGAATTTAAAAACTTAATAAAATCCTAGATTAAAAACTTAATAATAAAGAACCCTCTTCTCCAAGGAGGATGCAATAACCCCTTCAGAAAAATAGATATTCAATACAAGACATCAAAAGTCTCTAAACTAGAATCTAAACTGTAAGTGATCTGAATGTTAGAAAAATGCTAGAGTTTTCAACCTGTACATAAGATCCATAAGCATCTCTGGGTCTTCTTGAAACTGTCGCATTTTTACTGTGTCTGATAATATGCAATTCAGATTGTGCAACAATTCTTCCACCTAAATAAATTTAAACAAATTTTCAGTTTTCCCCCCACAGATTCCAAAAAACAATCACTAATAAGGAAATGGAACCCCCCCTCCCCCCGTTTTTCAACACCACCCAACACAATTGGGATCATATAATATAACTTCTAAAATATTACATTTCTTTCTTATTATATCATGTAGCAATGTTCCTCGAGGCACTGCAAAGTGAGCACAATTAGCAGTGTTTCACTTCCAGATCAAAGTAATCTTATTTGAATTAGAATATATCATCATAACCAATCAGGATAGGAATTCATCCTTTGCCTGAGGACTCAGCTTTTGTATTCTTGCTTTTTGACAAACTGGGAATCAGATCAAGAATATTTCCATTAGCAACAGTTTCCTACTTCCTCCAACCTGCTAAAATAGTACTGATAGATTGGGGGTGGGGGAGTCAAGATTATTACATGATAGACTGTTTCTAAAACATTAAGGCTTTTCGGTTTTGTTTGCTGGCTCACATAAGCCAAGAACAAAAGGAGACAGGGACAAAAGATATATTTATTAAGTTGATACATTACTGTTTTATTCCTCTGGCTCTTTTAAATGTCATTCATGTCAGGCATCAATGGCACTATTTTTTGGACCTTCATGCCAACCGTTCCTTAACTAAATACTTATGGTTTCCTCTTTTGCCACCATTTTTTATTACCAATTACTTCATCCTCCCTCTAGGGCAAGGGTTTCCCAGATTTAACAATTCTAAGACATCTGGATTTCAACTCCCAAAATTTCCCAGCCAGCCATGGAAGAATTCTGGGAGGTGAAGTCCACAAAGTTGCCGAGGTTGGACACCCCTGCTCTAGGGTAATTTGCAAAGCACAGTTTTGTAGAGTTTTTGTAGAGATTAGATGCTTCTTCCTTGCTTTAAGCAATAACAAGAAAAAAGAGCACTCTAGGAACTAGCAATAAATAATCCCACAGTATTTTCCCTGAAGCTTTTCTAAAAATTATTGGCGAGATTAGATATAGCTTTGATTGCTGAAGTAAGTGCCTTTGCTGCTGTTTTTACCTATGAGTAAGCAATACGGGTTTTGCCCAATAAATTTACCTAAATATGGAAGACGTAAATTAATGCAAAAGAATTAAAGGTCACAAAATACCTTACCTGTCCTGGGAGCAAAGTTGATTGCATTTCTAAATCTTCCTCTGCATATGCCAAAATGGTCCGTAATGACCTTCTGAGATATTCTTCATTAAATTCTGAAGTCTTACCAACCAGAGATGCCAGGGACATTGTCACTTGCATTTTCACTCTTGCGAAGTTCTTTTATAAAAGAGAAAAAAAAACCCAAATTATTGATTATGCAAACCAGGTGCACAGATTTTTTTCATTAGTAGAAAGTTCCTGTGCATGAGATTTAAAACATTCACAACTTTCTAGTTTCTATACATAGAATTTCTTAGAATTTCCTCTTGAGTGAATGAGACAGAATCCTTATTTCTGAGACAGTCCTATTGAACACAACAACAGAATCAAACTTTATGGAAGTTATGCTTTATTTATTTTGCATAATGGCATTTCCTTAAATTATTCTAAGTTCAAGTTGAAATAATGAGGTTGAGATACAATTAAATATTGAAATGTATGATATTCAAAAATCCAACTTATGCTGTTATTTCTTTCTATTCTAGTTGTACATTTGAAATTAAGTAATCGTTGATAGTTTACAAGATTATTTTAAATACACCATCATTCTAAATTCTGAATTTCATAGTTACAACACTGATCGGTGTAAAAATAATTATTAAAAATATGATCTTCATCCTACCCACTACCAATTTTCCCAAATCCCCCAAAGCAATGCATGGAATACAGACAGGCCTTTTCCAACTGAAAGTGAATCCCTTTGCAAATAGCGAATAATAACATCTGGTGCATGGACCATATAAAAAGAACTGAAGAAGGAAAAATAGATGTTAATTATCCTATAAAACATAAGGAAAGTGGAATTTATTTATTTATTTATTTATTTATTTATTTATTTATTTATTTATTTATTATTTATTGATAAATTTTAAACTATGGGCCAAATTTAATTATTTTAAATCTATTTTTAATCGTATTTATGTATAAATGTTTTTATTTTGGCTGTTCACCGCCCTGAGTCCGAAAGGAGAAAGGCGGTATAGAAATTCGAATAATAAATAAATAAATAAATAAATAAACACAAACTGTGATTCAGGCCATGACTAGAAGAAAGAACATCATCTCTATTCTTACACTGCTGGAGCTGAAGCTGTATCTCATCAAGAAGTAAAGGGTGGCGCAAGCTTGAACGCGAGTAGTGTCAATACTGCTACTGCAGTGCTGCAGAACTTTCTGGCACAGATCAGCACATTGCTCTACTTCTTCTTCAAAGAGCCACTCGCCAAACTGCAGGAGAAAAGACTGTCAAACCAAACAGCATTGGGCTCTTCAGTTGGACCAATTAATAACAGGTGATTATAGAAAGAATCGTTGCATCTCCTTTAAAATCCTCCACTTTTATGACTGTAGGCCACAGAGGAGCGGAGGTCACCATGAAAGGATTTACAACAATAGTAAAAATAAAATACCCAATCAAAATATTTTATAAGGAAGACAGATTTCCATTATACAGGTAGTCCTTGATTTACAATGGTTCATTTAGTAACCATTCAAACGGCACTGAAAAAAGTGACATGACCATTTTTCCTACTTACGATCATTGCAGCATCCCCATGGACACACAATCAAAATTTGGACTCTTGGCAACTGGCTCATATTTATGACAGTTGCAGTGTCTTGGGCTCATGTGATCACCTTTTGTGACCTTCTGACATGCAAAGTCAATGGGAAAGCCAGATTCATTTAACAACCGTTTTACTAACTTAACTGCAGTGATTCACTTAACAACTGTGGCAAGAAAGGTCACAAAATCTGAGCAAACCTCACTTAACAAATATTTTGTACAGCAACAGAAATGTTGGTCTCAGTTGTGGCCATAGTTACCTGTAGTTCTGATGCCTTCAGGAAGTTATTAAAATTTGGAAAACGATTTAAAAATTACATTTGATAAAGACTCATTAAGCTCTTTTATAATAAGGCTATTGCAAGCTATTTTATATGGTATGTCATAAGACAAATATAAATACAGTAAGATACAATAAGATCTATAGAATAATGAGCAGTCTGCCTATGGAAGTTTCAATGAAGCGTATAGAAGACCTCTCTTATGGGCAGTTTAACTGGTTATCCTGCGCATTACAGAGGGCTGTGTTACATAATCCTTCTGGTTGCTTTCATTTTTATAATTCCATGATTCAGCAGATACCAATCTAGTCTGACATTCTGTTATCCTTAATGGCTAAGCATAGAGCAGGAGAAACACAGTCCTTCTATTGCTTCCTGTTCTTCAGTTGCTAATATATTGAGACATGCTGTTTTTAGTTCTGGAGATAACATGTAGGCACCTCTGACTAATGAACTTGGTGTATACATAATGCTGACTCTGTAAACCACTTAGAGAAGGCTGTAAAAGCACTATGAAGCGGTATGTAAGTCTAAGTGCTCTTGCTCTTGCTATAAAACAAATATATTTTTTTCTACTTGATGTTTTTTCCATACCTTGGAAATTGGAGTTCATCAATTCCACTTAATTGTTCATGATGTGTGTGACCTATTCTCTGCAAAAAGCCAAGTTGAGGGCCCTTTCATTCCAACTACAATGTAACATTATGTGGGAATGGAGCTGAGATTCCAAACAGAGTGAGAAGAATGTGAAGACAAAATAAAGCCAATGCTTACCTTGACAATTAATCCTCGGAGGGTTGCAAAGCAATGGGTCAAATAGGTTGTGCTCTGATCATAGCTCAGAGAATTTATGAGGACCTTCAACACACCTCCAAAGATGTTCATCTTGCAATCCATAGCTAATGTTGCCTGTTGAAAGGAAAGGGAGACTTCTTAGGGGCTTTATGGCATACAATATTGGTCCAATCTTGTTTATTGTGGCATGATTTGCAATCCTACATGCTTTGGGGTCACGTTTATTCATTTAGGAATAATGCAGAACTGTTAATGACACATTTTTTTCAGTTTTGACGTTTTTTATTTCTGAATTTGTTTCATGCTATGATCTCGCCTGAAATCTTTTAAGATGAGGGACAGTGAAAATAATTTTAAATGGAAAAAAGTATGTAAGACATCTAGTAAACAAAGTTTATGCCTCAATATGTTCTCATCTTCTTTTCTCTTTGATGCTATTTATGCTGCTGAGAACAAAATATGAGATTCTATAAACAATTTAAATTTCTACGTCTTTAATTAAGACAATTCACTACAGCAATGCCAGTCGTTTTGTGAAGTTTCTAATAATTATAATATATATTGCTGGGCTCCTCACAAAACCAGAACAAAAGTTTAAGAGTAGGCTGTTTTAAGCAATTTGTGCATAATGCAGTTGTGCCTCTTCTCTTCACAGTTCAGAGTCTTATTGGACAAATGCCACCTACATTTCAATAATAAAATAAAAACCCAGCCTGTTACAGAAGGGCACTAAATTAGATTTATTCTACTGTACTTGAAGGATTATCACATCATCTCAAAATATTAGAAACTCATTCTCTACACCACAATGAGTGGGAACTGTAAAACAATTTAGCTTTGTTCCCTAGCATTTGTAGAATAACATTGGTTATTGAAGCTATTTCTGTAAAATGAGTTTAAAATGTTGTTGTGCAATCCAATGACAAAAAGACTAACTGAATTCTTCTTCATTTCTCTGGCTGTAAGTATTGGCTGTCAGCCTTTTTTAAATTTCCCACCTGGATGATATTCTCTTGCATATCTAAGATGATCAGATTAGCTTCTGTAGCCAGATTTCCACTAATCAGAGATTCTTGATCAATTTCAGTTTTTGTTCTGTAAGAGCAACAAATGTTATTAAATATTCACAAACCAAAGAATACAATAATATTTTACATTAGAGAGGTAACATCGATGAAAATCACAGTTTTAAGTTTTACAAGACTGACCCTCTAAGTCAGTGATGGCGAACCTTTTTGGCATTTCATGCCAAAAGTCTTAGCGCGAGAGCGCTCTTGCGCTCCTGCGTGCCAGCACCCATAATGCAATGCGTGTCCCCATTTGCGCATGCGCACAGGACACACCCCCATGCTCCCCTGCGCATGCGCCCCACATTGCGCATGTGCATCCCCAAACATGCCCCCCCTTTTTTCCAAGAGGGCCGGTGTTCTTAACAGAGGACAACTAGGTACCGGCCCATTCCATGGCGAGACAGCCATTCCCCAGACAGCGCATGGCGCCGCCAAGATGGCGGGGCCAAGTGCTCTGCCGGGGAAGCTCTGAACGTGCGGCTTGCCTGGGCTCCTTTCTGCTGGGAGTCACCGTTCCCTGGCTCGGCGCGGAACCCTCACCCGACCCCCACCACTGCACTGCCTGGGGTTGGGCCCATCACTTGACCCCCATCACACCTGCTGCTGCGCCGCCAGCCGAGCCAACACCGGGGAAGGAGCAGCAGGCAGGGCAGCCAGCCGCCCAACCAGCAAATGCTACCCTGTGCACCTGAGCCGGCCGGTCGCTCTTGCCCTTTCCCCTGCAGCCTGTGGCTCCCAGCAGGGAGGAGCCCAAGCAAGCCGCCACACGTTCGGAGCTTCCCTGTTGGGGCCGAGAGCACTTCTGCTGTACGCCGCCATCCCTTCTCTGGGGAAGAAGTGAGCTGCCGGAGGAGCAGGGAGCTGGTCAGGCGGCCTCCTCCGACCCAGCTGGCCTGCTTGCCATGATGCTGGCGACAGTGGTGTGCCCCAAGCGCAGTGCACAAACTTTCCCCGATGCTTCCCAAACTTCGGTGCAGGGCTGAGGGCGGGTGGGAGGCAGAGAGGGAGGAGCAGGCAACTGCTATGCCTCGGGGTCATGTGGTCACCTGCACAGGCAGCCCATCCCCCCACCCTCATCAGCTGCTGGTCCGCCAAAGCCCCGCCAGCCACACCTGCTCGTCCAGCGGCTCCCGGCAGGAGGCGCCCAGGAAGGGCGGCGGAGTCTGCACATTTGGAGGCCAAAGTGGCCCAGTCAAGATACTGCTGTGACCACCCGCACATACAACCCCCCGTGCCCCGTTTTGGGCCTGGAAAGGCTCCTGCACCAAACTTTGCCGGCATGAACAGTCTGCCAACGCTGCTCCTCCTCCTGCCAGCCTCGAGCTCCGGGCAGCATCCAGCATGGTCATTCACGCTGGCAAAAGTTGGTGCAACCCTCTCCAGCCACTTCTTCCAAGGGAGCATGACCGCTTTCCAGCCGGCGGGCCTCTTACCGTTTATCGCACTCTCCTCCGATCCTCATGGGGGCAGCTTGCTTCTCCTTCTCCTGGCTGCGAGGGGTGAGGGGGCACGCCGGAACCCAGAAGAGGAAAAGGAGCAGAGCTGCTGGCTAGGCCGGGGTTTCCCTATCTCCCTGCCCGAGTGGCCCCAAACCTCTGGCGGGGAGGGAGGGAAGTCCCAGGTCACTATTCCTGTTCTCGGGGAAGTGGCAGTGAGGGAACCCCCGTTGCCAGGGGCAAGGGGATGGCAGCGGCAAGGACTGGCTGGCTGGGGCTTCCCTTCCTCCCTGTGGCAGCCCATGTGGATCCCAGGCAGTGCAGCTTCAGGGCCTTTCCTCGTGGTGTCGATGACAAGGTAGGCAGGCAGGCGAGCGGGTGCAGGGGAGCGACTGGGAGAGTGCTCTGGGTTGGCAAGGGGGTGGATGACCTGGGGCACGCATGTGCACCAGCCAGCTAGTCTTCTGTTTACTGGCACGCATGCATGCGCGACAATCAGCTGGCCGGCTGATCTTTCAGTTTCTGGCACTGCAGCACACGTGAAGGTCAGCTGATCGTCGCGTGCGCATGCGCACCAGTAACCAGAAGACTAGCTGGCCGATGCGTATGCATGTGCCAGAAACCCAGAAGAGGAATGGGTGATGCCTCACGTGCCAGGTGAAATGGCTCTGCGTGCCACTTCCGGCACATGTGCCATAGGTTCACTAACCTGGCTCTAAGTCATTGTTCGCATATTAGCTTAGAAATTTAAACTGCTATTTGGAAATCAACATAAGCTATGCTTTGATGCAGGGGTGAAATGTAAAATTTGTTACTACTGGTTCTGTGGGCGTGGCTTGGTGGGGGGGTGATGTGGGTGATGTGACTGGGTGGGCATGGCCAACTTTTTTTTTTTTTTACTTTTCAAAGCATTTTTTCTACCACCTCTTCGACCAAAGAGGTTGCAAAAAAATGCTTTGAAAAGCCTCTGCTGATCAGGCAACTCAGCTGGGATCGTCAGAGGCTTTTCAAAGCATTTTTTTTATCACCTCTTTGGCCGAAGAGGTTGCAGAAGGCCTGGCAAGTACAGTTGCTACATAAAATGAAAACCCAGCCCAGATCTTCTCAAAATGATTTTTACCAAAACACCAAGTCACTAATATTATAGTTCCAAGGAATGGTTTAAATTATTTTATCTGTGCAATGAACCACTGAGTTTCATAACTTGCTATATACACTAAGATGATTCAAATAAATCGGAAGTCAAATAAATTTTGACTTCTATTCCTTTTATAAATTTTGGCACCTGTTTTAAGATAGACCTTATTAGGACAGATGTTTCACACCGCATTCTGCAGGTTCTCATTGTTAAAATTAAAAAAAGAACATGGCTTAAATGACTATTTTACTTGGTTTATTGTTTTATACTAAAGATTCCAAGCTGGGCAGGAGAAATGCCTTCCTTTTCCTCAGCTGTAAGAGCCTGGGGGAAAAACTCCATAAAATATAGCTTGTCTTTTGTTGGCAGCTCCAAATCCACATGAAACTGAAAATGGAGAGAGACACTGCCATGTTTTCTTGGCAGTGTCTATTTGTTCTTGGCTCTTGCAAACTCCAAGAGAAACAAACAAACATTTGTGTATTTGTTTGAACAGGAGTCTAGTAATTCCCATTTTATTTAGCGTATCACCCAAAGGGATTCTGGTGTGTTTAAAACTACCCTCCTTAAATACTGAGAACTTTTGCTGCTGATGACAAGAGAACAAAGGGATTTCAGAGAATTCTCTCCATGGAGTTTTACAGAAAGCTACACATGTATCTGTTCAGGATGCTTTGAAGATAGAATTTCCTGCCTTGGTACAGGGAGTGAACCTAGATGGCCCTTGAAAGAAGCAGTTCTGGTAAAGGTGATATACATTCATTAAATTACTCACTTATCTTGTGTTTCGTTTGCTTGCCGCCACTGTGTCTGCTCTTTTCTCCATCGTAAGTTCTCATTCGACCCTGGGAATCTATCATTCCCTGCAAAGGGCAACATTCACAAATCACACCGAAACTTTAATATCAACATTTCTCAGGCGATAGGAGCTTTTGCAAGAGGCTACATCCACCATGATTGCAGCCAGGAGAAATGTATCTTTTTGCCCGCAGAGGCAATGAGTAGATTTGATATGAAATTATTCAAATGTGACAGATGGGAACAACGTGTTCCCAAGACATACAAAGTACTGGTCACAGAATCAAGACAATTATAAAGCAAACAAAAGACCAGATGTGAATAAAGGAACGACATTCAGAATCCAGCTGTTAGTAAGGTGCAAGAGTCATTCATGGTATATCCTCTTAATAAAAAAATATGTGGAAACGATCTCTGCTGCCGCTTTTCTTCAAACAAGTAGAAAGATTGTAATAGACACACATAACCCTCAAAAAATCCTTTGTGAGGAGCTATGACTGAATATTATTTCTGCCAGATCGGACCTGCAAGCTACCAGATGAAAACAACCTGCAGCCTCTTTTTGACAATGAAAACAGCTCACAATCCAGCAGCTAGCTTGAGTTCATCGTGTGTTTTGTATGAAGTAGGCATTCAGATCTGGCTCCTAAAAACATTACATTATACAACTGAAGGTCAAGAACAAACTGAATAATGACCGAGTTCAATTGTAGATTTAAAGAAGGTGGATGAGAGGCACAAACATCAATCAATTCAACTGATCTAGTATTTATAACCATTTATAGTATATCTTATTAAGATTGGTGAGTAGTGCTTTTTGATCTTAGAAAAAAAATATAATGCCTAGGCAATCCCAGGTTAGCAAAATAAATTCAGCATTTTCCCTCCAGGGTTCATGCACTTCTACAGTGTTACCATCTCTCTTCCCAATTTCTCAAAAGCAGCCTGAAAACCATCCACAATCGTCTTTAAATCCAACAAACTAGGAATGCTAATAGTCTGCAAAATATTTGCTTCCCTCTAAACTGCTGAAGTCCAACAGTCTTAAAAATGCCTTTTTAAAGACTTTTTACACATCACATCTCCACCATGTACATCCTTAACTTCATGTGATGTGCATCTCCTTTGAAGGGAGTTAAAAGGCATTAAGCTATCTTTCCCATTGAAAAATATGAGGCTCAGCAACTGGAAGGCCTCAAATAATGCAAATAATGACCATGGCTGTAGTTTCAGTATGCTTGCAACCACTGCTAAAATAAATTGGTGAAACACTTGAACCTAGTCCACTGTGAAATCACAGTGATCTAGAATGCTTTCAAACTGCCACAGATTCCTTGCAGAGAAAATATTTTGGTGTTCAATTTAAACATGAGAAGTTGGACAAATTTTCATGACTGAATTTGATCTACAAAACTACTGTACTATTGACCCGATTTATCTCAGTTCCCTCATCTATTCATATATGTCTGGCTTGCATCCCCTTCAGTTTTTGCTCAAAATTCTTGTTTTCTGTAAAGATTTTGTTTTGATGCAGGATTGACTCTTCTTTGTATTCTATCTCTGACTATTCTTAAGGAGGAATAAAGAAGAGGGAAGAAAGGCCACTCAATACCTTTTATTTTGAACTAGAACAATTTTTGAGAACCCCATTCTACTGAACCAACTCACCATGTTCAGCTCATTGATACTCCTGTAATTTCTTTATTAAACTCCCTTCTGCCAATGAGCTGATCCTGTTTCAGGATTCAATCCAAAATTACTTTCAGCTGCGTGCAGATTTATATGTTTGCCTTAGTGCTTCATAACATTTGGAGTTTTATGCCATCTGATAAAACCCATAAATGGGTCTCCTTTCCAAAGAAGGACAATGGTAGAGGAAAGAAGTGGTCAGGAATAACTCCCACATGACCTCAGGTTCCTGATTGCTAGCAAGCACACTGGGTGTAGCTTGCATCACACTAAAAATAACTTCAGCAAGGACCGCATCAAGATTCATATTGTGTCACCCAACTGTAAACACAGTCCTGATCACATAAAATAAACTGGGTGACTCTGGGCAGTCTCACAGGGTTGCTGTTTTTGTGGAGAAAATAGGAAGAGGCAGGCGTATTATGTAGGAGTGCCGCCTTCAATTACAGGTAGTCCTCAACTTACAACCATTCATTTAATGGCAGTTCAAAGTTACAATGGCAATAAAAACAACTTATGACTGTTTTTCCCACATGACCCTTGCAGCATCCCCATAATCACACGATCACAATTCAGATGCTTGGCAATTGGCTCATATTTATGACAGTTACAGTATCCCAGGGTCAGGTGATCACCTTTTGTGACCTTCTGACAAGCCAAGTCAAAAGGGAAGTCAGATACCATGTTACTAACTTAACAACTGCAGTGATTCATTTAACCAGAAAAGTCCTAAAATGTAGCAAAACTCGCTTAACAACTGTCTCACTAAGCAACAGAAATTCTGGGCTCAATTGTGGTCGTAAGTCATGGACTACCTGCATTTATAAAGTAATAAAGGCTAATAAAAGGTAAGGGGACGACAGAGAATAAGGTGACTGGATGGAGTCACTGAAGCAGTAAGCTTGAGCTTAAATGGACTCCAGAGGATGGCAGAGGACAGGAAGGCCTGGAGGAACATTGTCCATGGGGTTGCGATGGTTCGGACATGACTTTGCAACTAACAACAAATAAATGAATATCTGGTAATAGCAGCTGCCTGGTTTTGATTTTGATAGTAATATCCAACAATAACAGCACATCCCAAATTCATTCGCATCTCTGCCAAGTAACACCAATGGCAAATGCTATTTTGCTTTGAGTCTTGACTTTTATTACTTACTGAAAACCGTGGGAGGTGCAGGCACCATTTCTTTGCACTTCCAATGAGAAAAACAAACAGTCAAAGAACAATAGCAAAGACATACCAGCAAGGAGCTTGCTCCGCTTCACCATTTCACCTCTGGCCCCTTCTCCCCTCAGCAATGCCTCTTCTAGACGAGCTTTGGCATCTCGTGATTTCTTCAGGGCCTGAGTGCTGACTTTGTCTGAGCTTTGCTTGCCCTGTCCAAATAGAAGAATAAATTTACATCTTTAGGCAAGCATACTTCAAGACATAATAATAACCACCACCACGTTACTGAAGCCTTTTAAGAGCCCAACTCGGAATTTTGCCCAAGGATGCCAGTAAACATCCATCTGAGAAATAATCTTTTGCAGTGCAGTAACACTTTGATTTGAACATGATTTCTTCTACCTTGTATTCAAAGCCTGAGACGCAGATGAAAAGAAGATCTAAGATCCGGTTCAGCTGCAGAGAGGAAAGATCTGCAATCCATTTCTGAATAAGGTTCTGATCAGCATTCTTCATGATCCACAGGAAGCAGATCAAAAGATGTCGGGTTGTCTCAGGACTTAATGTGTTGTATGATTTGCAGGACTAGAAAGAGATGTCATGAAAAGTTGGTAAAGTAGCAGAAAGAAAATGTATCAGAAGACTTCCAATATAGCAAATTTTACCGCAGGAACAAAACATCGGAACATCACATCTTCAAATTGTGAGAGCTTCTTACTGTCATCTTAGAATGTCTTTTCTAATTAACAGCCAAGAGCCATTTTTATTACGGTAGCTTTTATTTTTTACTAGAGACATTTATATCCTGACTTTCTTCCAGCTCAAGACAACATACAGAGCACTTTCTCTTCCAATTTTTCCCTACAACAATCATCCTGTGAGTTAGGCTGAGTAAGAGTGTATTGGAATACATAATCTCCAAAATCTGTTCCTTTGACTTCCATGGTTGAAACTGACTGGAACCTGGACCTCCCTGATCCTATATTTTTACAACCTAGCTCATTTTTAGTGGTAATGCAGGGGTTAGAATGCAATACTGCAGGCTACTTCTGCTGACTGCTGGCTGCCTGCAGTCTGGCAGTTTGATTCTCACCAGCTCAAGGTTGACTCAGCCTTCTGAGGTGGGTAAAATGAGGACCCAGATTGTTGGGGGCAATATGCTGACTCTGTAAATCACTTAAAGTGGGCTGTAAAGCACTGTGAAGCAGCAAATAAGTCTAAGTGCTATTGGTATTGGTATTATTACTGAGCAAGGAATATCTTTATTTCAAATGGTGAGCAAGGATTCCTCCATCAATAGTTTTTTACTCAGCAGAAGCCAGCTCTTTATTTAACTGAAATAAAACTTCAGATGGTCGTCACTGAACTTCTTAATCACTTCTGATTCATGTAGGAAATGAAAGCTTTCCAATGTGAGGTTATGATAAACGGATAAGGAAAAAGATATGGATAAATATCCTAGTCTCCTGAGATGAAGATACACCTTCTTAAATAGAACTCAATAAGGAACCCTTTCAGATGGGTTTTCTATAGGGCTGATGTCATTTGTCAACTGAAAGCAGCTCTAAATCAAACATCCCACTACCAGATTAGTTTACACTGCTGCTTTACACAACGGATTAAATTCATTTGCTTAATCACGTGCAGTTGATCCCCTTAATCCAGGAGAGATGATAGAGTCTTCAAGATAGTTTGAACCATAACATCCATAATCCCTAGCCACACTGGCAGGGATAACTGCAACTGTAGTTCAAAACGTCTAGAGGCACTCTGCTGCCCACCCTCATTTTAGGTAGCGAAAGAAGTTTTTCCGTTTGGAAAAAATAAAGTGTACCTAGAACGTAAATAACTACCAATCTAGTTCAAATCAGAGAATGAGAGAAGTTTTGACAGCAGGGCTAATAATAGTTAATAACATAACAAGATAAAATCATAGGAACATTATTCAGGAAGGGACTCCTGTAAAATACTGTAAAAAGCCTTACCATCGTAAACATAGAGGAGCCAGAAGATCGTAAATTAAACTGATTCCCAGCAATAGCCAGAGCAATATTGTGGTTAATCTGGTTTGCTGATTCTTGTTCTTCATCTGGCCATGCAGCACGGCCTTTCCCATTGTGAACATCTGGAACTAAATTGGAAAGTGCAGGTTCTCTGAAAGGGGTTTTCAGCATGGCTTTTTCCATATTTCTCCAGTCAAAGACGTTTTGGATAGCTTATTCTCAGAGGAAGATGTATCAAGAGTGTATCTAGTAACCACTGAAATGCATTTATTTTGTTCTAACTGCTGTGGATTTTGATATTCTGGTCAATGGTCATAATAAACATAGTATAAATATGTAGCTAAAAACTTCTGCATCTGCAAATCTGAGTTGCAGCACTCCAAATCAATCAGCCCCAGACCTGCTCCTTCTAATCCTCTACTCTGTTTTTCTGACACAAGTGCTAACCCCATGGAAGCAAGGGCAACAGAGTATTAAAATATAACCAGGCTGAAAAGCCCAGAAATGCCAGGTTAAAGTTCCAATCAATAATGGGATATTTGAAAATACTTCTACATTTCTGAATAATCTGCATCCTAAACAAACTTAAATGAGATGGGCAGTGCAGAAATTTAAGAAATAACAAGGCTATTCCATATTAGCTGGAGTGGGATGGAAGCCTGTGAATTCTAGCATAAAACCTACACTCCATGTGAAAAAGTCCAGCACTGAAAACAATGTATCTTATATGATGTGTTTCTTGTGGATTTTTGAAATTTGTCCTGTCCCTTGATTAGGGCGAACTGGACTTTGTCTATTAATATTCCCACTGCTTAAAAGAGTTTTGTGTGCCATTATATGGTCCTATGTATGCATGCACTGTTTGATTTATATCCACCTTTATTTTTACAATTCTAGGTAGCTACCTAATTCTTCCTCTTCCTATTTTCCACATAATAGCCCTATGAGGTTCGCTGGGCTGAAAGAGGGTGACTTAAGCAGTTTACGTGCCTAATGGAAGATTGGAACTCATAGTCTCCCAATTTCTACTATAGCATTTTAACCATTCTGTCAGACTGGTTTTCTGTATTTGAACGAGAGTGAATACAGTAGAATCTCTGGTCATGACCATAATTCATTCCATAACTTTGGTCGCAACCCGATTTGGTCATGACCCAAATCTAATTTTGGAAATTTGATGCTTTGGAAGGGGAAATCGGCCATGAAAAAAAAATAGTGAATTTTTTGGTCGGAACCCGATTTGGTCGTGGTGAGAAGCGTTCGTGACCAGAGGTTCTACTGTATCTAGTATAAAACTACAGCTTGTGCCATGTAAAATTACCTCATTCTCAGAGGTAGATAACAAAAAGAAAGATTTGTTTTAACTCTAGAATTAATGAATTTCTTTACTTGGCAAATTTTACAACAGATAATATATCTCTAGTAATGTTCACAAGTTTTTTAAAATCAAGTCTATAGTTTTAGTTTCTCTTATTATGTGACCTTTGTTTCCTTCCTTCAGTCTTGTCTATCTGTTCCTTCTCTTGTTTTTCTTTTCAGCTTTTCTTTTCTCTCTGACTATAATTGATTAAAACTGCCCCCTCTGTTTGCTCTTTTCCCAATATTTTATGGTGTTCCCTTTTCCTGTCCTGCATTATATGAGCTCAGAGCAGGAACAGCCAGGGCATAAATTTCTCCATTTAGTCCTGCCCGACACCGAAACAACAGATGGGAAAAAACACAACAAATGCATTCTCAAAAGCCTCTAGGCATTAAGAAAGCCATTTAGACAACAGTATACAACACTAAAAAAGACATTACACAAGAAAAAGTTGAGAAAACAAAAGCTGAGAGATATTTGCTGCATTTATGCAAATTGTTGGTGATAACACCATTATCATGCAAAAGTGTTAAAATTACTGGTTCTTTAAAATAGGTACCTGAGTTGAATCACATCTTTATCACATTTACACAGGAAGAAAGTTGGAAACTGAACACAGATGATTTTGTCTGATGCATAGCCAGTAGGCTAGGAAAGAAATGGAAATTCTCTTGCCTCACAGATAACAAGGATTTCCCCCCCCCCTTTGAAGGACCCTATCCACATCTTATTAAAACCAAATCCTTAGAAGATGATCTGTGAGTAAAAATTGTGGGATCCTGTGGGAGTTTTATAAGGATTTTGAAAAGACACAGCTGCATTGGAAACTGGCAGACAGGTACTAGATTTGCATATTTGAACATACTAAGTATTTTTTTAAAAAATCAGATCCAAAGTACTGTGTCATCCTAATATATCTCTCTCACTTTGCTACCGGCACTTAATAGATTAACAATTCTCTGTGGAGTTGCTTTTCCACATTTGTTTAGCCGCTACACCCCATTCACAAGTCCAATAATGGCGATGAAAAGATATTGGTTCTGTTTGCATGACATTGTTACCCATTGTTAACTGAACCATGGTTTAGTAAACTAAATTTTCTGGGCTTTCGTAATGATCAACTAACCAGATGAGCAGGTCTGCATAACATGCTAGGTTAAACTATGTTTAAGCTTATTTGCAGGCAGTTATGTTGTCTGAGGAATCTAGCAAATCCAATAAGGGCAAAACTACAGATAAGCAACACTGAACATGTCACATTAAGTTTGTGAATCCTTTTAAAATTTCTTACTAATGGCATTTCTTCCAGTTCTACCCCCAGGTTGGTACTGCTGCTGAGAATTTTCATTAATTAAGGAAAGAATTAGCCCACTTTCTGACAGTCCTTCTCAGCAATGTAAGAAGTGTTGGGGATGGAGTGCCATCTACAGGACTCCAAGGGATAGAGAATGAATTAAATAACTCAGGAAAAAAAACTGTCCAGGGAGCTGGGAATATGCTGAGCTGGTTCAGCTGAGGCAAGAGGAATTTTAAGTAATAGGAACATTTTCATTTCAAAATATTGGGAGTATAATCATTTAGTTTTAAATGTAGAATGGGCTGTGTATGTGTGCAAAAGCTGCAGTTGCCATTTTTTCTTTTCCTCCGTTTTCCTGCAATGAGCAGAATGAGGTAACTTTTCTCATCTCCTACATGAGCTTTGCACCTAAGGAAACATTCTGTGGCTTTCTTCAGAGAAAAGTGCTATGCCCTCATGAAGTTTGCTTGTTGGTGGCTTGGAGTATTTTGTGAATGTGAGGCAGCGGTGGGTTCTAATTTTTTTTACTACCGGTTCTGTGGGCATGGCTTATTTTGTGGGCGTGGCTTGGTGGGGGATAATGTGACTGGGTGGGCGTGGCCAACTTTTTTTTTTTACTTTTAAAAGCATTTTTTCTACAACCTTAAGAGGTTGCAGAAAAAAATGCTTTTAAAAGCCTCTGACGATCCCAGCTGAGCCGCATGATCATCAGAGGCTTTTTTTTAACTTTTAAAAGCATTTTTTAAAAGATATTGTAGAAAAAAATGCTTTTAAAAGTAAAAAAAAAAAGCCTCTGAAGAGGTGGGCGGGGTAAGCAAGCGGCGACCGGGCCGGGGACCGGTTCGGGGGCGTGGCCAGCCAATGGTATTATCGGTTCTTCGAACTACTACAAATTTTTACTACCGGTTCTTGCAAACCGGTGCGAACCAGGAGCAACCCACCACTGATGTGAGGCATGACTTGATTTGTAAGTCACACCTCATGGTAGCATACTGCATAAAGACAGCTAATAAATTCTGTCCTTACATTTTCCATTATCACTTAGGTAAATATACTTACCTATCATACCTAAATACCTGTATTTAGGCAAATATATTTTGTGGGGAAAAAATCATTACCTTACCCTCTAATGACAAATTCCTGAATTTCTGCTCTATTTTGTGAGCATACTGAATGCCACAGAAGTCAAAACAATCCACATCTAGTAGATGGTAGGTCAAAAGGGAAAAACAGTCAACTTTTTCATTTTTATATACCATCTAGAAGACATTAAGTATATCATCATCATCATCATCATCATCATCATCATCATCATCTCCTCTTGCCTGTAAAATCATGTAATTGAGGAAGGGCATCCAGAATTATGCCAACCAGAGGCAGATAAAGTGCAGCAATTTTCACTTTCATTTCTGGCTTCAAGCAGGATTTATCCAAGTCATGTGAACTCATCAAGCTGTGGACAGCGCTGACAGCTTTCCTCTGCACCTTGCTTATTCTGTCAGGACAAAAAAAAAAGACAAGGACCCTTTTTTATCGGTCAATCATAGAATAGTACAAGAAATAACAGGATAAACATAAAGAATATGGGAGTATTTTGAGAGACAAGTTAAATTTGTCCCCTTTAGGAAAAGAATTTAAGCCATAAATTGCACATGCTTTCTTTTTAATAAAAAAAAAAAACTATTCTCACACTGTTTGGGAATTAACAAAACATTTGCAGGTCACATTAGGCATACGGGAGCATCCTGGCCTAGTAAAATAATCTAGACCCAGTTGTTTATACCTTATTGCTACGTTGAGGTCAGGTTATAACCGTGATGGTGAACCTATGGCATGCATGCCAGAAGTGACATGCAGAGCCATCTCTCTGGGCATGCCAGTTGTTGCCCGTTGCTCTTTTGGATTCTGGCGCGCACATGCGCGCTGGCAAGTTAGTCTTCACGCGCGCGGGAGCATCGGAAACTGGAAGAGCAGCTCCCCAATGCGCATGCCGGCCAGCTGTTCTTCACGTGCGCATGCGTGTTAGAAACCAGAAGACCAGGTGGCCAGTGCGCATGCGTATGCTGGGAAGCTGAGCTTCCGCTTTTTAACGTGCATGTGTGTGCATGCTGCAGAGCTGCCCTTCCAGTTTCCAGCACGCACGCGCATGCGCGCATGTTCCTGTTTTAGCACTCGGTGCTAAAAATGTTCGCCACTACTGGACTTTAATATTACTCCAAATGTTAGAAGTGGCTGAATTCATACAATATGTTAAAGTAAAATGCTTCTTAATACAGACTACTCCTTCCTCTTCCTATTTCTCCCACAACAACAACCGTATGAGATGGTTGGGCTGAGAGACAGTGACTGGCCCAAGTTCACTTTGCCGGCTTTCATTATGGCTAAGATGGGACTAGAACTCACAGTCTCCTGGTTTCTAGCCTGGCGCCTTAACCAATAGATCAAGCTGGCTGATCTAGCTATATAAAAAGAACTGAGTGATTAAAGTATTTCAAGAATACTTGACTGAAACCCAATTCCGTACCTATAATTCATGAGTGTTGCTTACACATGTAAATCTCTGGGGGGAAAATGAGACCTACCCTTCCCCTTCTGCATCCAAGGTAGCTGCCAACTCTGTGAAAAGTAGCCCTGTGAGGAAGTGCTGCTGTCGATAATCTGCTGTAAGCTCAAACATGCTGTTAAGTTTTTGATCCTGGAAACTTGAGCAGGAGCTTGAATTCTATAATAAATGAAAGAAAGTGGCAAACGGTATGCTTATATTGAAATCCAAAGCATAGATTTACTATGACACAGAATTGTTGGTTGCATTTTTAAAAAATAATAGAATGACTTGACGTAAAGTTCTTTCTTAAATATTTCTGCTTTATAACAAAACATCTCTAAAACATTTTATATGAAAATTGAATTAACAATCATTTATTAAAGAAAGAATAAAACATGTCTTTGGCTTTGTGAAGTACTTTAGTATCATAAAATCAAAATAAAAAATAAATATAAGCAAAAAAAAATTCAGAAATTTAATGGAATGAATTTATACCTCTATATACACAGGTAAGGCAGAAACTGATCATCATATACATCATATATAATGCATACTAATATACATTAGTTGGAAAAGATTCAACTGATAATATTAAATCATGCTGAAGAAGCAGAAGCTGCTGTTGACTTCAGCCATTTTGTGGGTTATTCCTGAATGTATAAGGCTGTGAATATGTTTGTGCACAAACACCTTCAGTTGAATATATAATAAGTTTTTTTCAATTTAACAGACAGAACTGATCTGATAGGATTCCTTTTCCATTCTTATATGGCAGAAGATTGACCTGGTATCTAATAGGAGGAATTGGAGAATTACATTCCTTAAAAAAAAAAAAAAAGCAGAATCTAGTCTGTCTGAGAATATAATTCTCCAATTCCTCCTAGTAGATACCTTCCTAGAAAACACCAGTGCTTACAAATATCCCTAGATGCCCTTTCTCTCTATATATTGAACGTATATGAGGAGAAAGGAATTGTGGTTCGTGGATTTATTCCTGCATTCTACATGTTTAATGGATTATCTGGCCTATGCATATGCATATGCAATTGCATTTTCATTCATTCATTCATTCATTCATTCATTCATTCATTCATTCATTCAGTCATTCATTCATTCATTCATTCATTCATACCGAATATGACAAAATTAAGGGGTGATGTCAGCAAACATACTCCTGCTTTCCCATCTATACAGATGTATGGGGGAAAAGGATGATAGATTCATTATGACATAAAATATTAATGTATAATCAATGTGAAGAAATATGAAGACCCAATCATTGATATATTCTGGTTCTGCTAACGAAGGTACTCCCAATATTATTAAATTGTATTTTTTAAAAAATAGGGGAACTACCTGGGATGATATAGAAGGAGAGGGAGATGTTGGAGCACATCCTGAAGTCAGAAAGAAGAGATTCAAATTGAGGTAATGTTCATGACTGCAGAGAATTTGTAGGAACTCCAGCCTCATGGACAACAACACTGGGATATTACTCATTTTATTTGACAACTAGAAAGGAATAATTGCAAAGAAAAGCATGATGAATACTTCCATAAAGAGAGAAATACTTTGCTCTTGAAATAGATCAATAAAACTAATAAAGAAGCAATAAACATTTTCAACTGTTCCATTTAATACTTGCATCACATTAAGTTTACATCTATTAGACCGTCTCTCCTAGTGGCGACATTTAATAAAATGTATTATTTTCTGCTAATGTCATAATTCTCGCTAGAAAGTAATTTTGTAATATACTTTCTTCATCTGTGCAATTTAAAAATATTGTGTTTTAAATACATGACAATTGTTACTAGCAATATCTTAGTACAACTGAATTTATTTTATTTATTTATTTATTTTATTTAGTATTTAGAACGTATTTAGTAATAAGTATAACATGGATACATAAAATAGGTACAAATAGAAGAAACATTAGGACAGGGACGGTAGGCACGCTGGTGCTCTTATGCACACCCCTTACAGATCTCTTAGGAATTACATCAGTAAAATCTATCAATGCAAAACTGATTTTTTAATTCCAAAGAAGCCCTAGGAAAAAAGCAAAATTCCATAGTACTGGTTTGAAACCTCTGTAGCCTGCAAAGAATGTTAAAGGAAGTATCTGAAAAAGTTGGGAGGATCTTTATATCCTCTAAAATTGATAAACGTTGGGTGTTGGAATTGTTTTGCCCAACTCAAAACTAGTTCACTTATTCAGGAAGACGATACGATTGCACATTTGTTGGTCTTTGCCAACTGAGGGAGCATCTAGATGATCATACACATGTTTTTCCGACATATAGATTCTAGTCTAGACATTTGAGTTAATTGTTTGGCAAGTCAGTTTTCCATGTGTAAGAAGACTAATGTAGGAATCTTTTTGAAAGAGATATTCACCAATTAATTACCAAGCTGATTTGAATGATTTAATCAATAATCTGTTAAGGAGATGGGATGTCTCCCCTCACATTTTGATAATCTTCAATCCCCATCAATATTAGCATGAATGAGTGAGTTAATGGAAGTGGCTGGGGAATTGAAGATTTCATGCTTATGAATTCCAAACCGAGGCCACTTCAAAGTCACAAAATAGACTGCTAGCTTGTGAGTTCTTAAACACTTTCCATCAGCAAAAAACAAAAACAAAAAAACCCAAACACCACCAACAACTGAGTAAGAGTAGGCCTGAGAAAGAAAAATCTATATTAGTCCTGCCTCCACGCTGTTGGTCTTAGAAGAAGTATTGGACTATTCTCCAAATGTACAACTTGGATCCTATTAGTGTGGGATTGTACTCAGGAGTTTTCCTAAGAGTTGTAGACAAAAAGAAACCAGCTACTGCATCTTTAGGATATTTCAATCCTTCTCGCCTTACACTTGTTACTATGTTTAAGAGAACCATGGCATAATAACTGGGAAAAGCCCATTTTTTAAGCCTCACTTTAAAAGCTTCCATTTTTTGCTTTAGTTACCATCCTGTCCGATGAAGAGTTTTTAGGAATGTAAAATATCAAATGCTATTATCTGATTTTCAGCCAGCTAAATAAGATATTTCTGTAATAGGATATTTGAATTTTTCTTATGAGCAATGGACCTCTCTCTGTTTTACACTTAAGACAGTAATCTAAAATCAAATTGCAGTCTTTACACACTTGAAAGTTATATATTGGGATGTACTATTGTATGGTCTTTATTTGAGGGATTTTTCTAATGAGGCCTACCTGATTGCAGTAGTGTTTGATGAGGTTAAACACAAATCCACGATCCATTAAAGAAAGAAGATCGTATAGGAAAAATGCCAAGCTAATGTTGACCTTTTCTGCCTGTTCACTTTCCTTAAAAAAAGAAAGAAAGATTATTACCCAAAAACAAAGGTGTTATATACTCTGAGGTAAAATCTGCACAATAATTATAGATTAATATAATTATACATGAATTAAAATGACAGGTGAGGAAAACTATCACACTTAAACTTTTGCCCACTGTGTTTAGATTTATCATAACATGATGGACCACACAAACCGGTTCATCAATACCCAGAAGAATACAAATGTACGTCACATGCAATTAGTGGCCTAGAAACCAGTATTTTGACTTACTTGGACTAAAGTTAGTTAGGTAAATGCTATTGGTTCATCATGTGCAATTCATTCTAGATTCATTTTAAGATTCCTACATGTCACAGAAAGCATAAATACTTGACAATTTGGCAATATAAAGACTGACTAAGGTTAATAAAAGAATGTAGATGTCAAAAATGTAATAATGATTAGGGAAAAAGATTAAGATTTCAGGCTTAATAGACTTATAGAACAAACCAGACATCTGATAATATCCATTTGACAACTGACATTTTGGACATTGTAACAGATAAATTAGAATCAGATATTTTAATCTGATTGGATGTTATTATTCAGATTAAATTTATGAAGTATGTGAGAAGATACGAGTTTGTACCATCTTTGGAAATCTGGTGGTACAGTGGTTAGAATGTAGTCTTGCAGGTTAACTCTGCCCACAGCCTGGAGTTCGATCTTGACAGGGTTCAAGGTTGACTCAGCTTTCCATCCTTCCAAGTTCAGTAAAATGAGGACCCAGATTGTTGGGGCCAATATGCTGACATTTTGGCCCCAACTGCTCAGAGTGCTGTAAAGCACTATAGAGCACTATATAAGTCTAAGTGCTATTGCTATTGCTTTGTCTTTGGATTATAATTTGGAATTTTCACCCTATAGTTAGAGTCATTACAAAAATATTTTTTGTATATTTTAGAGTACCGTCATGGTCCAGGACTCAAGAGTTTGAATCTGAAGAAGCTGTTCCAGATGAACCAGTAAAATGTCAGCCTCAAGAGACACCAGGCCAGGGATCAGCTTTAAACTGACTGACAAACCTGACTTGGCTTTCTGAACCTTGGACTGGATTTTAATTTCTCTTCTGTGCCTTCCTTTTAAAAGTGAAACTATTCTTGCAAGTTTTCTTTCCAAGAGACTGTTTACATTTACATTCCTTTCCTTGTCTGCTGTTTATCTACTCACCCTTGAGTAAATTGCTATTCTCACCTAACAATAGTGTGTGTGTGTGTGAGTTTGAAACATCAATATCAACCTGAGAAGGATACCCTCAGTCTCCTTTAACTTTTAATCTGGTTCTTGAAAATTTAGCTTTTCAGTAAATAGTTTAAAGATATTAATGGTATGGTAGCACTTGTTATTGCACCTATTCAGAAAATAACATGGTCATTCCATTAATCAGACAATTTTGTAGTGTTATTACCAAAGCTTATTGATATTGTACAGCCTTATGATTTATACTCTGGCTTTACTATAACTTTAAAAAATAATTTACAAAGGCCCTCTTAGTCACGATTGCCACCTGTTCTTCAAACAAAAGTTATGTCCAGAAAGTTCTAGTCCAGAAGTATCATCATATTGTGTACCAGGTCTATCTGAAGAAGTGCAACTCCATCCAGAATCAAAGATAGTAAATTCCTAGTTCCAGGTGGCCTCAAAACTCTCAGTCTTGCCAGGGGTGAACCAAATCTATTGTTTCCCCATTGAAACCCCTAGAACCTCTAGACATTAGGATAGGACATTGGCAGCACCGCTTAGTTCAGCAAGGGCAGAGATATATAGCTGGGTATCATCAGCATACTATGAAACTAATTGAAAATTCTGACCCTACCATTCACAAAATGCAGCCCTAAATGCATGATAACCCTGCCTTTCCTGTCCACAATAGTTCTCTGTTTCCCTAAAATATGAATTCCCTGAAAATGATGTTAATCAAATGCCCCCCTCTGGTAATCAGAAAAAAAGGCAATGATCTAGAATTCTAACATAAATAATGGTTGATTTTGAACTGATATTGAGGTATAGGAACAATCTCCCTGGAATAAAAGTATACAATTGTGAGATTTTTTTTTTTTTTGAGGTTCTGTTTATTCTAGATTGTAAAATTACCTTTTGGGCCTTAATTGAAAGTGCAGCAACCTCTGAGGTAACAACACTGACAATTGTGGTGATGTCATCTTTGAAGCGGTTGGAAAATCGAGCTCTGCGGGGAACATCCTGCTTCTGTACATTGTCAACATACTGAGCCATGCTTTTTACCTCAAAAAAAATCAGCATCGTTTATCAAATGTGAGTTTGTAAACAACGGCAAATAGTAAAGCTGAAAGAATTCACACATTGTGAAGAATCCTTTCTCTAGATTTCATGGAATGATAACTTAACATTTCTAAATTCTGTTCCAAAAATTCTGCGGCTAAAATGAGAACTTGCAATGCACCCATTAAACTTAAATGTGGGGTTCCATTCTAAAATTCTTAGATGTAAGATATAATCTATATTAGGTGTATTGCTCAACTATTACAATTAGTAGTAAATACATTTCCTGCTTTTATTTATACATGATTTTGAAAAATGCAATTTAACCACTGGGAGCCTCAAGGACCCAACATTAGGGGTTGTCTACTCTGCTGTTTATGATTACAAAATTAGAATATCAATAAAATGCTTCCAGTGTTTTGCACAGTCACATATAATTAATGTGTTTGACGTGACACTGGGTAACTCTAAACAGTTTAATTTTTTTAACATATATATGTGTATGTATGTATGTATGAATGTTTTAGGGATAATTTTTCACTTACTAAACAGTTCCTTTTGGCCAGTTTATTTTTTTGCGTATTCGATGGACATGTCAGTTAGATTAATAATCTAGAATTAAAATTTTATTTTAATTGACTAGAAGAATATTATTACTTCCTTGAAAGCTATTCCCATTTCATAACTTCTCTCCTGAACATGCTGTAAACATTTATTGTTTGCTCAGGAGTCATGTTTCCTTAATACCTAGTGACGGAAAGGAACTTAATGCTGAAATATTTGTTCTATTTTATTAGAGTTGAACATCAAATCATATACTATAATTTCCTTTACTGAAAATAAAAGGGCCATACAAAATCTTACCAGCAATTCAAAGAAGAACCAAGAATACTTGAAGACTGATTCTCTCACCATGCCTGTGCTGACCACCATCTGAAGTGCGATCTCTTCATGAAAATGCTATATAGTATATTAAAACCCAAATGTGATTAACAATTGACTTTCAAGATTAGATTTCAAAGCAGAACTCTGAAAGGAGGAGATCCAAAAGGGAATCCTTTCATATTAGTCCCTGAACACACACAGGCAGCTAAACATTAAGAAAGCACACAATAACATGTTGGTGAAAAAGAAATCCCCTAGAAGACTGACCAAAAATAATAGCTGAAGAAGTGGTTTTTAAAAAAGTTTATTCTAACTGTCATACATTTTGCAATGGCAGAACTAGTACCATAGGGCAATCCTTATTAGTAGAGCCTAATAAACCTTACAATACTGTATCAGTAGTATTTTTTTCCAAGAAAAATTAGTAAGAATTAGTGATAATTGCATGTATGACCAACACATAAGTGGTCCAGAATGAAGGTCTAAATCTTCTGTAGCATGCAGTTATATTTTAAGTTAATTCATTTTAAGTTAATGAAGATGAAGTCTACAATAATACAGTAGTGGCCAAAATTGTGGAGGTTTGTATGAGGTTTGATGACTAATAAGTAATAATACCACGTTTTTGGGGAGCGGTACCATAAAATTATATATCAATGGAAAGATAATTTAATCAAGAATGTAATGCAACAAAGTTTATTCAATTATCTGTATTCTATGAAAAGTTATAGCCAAATAACCAGAAAAAGGAAGCACAACTTGCTTAGATTGATATCAGGTTGTTCTGCCCCAGCTTCAGATTCCCAGAGAATGTGACACACACCAAGCTTCACAAACACTGTTTAATTCCAAACAAACCCCTTTCAAGAATGCAGGCTTCCCGTGCAAAGGGTCCTTATCAAAGTTATTAAGAACAAAGTCCGACAAAGGTTGGCAACCAGCCCAGAAAACAAGATATGAGAAGTCGCTCGCTCTCCAAGATGCTCTGTAGTAATGAGTTGTTTCCAGCAAGAAAGCACTAGCTGCATGCAACTTAAGTAGGCTAAGGGAGTGACTAATTCTCCTCAAGCCCTACTCTCGAATAGACCTCCTCCTCCTGAGTAGCCACTCCTGCCTTCTGGCAGCCCTGCATGCCCGAGCATTGAGGAGAGGCTCCTCCACTTCGCTCTCTCCACTGGAAGGAGCCTCTGGAGGTTCTGAAGGCCCTGGCTGAGTCTCTGCCTCTGCCATCACATTCTCTTCAGCCTCCTCGCTGTCCAACGCGAGCGTTGGCTGTGAAGACTGCTGGCGCGACACCACACCAGCCTCCTCTTCATCAGGATCAGACACGATTCGCGTAGGCCGCTGGCCGGCCACAACACAGGTAGCTTTCCTTCATCTGATTGTAGCCAATAAGCATGGGTGTTTAGAGAGCCAATCAGGTGTCATCTTGTTTTGGCAATGAGCCAATCAGATCACAGTAGGATTCAGTTATTGATGTCATATATTGAAGCTGAGAGGAGAACATTTGTCAGTGTGTTATGTGATCGCTATCAAGTTGGTTGGGTTTTTTTGTGTTCTTTCATTTAGCGAGCTTGTAAAAAGTAATAAAATTAAAGCATGGTGCATAGAGTTGACTGATCACCCAGAAAGCAGTGTAAAATAGTATTATTAAGTGAACAAGGCTACAGTGATAAAGAAATTAGAAGAAAAATTGGTGGAAACTTAACCAAAGGTGGCATTTTTAAGCTTTTGAAGAGGTATAAGGAGACACGGTCACCACAAAACCACACTGGTTAAAGCAGGAAAAGGTGTACAATAGCAAGTGATGATAGAAGAATTAAGAGACTGTGCCTATGTGACAGAAGAAAATCATCTGGGTGTATACAAGATGAAATGGCACAATGCAATGTGAATTTGAGTGCAAAGACGGTTCAGCGCAGACTGCAGGAATTTGGCCTAAAATCTAGAATTCCACGATAAAAGCCACTTTTATCTCTCAAACAAAGGTGGAAAAGACTAAACTGGGCTAAAACCCATATTACCTGGACAGAGGAACAATGGGACAGTGTTATTTGGAGTGATGAGACCAAGATCAATAAAGTGGTGTTATTAACCATCAGACCTCAAAAATACAATTTTCCCAAAAGGTTTCCACAATTTTGGCCACTATTGTATGTGTAAAAGGAGACTGTCACATAAAGCAGCATGGAAGCCTTTAGCTTTAGTAAGAATGAAATTAGACACCTTCCAGTTATTTAAAGATTATTCAAACTTAAATTGGACTGAATGCATTGACGACTTAGGGTGACTGAGCTGGGATTTTCCTTGCCATTTGGCTTTCTGTTATTCCTAAATCCCAGAATACATCAAACATTTATCCCATAAAGAGAATCTCCCTTCTTGTGTGCTTTTCCTTTTTTTGCTGCAGTACAGAAAGGTAATTTATTGTGATCTCTAGAGAACAGCATCTAAAATACAGGTAGTCCTCGACTTACAACAGTTCATTTACAAAGTTCAAAGTTACAATGGCACTGAAAAAAGTGACTTATGATCATTTTCCACAGTTTCAATCTTTGCAGCATCCCCATGGTCATGTGATTAAAATTCTGATGCTTGACAACTGGTTCATATTTATGACTGTTGCAGTATCCCAGAGTCATTGTGATGACCTTTTGCGACCTTCTGACAAGCAAAGTCAATGGGGAAGCCAGATTCATCCGTGTTACTAAGTTATCAACTTCAGTGATTCACTTAACTGGGGCAAGAAAGGTCGTAAAATGGGGCAAAATTCACTTAACAAATATCCCGCTTAACAACAGTAATTTTGAGCTCAATTATGATTGTATGTTGAGGACTATCTGCATACAATTATCCTGTTTGTATTTACTCAGACAAAATTCCTTTATAATCACTGAGGTTTCCATTTCAGTAAATATGTCTGAAACATTAGCTTGGAATTATAGTTTATTTCATTTTTCAGTTTCATATTTTAACCTAACACAAAAGGGTCCTAGAACTGACAAATATTTTACATCACAGGTGTTATTACTTATAGGCCCATTGTTTTTTTCGTGAGAAATTTAAAACAAAATTGGAGCCTAGGCATTTCAGAATGAGAATTGAAAATTCTCATTCTGAATGAGAATTCAGGCATGTTCGTAATAGAGTGTCTATCAATGAGCAGTTTGGCATTATGTGGCAGTCTACCTTTTGTTTGGGTAGGCGAGCGCTTGTGCGGGGACTTGACATATCACTGTTGGATTCACTATAGAAAGACACACGGCTGTAGTTCCGCTCTGCAACCTGGAGAAAATGACCAGAAGCCATACAGAAAAAGAATTACTAGAACAGCAAAGGAAGGAAGGAAGGAAGGAAGGAAGGAAAGAAGGAAGGAAGGAAGGAAGGAAGGGAGGAAGGCTGTGTATGAAGTATGCAATGAATATGTTCTTACATTTTTTTTCCACTAAATTAAACACATAACTGACCCCATGTGTTTCAATTTAGTACTATATACCTATGCACGTATACATTGTATTATACCTTTAGAGCGCTCCATGGCATCGGACCGGGGTATTTACGAGACCGCCTTCTGCTACCAATAGCCTCTCACTGACCAGTACGCTCTCATAGAGAGGGGCTCCTCAGGGTGCCGTCGGCCAAACAGTGTCGACTGGCGGCCCCCAGGGGGAGAGCCTTCTCTGTGGGGGCACCTACCATCTGGAACGAGCTCCCCCCAGAGATACGGAGGATCCCGGACCTGCGCACGTTTCGCCGTGCTCTCAAAACTTTTCTATTTCAGCAGGCTGGCCTGGGCTAATTATCCTCTTTTAATTATTTTTTTTTAATTCGTGATTTTATAAATTGGGTGTTTTAATCTGTGTTTCGGCCAAAATATTTAATAATTTTAAGGGATTTTTAATATTTGTATTATCTGTATTTTATCTTGGCTGTTCACCGCCCTGAGTCCTTCAGGAGTAGGGCGGTATAGAAATTTGATTAATAAATTGATTAATAAATAAATACCTATTCAAACACTGTTTACATTGCAATAAAAATGGAAGAAAAACAAACATTTCTTTTCTAGCACAAGGATAGAGAAAAGCTCTTTTTATATTAAGAATGTTAAATGAGAATCAGAACCATGATTAATACCCAGAGCAGTTATTTTTCAATGCACTTAAAGGGCAAGTGTATTTCATTGTATGTAATTTGCACCCCAGATAACTCATTGGATTAAAATAATTTTAACAGTGTAGTAGTTGAAAGCTAATGTTCAGATACAATAATACAACCTTCTAACTGTACTCTTTTCTTTCTCATTATTTTGTAAGATTGCTAATCTTTAGATTTAATCTCAATTTCTTCTCCTTATCTTCATTTTTTTATCTTTTACAGATAAAAATATTACCAGCATTTTTAAAAATGAACTGACCACCACATATAGAAATGACTAGCTGAATACCCGTGCTTCACTACAAAACTATGTGATCGGGCTTGATAAATCGACACTTACAGCTTGAAAATGAATGAGTAGTTATGTTCGGCCTTCCTTCTCTTCTTCAGCCTTGCCCCACAGAAGCGTATCCTATCCTATCCCCTTCTCTCCCTCAGGCTTGCTCCACAGAAGCCTATCCTATCCTATCCTATCCTATCCTATCCTATCCTATCCTATCCTATCCTATCCTATCCTATCCTATCCTATCCCACTCTCTCCCTCAGGCTTGCCCCACAGAAGCCTCCCCTATCCTATTCCCTTCTCTTCTGGAGATTTTGTGATGATGCGTGAGTGGTATTTCACTTTTATATATATAGATTCTAGCTCCTCTGCTACCCAAAACCATTTATGTTACATGTAGAGCTCATGGATGAGTTCTGGTGCTTGTCATATACTGGTCAGATAATTTCGATCGAGATGCAAGAAAGAAAAATATTTGCATAAAATGTGAATTTAACAGAAATGGAGGGGTTTCCATTAAATGAGCTATGGTGGTGCAGTGATTAGAATGCAGAATTGCAGACTAACTCTGCCCACAGTCAGGAGTTTGATCCTGACCAGTTCAAAGTTGACTCAGCATTCCATCTTCCAAGGACTGTAAAATTGGAACCCAGAGTGCTGGGGGCAATATGCTGCCATTGTAAACTGCTGTAAAGCACTATGAAGCTGTATACAAGTCTACGTGTTATTGCTATTAAAGCCCACTGTCCACTGAATATGAATTCATATTCATATACATGAATATGTATAGTATTTAACTTACATAAATATATGAATGTACATATTTGATATAAAATGTATATGGAATTTATATAAATTCCACACATTTGTGAAAAGAATTCAGACCGAGACACCAAACAATAGACTTTTCTATTATTTGGGGGTAAAGTCCAACGTAAGATTTTGTCCATTGCATCCAAGCTTCACCAAACAGAAGTCCAAACATTTGAGGTTTTATTACATCAACAACCTTACGGTAATTTTAGCAGTCTAGAATTGAATGCTCCACTCTTACCTTTGAGGACATGATGCTTTTCACTTCTTCATCAGGAACATTCTGGATCCCAGCAATATCTGGATTGCTACAGCTTGTTGTCCGACTCTGCAAAAGTCGAGATCCCACTGAGACAGCAGCCGTACGGCCATATGTGTAATAACGAGATTCAGGAAGATTTGTGCTTCCACTTGTACCTGCCAAGAAAAAAACATTATGCTGCCCATTGGTATTTTTTTTTAAAAAAACATGCTATGACATTGCTGGATCCCAAAAGTGATAATTTTGCCCTTTTTTGTACAGGGAAATGTTCCCTCCTATCCTATCCCTCTAAGCGAATACGTTTCTGCTCCTGAGCAAATCCATCATCCTATATTTCAGCACAAGGCCCTCTTCTCACAATCATTTGAATATTTTTGCAGAAGTAACAGCAACATTACAACAATCGAGTTGAAAGATTAGCCAGATTCAGTTTATATAGGGTCCATAAACAAGTAAAAATTCTTTCTCTAAGTTGAGTTAAAATGCAAGCACTATGAATTTTTTCCAATTTAAAAAGTTATAAACATTTTCAATGAGAAAATGTTCTTCTTTCTTCAAGGAAAGAAAAATCTTGTATTCAAAAATTAAAAATAAAAAAGTTTTTATTTTTTATTTTATTTTTTTGCATTGCTTACTTCAATCAATTACAAACAGGGCTTTCTTTTTCACAGTTCAGATATGCAATCCCATATCTTAGTCAGCAAAGATTATAGAAATGACTGACAATAATGGCCTTATCTGGCCAAAACATAGCAACAATTGTCCTTCCTGAAGTTTATTCTGCTCACAATCAGAGATTAGCACCACTGCATAATGTCTGCTAATCCTATCTTCTTGATTGCAACCAAATCCAAGCACTAATTACAGTGAAATCAAGGTTTAATTTCTTACACAGGCTTGAAGCAAGGCATGTCTGCAATAGGGGGTCAAGAGGACTAAAATGATGGATCCAACCTCACCCCCTTATAACAACCCCCTTATTGATGCATGTGAAGAGGATCAATCTGCAGTTCTGCCTCCCATTGTGGCCCTGCTGATCCCCGTTTATGGCTCTGCTAGAAGCTACTCTCTATGGTTAGAAGAAACAATTTTCACCTGATTCTTGTTTGGAGAAGTCTAGTCAGGTTTAAGGCTTTTATTTTTGACATTGTGAGAACTATTTCCTGCAAGATACAGGACTTACATGGAGACTGTGAATTGTAGTTCACCCAAAAGAAGATGAATTCTTGGCAGAGAACATAGTCTTTCACAAGTTTGTACTTGTGATATGTTTTCCTCTACCTAAATAGTAAATGCTATGCTGAGCATGTGGCAAATTAAATAATCTGCAACAATTTGACTTAAATTCCTTGGTTAAAAATGGTATCATGCAAGATATTCACGACAATGTTTATTTGCCTGGTCACCACAGGATAATTGGCAAGTTTTTTTAAAAAAATCAAGGATACCATATCCTCAATTACTAATCCACTGCAAGTTTGACTGTTGCAAATAATGTTTGGGGGTAAAGCTAAAGGTAGATGGAGATCCCCATTCTCTGACACTCCTTTCTCCTCTTTCTGGTATCTGATGTCTTTCTAAGCCACAGACCAGGGGTGAAATGCCCGATCACCCGATCTGGTAGTGATGGTGGCAGGTGTTTCGGAGAACCAGTAGCAAAAATCCCTGCGCCCCCCCCCTCATGCCCAGCTGAGTTGCCTGATTGGCAGAGGATTTTCAAAGCATTAGAAAAAATGCTTTGAAAAGATAAAAAAAAAAAAGTTGGCCACGCCCACGTGTCACATTAAACCCCCCCACCAAGCCACGCCCACAGAACCGGTAGCAACAAATTTTATATTTCACCCCTGCCACAGACCTCACCAGATGGTGTTTTGCACAGAGTTTTTCAAATCAGAGTAAGGGCAGCATAAAATACACTTGATAGGGGGAGGCTGGCTAAGCCAGGTGTGCTGAATATCCTATAGTTTTGCTATCTTGATTGTTTTCACTTGAAATGAATCTTACAGAATTTGGTGCAAGCCTTATGGAATCCACTGGAGCTTAATCTGAGAAAATATTCATAAACTCCACCTGTAAATAAGTGTAAATAAGCACCAATTTTATACTTGTAACTATAAATAACAAGAGATTGCAACCATACCTAGTTTGATAAAATCTCTCTGAACTTCAGGAAGACGGAACACATAATACACGTATGATGCTAGGAGACAGTTTCGCCCATGTTGGTCCTGGCTCAGATCTTTACTGTTGTGGAGACTATTCACTATTGCCACCACCGACTCAAAGGCAAACTGGGAGAAGTTTGCTGGAAACAACAAAATAATTTTCCGGATTGAGTTTATATGTAAACATGACTCATTTTTGTAGATTTTCTAAGAACATTTCTGAATTTCAACTTATTTCATCACAATTTGGCACTGGGAAATGTAAAATGATTTGAGAATAAAGTACTCCAATCCATATTTAAAATTAATGAATACGTAAAACATATACACTTCAAAGCCACATAGTACTTAAATAAAATAGCAGTTTTTAAAAATGTCCAGATCATTAAAAATGCCTTAATAGGGTATTCCTCAAGATGGAATGAATGGAAAACAGAGCCAAAACTCAATATGTATAACTCATTCATTAAATTCAGATTCAGTCAGACTTAAGGTAGATCCACTGATCAGTCTACTCAGCCTGAATCTGTATTCAAAGCAATGACTTTATTCATGAAATCTGCATATAAAAAAGCAAAATTATCTCTGGTGTGGCAGAAAGGGTCTATCAATCCAGGAAAACTTTTTATAAAGTTTCAATTTCTGATTTCTATGAGACAGCTGAATAGTTTGTTTGCTTGATCTGAAAAAGAACGCTTTAATATTTTTTAAAACATTGTTTAAAATGTTTCATACCTGTCTGGCCAGCTATAAGCATGGGCTGGACAGACAACTGGAACAGTTTATCCAACACCAAGTGTAAAAAGTGCACCAGAGGCTCAAGGCGGGAAGAATTCAAGCAAATAATGCTGAGTTTCAGTTCATGTTCCAGACTGCCTTCTGAGATTTTCTCATTCAACACTCGGATGGGGAAAGTAACTTGGCATTCAAGTGCATGGCACAGGATGAAGAATTTCTCCAGGTGATTGTCCTATAAACACAACCCCCCAAAAGTATGAATGATGTGTAAGCTTATTATAGAGCTTGAATTGCTCCTGTCATATATTTATCACAGTGGAAAAAGGAAACATGTATTTTTTCTATTTTTTTAGTTAAATGCATAGTTAAAACAGTTTAAATCTTCAGAACCAATCCAGGTCTTGCAGAAACCAAGTTTTAAAGTCTTCCCAATCTTGATGTAGTTAGTCTAAGAGTTAATGTCTTTTAATTAACAATATTTTAAAAATCCAAAACTATTATGATTCATCTCACTAAACTTGTGTAATTTTTTAAAAAGATGCTTTATTTCAAAATGTGAAATAATGTCAACATTTAAAGGCCAATATTATTACTCCTTTTTGCAAAAACTCTGCCTCTCCAAATCAACTTGCAAGCTGATTTTCATATATACATATATACAGCATATCAATGAACGCTATTAAACTGTGAATATCAGTATTTTTCTTAAGCAAGATTAAGAGAGATACAAAAAAGAATGTTTCAGAGAGAAAAAATGCCCATGAGAAAAAAAATCATTTTCAAGTTGAACAAAATTAGAAAAAATTATTTTAGCGCTGACATAACTCTGGCATAACTAATATTAGTCCCAGTCATTTAGTCATTGAAATAAATTATTTTAAACCTATGAAGCAGCTGCCAAAGAGGGGCATAAATCTTTGCTGACTGTTTAGACCACTTAGGTACCAGGCATACTGGACATTTGCTTCTACTTTTTTAATATGTGAATTTAATTAAAAGCTATGAAACCGCTTTTACCTAGAAGGTTGCTCTGATTGCTCAATTTGATATGCAGTATAAATATACTCTAACCTAAAAGAATCATGAAATTATACATTTATACAAGATATATTCTCTTTCTAGCTCAACTTTTTTGCAGTTTAACTAGAAAGACAATGGTTAATCTACTTTCTAAATTTGATAACCTCCGTTTTATGAAATTTGATGTTTTAAAGATCAGTAATTGAACTTAAAGAATGAATTTGAAAAAGAAAACAGATTAATTTTTGCATGAATGGAAACGCCCTCCCCCAATTTCTTACCTGGGTATGAACTGATGATATACCTTGCACTTCCACGTTAAACACTCCCTTGTGTCCTTCCACCCATTTAATAGGAGGAGATTGTGGAGGAACTTTCTATATGGAAGACAAAATTGGTGGTCAAAATGTATGTGAATACATACATTTCTATAAATACAATAGAAAAGGTAATGAATTCACATTTATGTTTACTTGGTGTCGAGTCTTTTTGCACTGAACACAAAATATTTATAGTTAACATTTTAACAGCTGCCACTTCAACTCAGAACATTTCCAGGCTATTACATTCATACAGTTATGGCATCTTCCTCAATATGGCACCCTTTCAAAATATTCGTCTCTCAAAATAAGTAAATTTCCATCATTCTTCCTTATTATAATGATCTGTGGCTAGTGCACCAGCCTAAAGGAACAAATGAATAATTCAAAAATATCTAACATGTAACCAAATGAGGCAAATGGAGAATTACCACTAAATCTTTTGATGTGTTTTATTCAAAATAAATACCCAGTTCATTATTGGAATTGGCTGGATTCCAATGGCTGGAAATAAAACTGTTCACATTTCACATTACAGAATCAGATTCTATTCCAATAGTTCTATGTTATTTAAATATTATGAGACAGCAGTTCTTAAAATGTGTAGTCTGGGGGCCCCAGGATGGTGATTGTATCAAAAACAAAGACATATTTTCAAAATTCTCAATTTTAATTTCTATATAGTAAATATTGATAGTTATAATCCATTTAAAAGTTCTCAATTGTTTTTAAAAATATACACAGATTTTAAGACAAAAATCATTGAGAACCATTATTATACGATGTATCTGTGTTTTTAAATCACATGTCTCTGTATATGTACTTCCATTTAAGGAAGGCAAATGTTATAATATTAGGAGAAAAATGTTAACCGTGTCCTTTTCCATAGGCAAAATGATTCTTGGTGCTTTTCCTCATTACCTCTGCTGAGTGCATTGAATAGTTGGCAGGCAGTTTATCCAAAGCAACAGGCAGGCAATAATGTCCTGTTTGGAGCCGATCATTTAACAGAATTGGTAGCCACTGAAACAGATGACAAGAGAAAGAGTTATATCATTACTGCATGAACGATTGATAAGGCTTAATTTCATTCCAAGTAAATGGATTAGAAATCAACTGAAATCTGTTTCTTTCCACATTTGTTCTTGCAAGACCTTTACTGTCTATCAGTTTCATTATTGGCATTCAAATGCAATTACTGACATTTCTGCCTCCAAACTGCCCCTCTGTAAAACTATTGATTTTCTGAAAATCCTCTCCCGTCCCAAATCACGAAACTTTTCAAGAATCCAGAATAATGTATGGAGAAGATCCCATGGACCAGTTATATGCTTTTGTACCAGAGTGTTCACTTTCCCTCATCTAGTCCATTCCTAGCCTGAGTGGCAGAGATGTACATCATGCAGATAATAAATGTATATGATATCCAGTACATCCCATGGATGTTCTATATGATGTAAACTATTTTATTTATTTATTTATTTATTTATTTATTTATTTATTTATTTATTTATTTATTTATTTATTTATTTATTTATTTATTTATTTATTTATTTATTTATTTATTTATTTATTTATTTTGTATACCGCCCTTCTCCCAGAAGGGACTCAGGGCGGTGAACAGCCAAAATTAAAAAACATACAAATACAAAAATTAAGATAATTAAAAAGAATTAAATCCCTAGCTTCCCAATTTAAAACCCCCAAATCCATAAAATTTAAAATCCCAATTTAAAAACCATTTAGGCTAGGCCGGCTTGATGGAATAAAAACGTCTTCAGGGCTTTACGGAAGGTCCGTATATATGAGATATATAGATGATCTGTGACAAAATAAGTAACTTCAAACAGAAATTAGGTTAAAATTCCTGCATAAAACCTTGACTGACACACAAAACGTGGTATTTCATATAGATGTTTGCTGTGATGTGAAACATCCATGAAACACCACATGCAATACTCAGAAGGCATACACTATACAAGAAAGCCCTTATAGGTATTAGATAAAGTGAACTATGAACCACTAACGCTTTTGCAATAATACATTTGTTAGTCCTTAAGGTGATACAAAGCTGTGCAAAAGGTTACCTCACTGACACTTATGAAAAATGTGCAATAGAGATCCATAAATATTAAACAGATGCCTGCAAACTGTGTAAAGTTTTACTTTGTCAAATAAATAAGAATTACAGGTTTGTGCAAGAAATATGCAACACAAGTGACAAACCATTGATTGCTTCTGTTGACAATTACAAATAATTTGCACATTGAGTAAATAGTACAATACAATTTATGTTTCACACTTGCTTCTTTGACATTTTGCTTCTGTATAGTGGACAGAAGGTCCTCAGCATGTGACAGTGCTTCACAAAGTTTGTGTCTGGTTCTAAAAGTCAAGTAGAATTGGGCCACCTGGAGGGTAACACCATAAAACCCCAGGGAGTAGGCTAGATTAGAAAAAAGGCAATGGCAAATTGTTTTTGTACATTTGCCAAGAAAATAATGTCAGTTTTTACACTGTTGCCAAGAAAAATTACATGCATGTGTCCATGAACTCACCAGGAATCAAGCTAAATTCAAATGAAATTTTACAGGATTTTCAGTTGCCAGAAACAATGAAAAATTCATTTTTTCCAAGGAACCAAAACGGACTTACTGAATAACCCAGGAGAGTTTCTACAGAAGCTCCTTGCTTTGACTGACAGCTGATGTGGTAAAATGTGAACAGCAGATGGTGTTTTTCTGTCAGTTTAGCCGGGAGTTTAATTTTCACTTCTTCATAAAAATCAGGACACCTGTATTTTTTAAAACAAAAAGATATCTACATGTATATGTATATCTTGTATTGATATATAAGTAGCAAACATACAGCCTTCTTTAAAGAACTTCAAGTTTCTTTACCTATTTATTAGTTTTAGTGTATAGCATATCATAAGATTTGTGATAGTATAAATCTGTCACAGAGATCATAAATAATAAAAAGAAATAGGAAGTGTAATAGAATTTATAGATCTAACCGAAGTTGAAGAAAAGACCAAGGAATTGCTGCTACAAGTCCAGAAGAAAATGAAATCTATATTTTTAGATGCAAAATATAACATTGTTTACCAATAAATATAATTAAAATGTGATTTCTTTGATCAGTGTAGACTAGGGGTGTCACACTCAATTTAATTGAGGCCCGCATCAGGGTTGTGTTTGATCTTGGAGGGCCGGTGTGCGTTTGGTGTGTGGCCGGGGGGGTGGGTCCATGGTGGGCACGTGACATAGGCTCAAGATACGTTTTTTCCCCTTCTCTTCTTTCTTTCCACAGTTCTTTACTATAACCATTTTGCTATCTCTTCTACCAGATATTACTGGCAAACATTTATTACTTATTCTTCATAGTCCACTAAACTTTTCATTTCTGAATTTATACCCCATTGTTTAATGGTAAATTGTTTTTCCAGGCAGAAAAGCTATTTATACTATTGTATTTTTATTATTCAACTAATAATAAAAATACAATAGCATAAATAACATGATAATACCAACAGCAGAGGTAAATTTCCAGGATAATAAATAGAAATGGCTGTCAATGATTGTTGATTGTAGATTAAATGGACCTACAGTATGTAAAATCTGGCATTAAACTGTAGTATTAACATAGGATGTTGCTTGCTTTCCATCCAGATCAGGTACTTACTTGAGGCCACATAATTGTAATCCAGTCCAATCCAGTCCTCCTGCAGCACTTTGCGGGCCGAAATCAGTCTGTGTGGAGGCCCCACAAGGCCCATTTTTTGCCTCCCCGGCCTTCAGCAGCACTCTGCCGGCCAAAAACAAGCCCCACAAGGGCCTTGCCGGCAGTGTGCTGCAGGAGGCCGGGGAGGCTGAAAACGGGCTGTGGGGTACTCACATGGCCTCCCTGCGGCCCGTTTTGGTTGGCAGAGGCACCACGGGCCAGTCCTTTGATATTTCCAGGCTGGCCCCACAGGCCAGATTTAAGCACCCTGTGGGTCAGATCCAACCCACTGGCCTTGAGTTTGACACCCCTGGAGTAGATCAAAACCAATATACGTTTATGTTGCAATAATGGGGAAGCAAAATTTTGTCCTGCCAGGTTTAGTAGTAATTAACCATTGAATTAATGACGATATTAACATGGAAATTATTCCTACATTTTTATGTCCAAAATGGACAATTCTGGCCTTATCCACAATTGACATCACTTCATCCAATGTTAAGTAAAATTGTGCTTAAGGAAATTCACACTTATATGGGAGACAAAAAGAAACCATAGTCAATTCCTGATTATACTGTATAGATTATAATGCTACTCTTAAGTAACATGAAACACTATGTCTTAACTGTTCACTTTTTTTTTAATTCCTTGTTCACGTTTTTTTTGTTGTTGTTTCAAGACAATAAATGCATAGTAATTGTTTTAATTACTGAATATAAACACCTTTAATGAAAATGGTTTAGCTCTTTTTATACCCAGAATTTATAACTATTCATTGTTATGCAAATAGTGTATATTTGAACCTAAGGATACAGATGGTAATAATAATGACCTTACTTGTTATGATATGTTACAGGAGTGTAAATCTCTTGTATGAACTCTGGACCTGTAGATTTTCCAAATATGACCTAGACAGAAAAATATAATTCATTAAACGAAGCAAAGTAAAAAGTTACCATGATCCAAAGATACTTTGGGGGAGGGAGGCAGAATATACCAATTATTTGAAATTGGCAATATTGATTTTATTTCTGATAACGTTGAAGTCATGCAGCCATTATTTTAAAATATAAAATCATAAAATAGATATGTTATGTTGTCATTTCTTTAACTGGTGACATGGAAAACAGATTTTAAATTGGCAGTCAATATCCATCTTCTTAGAAAGAAATAGGTATGTATTGCCCCTGCTCCGTCAAGTGTCCAATTTTTATATACATCTTTTATTTTTTATACATCTTTTATAGTGTCTAGCAGCCGCTGACTGGACATTATAAAAGATGACACTGAGATGACCATGGTGCATCTGAAGGAAGTAATGAGGACAGAGGGGCACAGAGAATGCTGTTCCATAAAGTGGCCGAGGGTCGGACATGACTGAATGGCTGATGACACAATGTTTCATCAACCCTACAACTGAAAGTTGGCCACAAAATCTCAACTGTTAGTGGCAAAAAGCTAGTCAACCTGGCTTTAAAATAAAGGTGAAGAGCTCCTGGGATGTATGTTTGTTTATTTGTATGTAAAACAAAGTTCCAATCAAATAAAATTGAGCATTTTACTCTATAGCTAGTTATTAAATGAAAATTATAACCAAAATTGATCAACATAATACTTTAGCAGATGAATTATCAGAGCATAGCTAATTTTTATTTTTTTATCATACAGGTAGTCCTTGAGATATGACCGGTTACTTAACGGCCATTCAAAGTTGCAACAGGATCTCCAACAGCTACATACAACCCCGTTTTGAAGTTATGGCCTCTGCAACATTTCCCCCGTGTATTCCCCCTGCCAGGACCCCACAATGCTTGGGTCTGCTCCCCATATGCCTACCACCCATTGCACAATTACAATTCTGAACACCAGAATGCAATTTAGCCTATGGAAATAAAATGCCTGCTTCCAGAACTGCACCATGCAGCCAAGAGAGAAATCTCCATGGCCTTGCTAATGCTTGCCAGGCTGAAAAAAACATCTCCTAAGTGGAATGAGTGTCAACAATCTGGAAAAGTTTGGTTTTATCCCAAGATAATTGGAAGCATTTGTTGCAGAGAAGAGCTAATGTATGGGAAATTTGTATGGAAAACAGATCTGAATAATTCTGCACAAACTGAACAGGCAAAAGAACAAAGGACTTTCTTACCGGCATTGCACAGGAAGGATTTTCTCCACACATATATTGAATCTTAATGGTAATGTTTCGTCCTGAAGCCAAGCGGTTTGCAAAATTCAACCGCTGTGGATACACATAAAGAAGATTTCTGGAGGGAGAGAAGGATGATTGATGATGATGATGATTTTAATTAAGTTTATGCTAGTTTCACTTTCCTTTTCCTCATCAGCAATACTTTTTCCCCCCAGAGAAATACTAATGTACAAAAATCCTGAAAGTGGATTTCACTTTTTTTAAGACAAAGAAATGCAGCATTTTCTTTTAGATTATCCCTTTTAGAAAGCCAGAATAAACATTTGTCTCCAAGTACAAGGATGAAAAAAAAACTTTGTAATTTTTGGATTATCAGGCAAGTGAAAGAATATGTTCATCTCCAAATTATTTTAGAAACTATCAAAGGCAAAAAAAAAAAAAGGATGTAGAAGAAAGGTATTTTGTGGGGGACACAAAATTGACAAGATGATGGACAGAGCATCACAACGCAAATATCATTCTCCTTTGAATGCAAGAGATATAGATACATAGATACATACATATATACATACATACATACATATATACATATATACATGGGTAAGGCTGAGATTGCGACATTGTATCTGTCTTCTTGCCAATTTTGACAAAACCCTGTCCTGTGAATGCTACTGATGCTAATGAAAATAAAGTTCAAAGCATGTAACTTATCTGGTAATTGAGGGACAAAAGAATGCAATTCTGAAACAATTTTATTTAAAAATTAATAACCCCCCTTTCCAGAAAGGAAAAAAAATCATAAAATATTTTAGAGTGTAGGTATGCAAGTGATACATGATATTCTTCAACATTTGTAATGAAATTTTAATTTTCAAAATTTCAATATTAATTTTAATAAGGTAGTCATCTGGTTGAAACTGGAGAACTGGTATACATCCAATTTTTTTTAACACCAAAAAATTTGATGCTTATCTTCATGAGCAGGATATTAAAGTTCAATTCCACCAAATCAAGAAAAAACAAGAGATCTTAGAAGGGCCCTCTAACATAAAATGAACCCACTCACTTTGCATTGACATCTCACCCACCTCATCCCTCATTTTACAAAAAAATCTTAAAACACCAGGGACCTAAAGATAGACTATTCTTAAGGCAGGATTTATTTAGGTTGGTGGCCATCTTAATAATAAATATGTTAAAACTATACTTGATAAATGGGAAACATTTTCTAATACAGTTAGGTATACAGGTTCTCACACAGTTACCAACACACCATAATTCTCATGACTTCCTTATTATATCATTACAGTATGTCAGAAGTGGTGAATCAGCTGAAAGTGCTGCAATAAACAAACAGGTCACAGATGAATGTTTTATTTCTTATGATGTGAATTATGTTAAGTAGAATATGATTAAAAAAGTGTTCAGAATTGATTTAAATTCAGTAAAGAACTTTTTTTTCTAAAAGTACAAACAGAAGAGTAAGAGACAAAGTCTGTTCTCGTTGCATACCAGGATATATTTCTTGAGCAGATTGATATTTAATGTATTTTTGGAGGTATTGTCTTTATCTTCTTACTTTAAAAAAATGAAATTGTAAAGTGATTTGTTTAAATAGATAAAAATAGCACTACAGAATTAATTCTCTACCATTCCTCATTGTAATCACTTTCCAAAAATATTTTGTCCTATTGAATGCCTTCTTTCTTGTTGTGAAGCATAGAGGGCTAAAAATAGGACGATTCCTCCATTTGAAGAGACCAAGCACAACATTGCTTATAGTTTTGTTTCTGAAGGTACACAGTTTCTTGAATAATCTCCACATTTGAAAGAGAATATTATTGAAATACATGTATACACAAGCTCTCTCTAGAAAACAGTGTGCATGTACAAATCAATAGTCCTGGTTCTCTAAGTAGCAGCACTATTTGCAGCAACATATATAAACTCTACCATACAACACTTCAGATGCATTTCTGTTGAGGAACCTACCATTGTCATTCTCAGAACACAGGCCTCAAAACAGTTAAAATGGACAGCAAACCCCAAAAATCCCCATTTCCTTGCTCTTCTTTTAAAACCAAGCTTATTTCTTAACCTGATTCAGAGCGGTGTTGTGTGAATTTTTACCTGTTTAAACATGCATCAAACCCTGCAGGTAGTTTTTGATGCATAAAAAATTGAACATAATTAATCATGATATTTCACTAACTACAGTAAACAAAGGCTTGACTTTCTCTTTATTATATGTGAGATATATATATACATATATATGTTTTCTCAGGTTTTCGCGGGTGTTTGTATGTAGGTCTTTGGTTATTCGGGTCTTCTCCCACGTAAAATTGGAAGTGTCTTGGCGACGTTTCGACGAAGTCTCATTCGTCATCTTCAGGCTGGTGTTCTCGGCTTCATGCTGCCAGGAGCAAATGGAAGCACGAAGCAATTCCAGAATTGCTCCTGGAAGCACGAAGCCGAGAACACCAGCCTGAAGATGACGAATGAGACTTCGTCGAAACGTCGCCAAGACACTTCCAATTTTACGTGGGAGAAGACCCGAATAACCAAAGACCTACATATATATATATATATATATATATTATATTATATTATATTATATTTTGCTGATAAAGAAATAAAGGGAGACTAGTATAGATCTATTTCAAGCTTTTTAGCTTTCATCAGCTAGGCATACCCTTACTCGGTTTCAAACTTGGGCTTCCTGCATGTTAGGCAGTTGAATTAACCTTCTGAGCCACAAGTTATCCTCCCTTCATCAGCTTGAGCCAGGATACACACACACACACACACACACACACACACACACACACACACACACAAAATTTGTTAGGAAATGAGTTTAAGCCTATTCAAGTCTCTATTTCTAGAGCATATCTAAAGAATTTTCTGAATAATTTCCTAAACTAAGAAAAAGGCAGACTGTTATAACCCTGATATTGCTGGTTCTTCATCCTGCTTTGCTAACTTTCATTTCATGAGGTAGTGAAGGATATAGCTACCGAAGACTCCCTGTATGTTTTTTCTAGCTAGGAAAAAATAATGGCTTAGGATAAATTTAAAAAGAAGATCCCTTCAGTCTAGATCTTGGTTTTTATTTTCCACTGAATTTTAGCAGGAAACAGAAAGAGGAAGAATCAGGAAGGACTTGGCACAGACCCAAATCATGCCAGAACTACTGAGAGTACAGCCATTACCAAAGTTGGTAAGGGAAACATAGACTGAGTCCTAGTTTATCATTTTTGCCATTTCCCATTATCTTTGTTTCATGAAAAATACTTTCTGCTTCTTATGGTCCAACCAAGCCTTGACCACAATGACTACCTGGTCAGAGCAGGATTCAGAACAATCAGTGAATTTAAGAAAACTACAAATCTGCGGAAGTAATTGTACAGAATGTTTTCGTTTTCATTTTAATGAGAGCAATCCAATCAGGGCTAAGCATATTCAAAGATTGTTCTGGGTAATTCTGGGGGGAAATAGAGGACTAGGAAGTCCTGGAAAACAACATGGCTAATTGGCTGCTGCTCTGAATAAAAAAACTAAAGAACTTCAACTTACAAATACTGCTTAAATCGTAAGTTGAAAACCTAGAAAACCAAACATGTAAAAGCGGCAGAAACAATTATGTGAAAAAGCATTATACTTTTATTTGAACTGATTAAAAGGGACAAACGTTTTCTGAACATTTGAAAAATAAACAAAAATCTTTGCTGCTTAAACACAAGAACTAACTAATATGATATTATTCCATAATAATCAGACCACCATTTACAATTCCCTTTCTTCCATTACCTCCCACAATACCTTGGAAGATACAGGTATCCAGAAAAGAATCTCTCATAATATCACAATTAGCAGGGTAAAACAAGCACAATAAATTAGAGAACTAATAAAAATCTAGAAGGGTCTTTCTTTCTTCCTTGTTCAGTTCCTGTTATTTATATATTTGTTTCTGTATTTAAGTTTAACATGTACAATGTAGGAGACTCCAATTATCTAGCTCTAGTAACCTAGAAACATTCTTATACAATAAAATTTAGACTAACCATTAAACACCCCATCATAAAAATTCTAATTTAGAGAACTCTGAATGGGTAAAACAGAAACAGTAATGGAAAGGCCAGCCTCAGTTCCAGTGGCAAGCTGTTCCACAGTTTAGTTCCTACCCTGGAAAAAATAGAGTTAGTTACTGATATCAAAGGTATCTATGAAGGGAAAGCTGCAGAAAAAAATACAAAATAATTGTCTTGTTACAATAGTTCTCTAGCAGCTGTTGTTTCTGTCTTCCAAGGTAAATACAGACAAAATATGTTTTCAATAATTTTATTTATTCATGAAAATCCAGATAACATAAGTATTTCCAACTGTTTTGATTTACACCTGATTCTCATAATTCAGCAAGATAGATAAAATATCTTACCTATATACAGTATGGGGCACATAGACTTCTCGTACTGGAAACTCCAAAATCTCCTTATGAATTCGGCTGCGATTCTCAGTGAATGGCTTTACTTGTAACAGTTCTGGGCTGAGGCAACAATTGAGGCCGTCTGATGCAGGGGAGATCTCCAATTTAAGCAAACCTTAGGAAAATTAATAAAAGGAAAGTGATGTGGTACATTAAATGTACAAACGCCATAAGAAAATCCCTAATCTAACAAACCTGGTTCACATATAGTCTAGATGTCCAGTTTCACTGCTATCTTAAATAAACTTCATTCTCAAACGCAAGGTCTCTAATGAATCTTTTTTTTTTTATTTAAGAATAGAAAGAACGACATCCCTGAACTCTTTGTGCAGCCAAAAGTGGCACCTCCTTCCAAACTCCTCCCTTTCCATTCTTCAACCCCAATGTCTCATTGGCCATCGTGCAGATCCATCTCTTCGTCCCAAGCACTTTCTTTTCACAGGAATTCCCCCCTCCCTCCATCACCCAGGTAACACTATCTTCTAAAGAGCAGGAAACTAGGTAAAAGTTCATCTCAGCATTAAAGCAAAGCTTCTCCCTCTCTCATTCATGTCAGCGCTGGAAGAGATCATAATTTGGAACGCTGACACTAGAATGTACTGGTATATATCCCAAGTCGCCTGACAGAACAAAAGCTTATTATTTTATCCTCCGCAGAATATTTAGCATGCATTAAAATTCATATGAGCACAAGTGTATGAGAACAGGTTCATCCCTTCCATCTAAGCGGGAAATAACAGAAAAATCTCGGGCTAAATATGGCCAGGATGTGTTAATCTGTAATAGGACAGCAGGGTTTACTCTAAGAGAAATGGGTCTAAGAGAAGCCCCTTGCGGAAGGCAAGACTCCTCATGGGAATTCTCCATTATGAGGGTCCAATGTCTTCACTACTACAAACAAAGACAGCTGGATATCTTTAAAAGAGATTAGATAAAATTATAAAGAACAAGTCATTGAACACTCAGTCTTATCTGTAGGATGGAGGCAGTATGTATCTAAATACTAGTTGCTGGACAATAAGGAGGGGGTTGCATCTTCAACACCTACTTACAGTATAAGCATCCCCAAAACATCCATTTGGCTAAACTGAGAAAGAAAATGCAGAACTAATATTGGTTTTGGCTGATAAAGTAGTAGTTGATTGAGGTGAAGTAAATTACAATGTTTTAAGTTTGGTTTGGTTAAGCAGGGGTGAAATGCTCCTGGTTCGGACCGGCTCACCTAATCTGGTAGCGATGGAGGCGGGTGATTCGGAGAACCGGTAGCAAAAATCCCTGCCCCTCCCATGCCCAGCTGAGCTGCGCGATCATCAGAGGCTTTTTTTCTTTTAAATGGCTCTGACAATCCAAGCTGAGTTGCCTGATCTGCAGAGAGTTTTTAAAAAACCCTCTGACGATCAGGCAACTCAGCTGGGATTGTCAGAGCTTGGATCGTCAGAGGCATTTGAAAGCATTTTTTTAATAACCTCTTCACTGAAGAGGTTGTAGAAAAAATGGTTTTAAAAGTTAAAAAAAAAAATTGGGCACGCCCACCCAGTCACATTATACCACCACCACCAAGCCATGCCCACAGAACCAGTAGTAACAAATTTTAGATTTCACCCCTGGTCTTAAGTCAGAGTCACACAAAAATACAAACCACAAAAACCAAACTTAAAACATTGTAATTTACTTTACCTCAATCATTTAAAAAATTCCATAATCCAGCAAGCTCTTTTTGCTAAAAAGCAAATTTATGTGTTTAAATATGCAGAAAATGTTTTAATATAAAAGTTATTCAGTCGCTTGGTATGTGTTTTTATTATCATTAAGGGCTGAATTAAGATTGATTTAAAATCAGAATAAACAGAATAGAACAGAATAATAGAGTTGGAAGGGAAGGTCTTCTAGTCTAGTAGCTCCACCCACCCGCCCGGACGTCTCTGCGTATTTACAGAAGTGTTGTGCATGCATGCACCCACGAGTGAACTGGTAGCGACGGGATTTGAAACCCACTACTGGTCCAACCCCCTGCTCAGGCAGGAAATTCTATACCATTTCAGACAAATGGCTGTCCAATCTCTTCTTAAAAACGCCCAGTGTTGGAGAATTCACAACTTCTAGAGGCAAGTTGTTCCACTGATTAATTGCTCTAACTGTCAGGAAATCTCTTAGTTCTCTCCTTGATTAGTTTCCATCCATTGCTTCTTGAACTTCAGGTGCTATGGAGAATAGTTTGACTCCCTCTTTTTTGTAGCAACCCCTGAGATTTTGGATCACTGCTATCATGTCACTCCTAGTTCTTCTTTTCATTAAACTAGACATCCGATTCCAGCAACTGTTCTTTATATGTTATAACCTCCAATCCCCTAATCATCTTTGTTGCTCTTCTCTGCAATCTTTCTAAGGTCTCAACATCTTTTTTACATCATGGCGACCAAAACTGAATGCAGTATTCCAAGTGTGGTCTTACCAAGGCATTATAAAGTGATATTAACACTTCATGTGATCTGGATTCTATCAAGATCACGTGAATAAAACATGCAAAAAACATGTTTAATTAATTCAACCTTCCTAGATTTAAATGACATATTATCTTGAGAGGTATTGTTACATCTATTATCTAAAAGTGCCAAGAGAGCTCTATTAAATTAAGCTTTACAGAATTCCTAATATTATTCAGAATAAGTAAACTTAAGCTGTTTGTAAGAAAGCTCTCTGGGCATCTTCTTAAGGCTCAGTAGATGTTTGTGACTGGACTCAAATCATTTTGGAATTCTGTGTCCTCAATTTGCCCAAAATTTACTGGTAATTAGCTCTTTCAAGGCCAGAGAGTAAAATATTCTGGGGCAGGGGTGGGTTCTACTTACCTTTACTACCAGTTCGCAGCGGGGCTGCGTGCATGCACTTGCTTCGCTCACATGTGCGCGTGCTCTTCTGCGCATGCGCAGAAGCATTTTGGTGATGTCGGGATCGGTGGGCGGAGCCACCTTCCGGTTTTACTACCGGTTCTATAGAACCAGTGCGAACCTGGGGCAACCCACCACTGTTCTGGGGTGATAAGTCATATTACAGCAAATTTTGAATGATATTTTACAACAAACCTGTCCAGATGTTATTAATGGAAACAACCCGATTAGGGCCAGGCGAAAAGCTCATCCTTACTTTTGCTTGTTGGCTTCTTACAGTGCTCATATTAAATTGTAGTTCCCTCAAGCATTTGAGCAGAAGAAATTTAATAAATAAGCCATTGTTTTTCTTGGGGAAAAATGGTTATTCAAAAATAGGTGAGATTTGGCCTGTATATAGTATGAGTATCTAATATTAATATTAAGCATACCTGGTATAGACTTTGTTCTTCTCTGCAACGAAGACCTTTTGTAGTCAGCTAAAAACTTGAATAAGTCTTCATCACTAAGCCTGTCTCCTTCCTGGAATGAGCAAGTTATTGAATATGATCTGTTGAAAACTAAGTTGCATCTTTATTTGTAATAAACTACATATAAAAATATATTGTATGACTTAAATTTATTGACAATGTCAGTTTCCTTGTTTCTGGTTTCCATTTATTCTACAGTATTGAGAAATAAATTTATCTTTTAATAATTTTTCATAGAGGACACACGTTTTCTCTTCCTGAACTTATTTTACTTCTACTCTGCTTTCTTTTACATCTTTCTTTCCTTTCTTGCCATATTTTTCCCCCCAAAATCTATTCTTGACAGGGCTAAAAGAAAGTGATTTTTCCCACTTTCAGAACTTTTCATCAACCTTTTATGCTTCATTAATTTTCTTAAACATTTCTAATAAAGAAACAAACAAATCACACTTTTACATTAAATTTCTTTCTTTTCCACACATTTGGATGAAAAGATTTATGTTTAAACCATGATTTTAAATAGTCTTTTTTTCTGAGTAGATGCCCACAAATACCAATTAGGTTGCTCAACAGTCCAGATATTTATGTACAGATAGTCCTTGCTTACCAATAAATTGATAAAGTCCTCGCTTACTAATGGTAATTGGTACCAGGAATTCCATCACTTAGTGACACAATCATAATATATGAAGTCACATGAGTGTGCTGACCTACAATAGCAGTTCCAGGAGTCCACTTGCTGTTGTTAGGCATATCCCATGTGGTTGCAGGGTCCCACAGTCACATGATCACCATTTGCAACTTTCTGCCAACCTAATGCAACCTAATTCCTACTTTCATATGTACTAACAACTATTTAGATAATACTACAGTAATTCATATTTTTCCAATCATCTCAGATTATTTAATCTATGCCCTACCTTCCCTTTCCTGAATGTATTCATCAAGTACACTCTACAACATAGTCCACCTTCATTCCAACCTTTATCATTTTTTCCTTTTATATTCCAGATTATAATCTTCCAAAACTACTGGTCTCTGCAGTCCATCATAGCCTTAATCAATCAAGGTTTTATTATAACACTTTTTAAAAAGTTAGGTAAGTTGTAGACTATATTTGTGCCATATTTGTGCTATATTTGTGCGGTATTCCTTGCTGACTGTAACTGTGTAAACAAAGCTTATTTTTATCCCATGTAATCAGTCTATTCTGTGAAAAGTAGGACCGCTAATCTAGAGATGACCATAGACTCTCATATATTCTTGCCAATTAGGAATTATACATCATCATCATCATCAAAAAACATTGGCCAATTTCTGATTAGCCAACATTCTAGAACTGGGCCCCGCATGCCAGCAACTGGTTCACGCAAACAAGCAAAGCCACATCCGTGAAATGGAAAAACCTCCCTCCACTGATCCCTGGAGCCCAAAAGGTTGGGGGCTTCTGTTCTACCTTACCAATCTATTTTGACAAAAGTTAGAGGTCTATAAATCAGGACAATAGTAGCAATATGGCCAGACCAGTACTTAGAACCCCTTTATACTACCACAACAAGGAATGGCCCTTGGAATTACTCATGTGGAAGAACTTCCCAACAGTGTACTGTACCTGTTTTAAAAAAGTGTTGAGAGTCAGAGTGGTGGTTCTGAAGTTCACTAGGCCAGGAATGTCATCTGAGCCAAGGCCTCTTTCAGAATATCTTCTAGATGGCAGTGTCAACGTTTTTCGATCGCCACAAGACCCTTTTCCTTCAAATGTGAAATTTTAATTGGATTTTACTTGGCTTAATGAAAAAGGAAATCGTAGCTATTGCTACATTGTACTATTTCAGAAAATTAATTACAGGTAGTTCTTGATTTATGATCACAATTGAGCCCAAAATAGTTGTTGCTAAGTGAGACATTTCTTAAGTGAGTTTTGCTCCATTTTATGACTTTTGTTGCTAGAGTTGTTAAGTGAATCACTGCAGGTGTTAATTTAGTCACACATTGTTAGGTTATTCTGGCTTCCCCATTGATTTCGTTTGTCAGAAGGTTGCAAAAGGCCTTTATATGACCCAGGGACACTGAAACTGTCATAAATATGAATCAGTTGCCAATCATCTGAATTATGATCATATGACCATGGGGCTGCTGCAATGGTTATAAGAGTGAAAAATGATATGTCACTTTTTTCATTGCCATTGTGAGTTTGAACAGTCACTAAATGAACTGTTATATATATATGTATAAATTTATATATATGTAGCTATATATAAAGAGTTAGAATCCCATTACAGATAGTCCTCAATTTACAACAGTTCATTCTGTGACCATTCAAAGTTACAATCGCACTGACAAATGTGACTTATACCCATTTTTCACAATTACAACCTTTGCAGCATACCCATGATCATGTTATTAAAATTCAGATGCTTGGCAACTGACTCATATTTATGACCTTTGCTGGGTCCCAAGGTCATGTGAACATCTTTTGTGACCTTCTGACAAGCAAATTCAATGGGGAAAGCCAGATTCACTTAACAACTGGGTTACTACTTATCAACTGCAATGAATCATTTAACAACTGTGGCAAGAAAAACCATAAAATGGGGCAAAATTCATTTACCCCATTTAATGTCCCATGAAGTGAGACATTTAATGTCTCACTTAACAAAGAAATTTTGGACTCAAAATTTGGACTCAATTTTGGTCGTAAGTCAAGGACTACCTGTGATCTCATTTATACAACAAACCTGTAGGATATACTGCCATTTTAAATGAAAACAAAGGATGAAACCTGGTAATTTGCTCAACCTCTTACAGGATTAATAATTAGTTTGTATGCTAGAATGTTGAAGATGCTACGGTGATGACTTAATACAGTATAAAGTATAGTGCCAATAAACACATCCTTTTTTCTTATCACAAGTGCATGTTCAAAGATTAATCTTTTAATAAGGCAAAAGGATGAGGTAGTAGTATGAGTTTTCCTGCAATTGAACTATTATTTCCAGAGCAAGGCTCTTTGGATCAGCTAAAAAAAATCTTTGGATCCAACTCTTTAATGATTAGATTAGATCAGATTAGATTAGAATTCTTTACTGGCCAAGTGTGATTGGACACACAAGGAATTTGTCTTTGGTGCCTATGCTCTCAGTCTACATAAAAAGAAAAGATACATTCATCAAGAATCATAAGGTACAACACTTAATGATAGTTATAGGGTACAAATAAGCAATCAAATACTAAGAAACAATATAAGTCGTAAGAATATAAGCAACAAAGTTACAGTCATACAGTCATAAATGGGAGGAGATGGGTGATAGGAACAATGAGAAGATTAATAGTAATGCAGACTTAGTGAATAGTTTGACAGTGTTGAGGGAATTATTTATTTAGCAGGGTGATGATATAGAGTATAATATAAAGTATAATATATTACGGTAGTGATAGAAACAAACACCATGAAGAGATTTTTTTTTTCAATTGTCCATCAATTATGAGGATTAGCTTCCATGCCAGAACACTACTTATTAAACTTGCTTAACTAGCTAGCTAGTTAAGGATAGCCTTCAATTTTTGTTCAGTATGGGCCCACATAACTCCATTAGTACTGTTATAAAATTACATAATTAAGAGAGAGTAGACATTTTCATTATAAAGTAGAATAGAAATAATGGCATTTTATGTGTTTATATAGTTAGTAGGAAATAGTTAATTACAGTATCTAGGATGAATTATAAGATATATACACAGTCATATTTAAACTTACCATTTAAAACTTCTAACTCAGCTATATCTTTCTCAAGTGTTGGAATACTAAAGAAACTTGCTAAATTTATAGGTATCCAAGCAAAAGGCATGCGGTACTTTCCTAAACGTTGACAAAAGTTCTCTGCTTGTTGTTTTAATTTCTCAATCTTTTCCTTAGTCTAAAAAATAGGCAGAAAAATATATCATAAAAATCAATTAAACAGAAAAGAAATGACCTAACATGTTGTCATGGCGGTCATACCATAATTTTTTTGCAGAATTGTAACTTAAAGCAAAAGCCAAAAGAGTCAGGGATAAATCTAGTCAACTAAAGCCTCATTCAATAAACAGTAGGCAGAAGTTAGGTGTTATGTTTAAAATATCAGTGCAAAGAAACTGAGAGTAAGAATCAAATGGGAAACCAGAGATTTATTTATGAAATTTAAATCTGGTATCCCAGATGTTACATCATCAGATGAGATTGCAAATTCATTGTAACAGTCCTAGTATTAATCGGGTTTGTAAGGTTAGAAATTTACATAAGTCTGACATATAGGTAGTCCTTGCTTTGTTTAGTGACTGTTCAAAGTCACAGTGGCACTGAAAAAAGTGATTTATGACTGTATTTCACACTTAATGGAGTTTCCTATGGTCGTGTTATCACCTTTTGCAATCTTTTGACAAGCAAAATCAATGGGGAAGCCTGATTAATTTAACAACCTTGTTACTAACTAAACAACTGCAGTGATTCACTTAACTGTGGCAAGAAAAGTCATAAACAGGGCAACATTCACTTAACTAACTTGTTTAGCAATGGACATTTTGGACTCAATTGTGGTCATTAGTCAAGGATTAACTGTACTTTGAGCTAATTTTTCAATTATTGGAGAATGCAAGCTTACATCCTAGGACAGATATTATCTTATAAGACTGCTATATTTGCATAGCAATATTTTTAGAATAAAAATTGGGTGATAAGATCAATTGTTGAGTATTTGATTATGTACATTTCAAGACATGGGAAGAAAAACTATACCTTGAAATAACACTTTAAATCTCAAGAATACAGAAAGATGGCTACATAAATATCCCTATTATCAGGGTAATAGATTTGCAGTTCCAGTTAAAAACTTTTATTATCTACCTTTCCACTTTCACTTTCTTTTAGAAAGATGTAGGGTTCTGCACAATCTCCAATTTCTCCTTGCTGAAGGACTTTTTCAATCTAACAAAAAAAAAAAAGAGAGAGAGAGAATCTAATTAACAACAAAATTTTAATAATAGTTCTATCCAGAATAACTAATGCCATGTTGCCTAGAAATAAAAAGAACTGTGGGCTATCACCACCAGAATGCACTAGGCTAGTCAATGTTGGTATATGCTGACTTGCTTGCTTCCATTACAGCCAACTCCTTCTGGCTCTAGTCAAAAAGTAAGAATAAGAAAGACACCATCATTAGAATACAAATAATATGACTCACCTTCAGCACAAGATAGATATCTGATGAAGGATATGTTACCGAAAATACAGCAGCCCTAGCCTGAGTGGAGGAGTCAATACACGGTGTATGGGATCGCAAAAACCCTTTGAATTGTTCGGAGTTCAAATCACAATGAAAACTTTCAGAGATCTTAAAAAGAAATGCATTCTGTGTCAGTTACAGCATGCATCCTACAATATTGCCGTAATAATAACTGCATCTTTTGGAAACTTCACATAATGATTATACTATATGACCTGAAGGAGCTTCTTGGATAAGAAGCAAAATGTCTTCAAAGAAAAACCAGAAAGTCCAGTTACCTCTTGAAAAAAGCACCTTTGGGACAACCATGACCTGGATAACTGAGAATCTCCATAAACATTATACAATATACATTTTTGGGGGGCATACATTAAAATGCAGAACTAATTGCTTGATTCCATGAATGTTGTGGCTTAGGAAACAGCAGAGCCATGCATTTTCTAATCTTAACTTCCCATTCAAAGGATTATTGGGCAGTTATAAGCAAGATTGCCTGTCCAATAAAATAATATATAGAATCTCCGACTCACCTGCCATCCAAAAATTGATGAATAAATGACTAAAAGAAAAGGCAAATTCTAGAAATTGCTACAGTCATTGCTTATTTTGTAATATATAGAGTATTACAATCTACTAAGAGTCATGTTGACTATGACAGGCTACATGAGTATTGAATAAAATCATAAAATAAAATATTAGCTAATTATATTTCACAAAATTATAGGCAGTTGTTGAAAATTTATTTCTGTATGTCCACACCTCATGAGGTACAACAAAATAATTTGTTCAAATCATGAAGTAGAACAAAGTAAGTCAGACTCAATTCTCATTCCCTTGGATCAAAGCATAACTTGTAAATCTACCTTTTATTTTCCTTGGCTACCCAGGAAGTTTCAATCCTGTTGCACAATATCTTGGCAGCCAGGGTGGATGGAGATGAAACTCCAAACCTTTTGTCTTTAGATTTTCATATTGCCCAAAAGTTACTTATAACCTTCCAATGTATGGCTTTTACAGTGAAATATAAAAAATATTAACCATAGGCAGAAACTATTGAAGAGAAAACAATTTAGCCAACCAACTCAGATAGGCTAATGAGAAACAGTACATAAATCAGAACAATCTTGATCACACATAGAAAGCCAGCAAACTCTGTCTCCCTGTGTCAAAACATAACAATGATGTCTACTTTGGCAATGAAACTTCTGCAAGAAGGAAACCAAGTTTAGCAAATACCCAAGATCTCAGCAAAATATTAAACATTGCATTTAAATGAAAATAGTGCTGCTACACTCTTACCTTTTTCCTTTCTCTTATATCATAAAGAGCTAAGGTTACAAATAATGGCTCGATTTCAATTTCAAATCTGCAAGAAAAAAATAAGGTACTAACTAATAATAAAGTAATTCATGTGACATGAAATCAAGGACAATGGCTACTTAAAATAATACATGTACTGGAAAAATTAACTCAAAACTTAGTCTTGCTTTATCTACTTAATCCTCAGTGCCAACATTAAACAATTTCAAAACGTATATATAAATACCACTATATACCATGGCTGGGTTTTTTTCCCTATTGTTTTGGATGGAATCTAATTTTCTATGAGCAGAGACATGTTTGTTATTTCTAACAACAAAATAATGCTCTCTTAATAATCAATAATAAATAAATAGATGATCCCATTTCCCTTTATAAACCAAATCTTTTGAGAACAGAACAAATGGGATCTAACTAATCTGAGGGAAGAGGATGCTACAAAGCTGGTTGCTGATCCTCTTTCATCTAGATCTAGAACCTCCACCCATAGTGACACCACTATAACAATACAGAGGTTTTTGCAGCCATCCTGATAATTTCTTCATAAGGTAGAACAACAAGGACAGCATTTTACATTTTATCATTCTAAAAAAAAAGGCAGCTATCTTAACGAAGACAAAATGTGTTTAACTCATGAGGCATGTTAAACTTCAGTTAAACATTATATGTCCTAGACCCTAAATCAAAACTAATTTTTAAAAGAACATAACATGGCTAGATAACTCTTACTAGATGGATATATACAAAGATCAGAATAAGCAGAAATAGAGAACTCTATATAGAGTGTTTTGTCTACTGCACATGGTAAGTTTTTAAAGTGCTTTCCTAAATAAAAAAAGTTTTCTGAATGAAGAAAACTAGCACATGGAGGAAATTTGTTTTACACCTGTCATTTTCCTGCTTTCTACTTTATAGATTTCAATTCCATCATTCTATTATGTGGGTTGCTCTACATGCCATCTGATCGACCCAAATCCCTAAAAATGTCCCATTCACACCAATAATGTAGAACTTACTTCAGTGTCTGTATTTTCACTAATATCCTATTACCTAGATACTCCTTTGGGCATTCGGGTATTGGTCGTATTTGTACAGAATCCTCCTATTAAAGACATTAAGAACAGTTATTTGTTTTGGTTCATTTTAGCTTCCTATACTTTGACTGACACCATCTATTACCATCCCTTCATTTCTTACTTTACAATCAGGCAAAAAATTAACACAGAAAATGTAGGAAGTCATCAGAATTATAGTAAAGCCAAGGAAGTTTGTTTAGAATGCAGCAGCCTGCACAGTCGCAGGTGCAATTATGATACAAAGACTTTACATCATTGTTGCAGGAGCTGCAGTTGTACTGGTATGCAATTCAGCAATCAGCCATTCAAAGCATTCTATCAAGCCTTTAGGACTTGTTCCAAATAACTTATAGAATCATAGAATCCTACAGCTGGAAGGGACCTTAGAGGTCTTCTAGTCCAACCCCTTATAAGACCTTATATCATCCTGGACAAATGGTTGTCTAATCTTTTCTTGAAAAACTCTAGCAAAGGAGCATCCACAACCCTGGGAGGGAAGCTGTTCCATTTGTTAATTGTTTTCACTGTCATGAAATTTCTCCTCAGTTCCAGGTTGGATTTCTCTTAACTCACCCATTGCTTCTTGTACTACCCTTGAGTGCTATGGAAAATACATCAATGCCCTCTTTTCTTTGACAGCTCCTCTGTCAGGCTTCCAAGTAATAAATTCCCCAAATGAATAATCCAAGGCAGTCATATTCAATCAAAGTCCATTTATTAGGAACATATCAAATTGGCAAAGTCTCTGACCAAACCCCGGAATTACACCCAGTAAAAAGCAAAAGTTTGAAACTTCCTCCCAGAGTCACATTCCCCAATCAGCTCACAGTCCAACTGTCTGGTGACTTCAAACTCCACCTTCAGCCCTCTGCAGGCACATTCTCTGTTCCCACAGGAAAGAATGCTACCTAGCCATAACATCCCCCCTTATCTCTGCAACCCCCCTTCCTACTGCTAGAATGTGGCGAGCCTGAAGCCTTGTTAGATCCCCTTACAGAATACCTAGAAAAAGCTTAGAAAAAGAATAGAAAATGACTACAATAAAACATGGCTATGCATATGTCAGCTTCAGGGTCGATATCTTCAAGTCTAGAAATCTGCTATCGTATCACCCCTAGTCTTTCTCTTTGTTAGGCTTTACATATCTATTTCCCTTAATGATTTAGCCTCCAGAGATTCTTTATCATCTTTGTTGCTTCTTTTTCTTCAATTTTTTTTGAACTACAATTGCCATAGCTTAATTACACCAGCTGGGCTGGATGGAATTAATGTCTAAAATATACCATCCTTTGTATTATACTGTAGTTCCTTTGAAAACCCGGATGGTTGAAGTATAATTGTGCCAGAAAATATGCGGCTTACCTCATCTATACTGGGATACAGAGCAAACAACTCAGTAGGCCTGTTGGCTTGCCGTGCCTCTTCATTTTGCCTTTGAATGTCTTCTGCTTTAGCAGTCTGCAATAGGTTGGTCAATCGGGGATCAAGTGGTAGGCTGCGCAAGCAAACTTCTCCAGATGTCAAGGTGGTTTTACTGGATTCATCACAGAGAACCTGTAAGTGCCTGGGACCTGTCTGCTCAAGCAAATAGAGAATAGTTGAACAGATTAAACATACTGAATATTGAGGGTAAAAGTTTGTTCTCTGAGCTTGTGGGTTGTTTTCCGAATGAAAAACTCCCCTAAACTCCACTGAAGATGTTACCTAGCCTGGTAACGAAATGTTCAGAAACCAACCCACAAGCTTGGAGAACAAACCTTCACCATCATCCTCTACCTGAGCTACAGATATTCGTCACTATTGCAATACTGAATATTTCTATCATATTTCTGTGTGATATTTCTATACTTATCCATTGCAAGAATTTCAATACCATCAAATAAATGTTAAATGGAACTATTAACTCTCCTTTTAACAGAGCCATTTTTTTCATGCAGCATAATGGAATAACAGAGTTGTTCTTCTAGCTCCTGCTCAAGCAGGAAATCCTATACCATTTCAGACAAATGGCTGTCCAATCTCTTCTTAAAAACCTCCAGTTTTGGAATGCCCATAACTTCTGTATGGAAGTCATTCTACTGATTAATCATTCTAATTGTGAGGAAATGTCTCCTTAATTCTAGGTTGGAACTCTATTGTTATCATGTCACCCCTAATACTTCTCTTCATTAGACTAGATATACCCACTTCTTGCAACATTTCACTGTTTTTTTTGGCTCCAGTCTCCCAATCGTCTTTGTTGCTTTTCTCTGCAACAAAGAGTTTCAAGGTTTTGTTTATATGAAAAAACAGTAGAACAAGAAACATATCAGATACTTTGGGAGAAGATTTAAGAATTCTTGGATTGCTATAGAGCAGGAGTGTCAAAATTTGGCAACTTTAAGACTTGTAGACTTCAACTTCCGGAATTCCATGGTTTCCAGTTGAAATTGACAAGTCTTAAAAATTGACAAGATTGGACCCCCCTGTTATAGAGCTTAATATTTAAAGATAAGGTGACTTTCTTCTCTTATTCCACACTATTTAAAAAGAATGTTTCATTACTTTTCATGTTCCCTCATCAACTTGGTGCTATTCCTTCTAATTTGGGAAGGAAATTCAGATGTGTCATTTAAGTGGTCCTGTAGCATGACGCACAAATGCTCCCAAGGCATTGTTAGGAAAAAAGGTTCCTCCCAATGGCCGCTTTGCTCCACCACTGCCTACTGTTCCATTTTCTTTTCAAAGTATTCTTTCAAGGCTATTCCTAAGTGTACCTGATAACTGGAATCATGAAAATCCACTGTTTCAGACTCAAATGTTTGCTTTCGAAGGCTTTTGTGGAAATCTGTTCTGGATCCTGTTTTCATGAAGTTATAAGCCTCATTGCTTCCTTGATTTCTTTAGTAAAATAGCCAATTAGATTTCAGTTTTAGAAAAAGAGACAAAATGAAATATCAATTGCTGTCATGTAAATAAATTCTATAAAAAAATATACAATACCCCAAATTAATTTAAGAACTGCTTAAATGGAATACAAAGTTATAATAAATTACTATATAGAAGAGGCATGGTGGTGCAGTGGTTAGAATGCAGTACTGCAGGCTACTTCTACTTCTGCTGATCGCCAGCTGCCTGCAGTTTGGCAGTTTGAATCTCACCAGACTCAAGGTTGACTCAGCCTTCCATCCTTCTGAGGTCGGTAAAATGAGGACCCAGATTATTTGGGGCAATATGCTGATTCTGTAAACTGCTTAGGGTGGACTGTAAAGCACTGTAAGGCAGTATATAAATCTAAGTGCCATTCAGTGGTGGGATTCAGCCAGTTCACACCATTTCGGGAGAACCGGTTGTTAACTTTCTGAGCAGTTTGGCGAACTGGTTGTTGGAAGAAATCATTAGGGCAGAGAACCGGTTGTTAAATTACTTGAATCCCACCACTGGTGCTATTGCTGTATGGGTTACTACTACAGAATAATATGGAGAGCAATTCTTACACATTTTTTTTTCAAGAGAACACCAACACTCACCAACACTCACTCAACCCCCAAAACCTTGTGTCCCCGATGTTGTTAGAAACATTCCCATGTTACTTCAGGTCTAACCTATTTTTACTACTCTGCTCTTCTCCAATATATCAGTGATACTTCTTCAAGCCAAAAGGCAAGTGCCAATGAGCCTTTTGTTTTGTAGGGCAAAATAGAATGGTCACTGATATGGCTGCACTTGAGATTTTTCCTGTCACTTTTTAATGATGCAGAGTACTTCCAGATGAAGATTTGCTGAAGCACCAAATATGCACAACTCTAATATGGAAAATGCTGCTGCATTTAGACAAATGTAAGAGTACAACCATTATTGTTTCCTTCTCCTGTCAACAATAAATGATTAGTTTTGGTTGGATCCTAATACTGCATGACTGATGCCCCAATCCAACTGTAGCAGACCATTATCAGTGCCAGTAATATTTTCTGAACTTGATCCATTTAGTAAACCTAATGAGAGTAATTACCACTTACTTCTTGGGTAATTAGATAATTAATAAAAACAGTAGATTTCAACTTTTCCCTGGGTAATTATTGAGTTATAAATGAAGAACTTACTTTCGATTCACAATCAGCCAGTCACGAATATAAGTCTGAACACAGTCCCGGACATGTAAATCCAATTCAGTCCTAGGGAGAAGCAAAAATATTTCTATGCATAATCAGTGATCGTACATAAAGTTAGTCAATATAATAACAGCAACATGGCTATTCTTCTCATGTAATAAAAAAAATGTTATTTATGAAGCCACTTTTGTCGTCTCCAAATCCAGTTTTCAAGTTAAAATTCTGAACATCTTATTCAACATGTCATTAATAATAAAATCTCATTTATAAAATCTTAAAAAATTAAAGGATACTGATAGAATTACGAAATATAGACTATATTTTAAAGTACAAAACACACAATGTGTAAATAATGAAACAAATATCAAAGAAAGGCACTAGGGAAGCACTGGTCTGCTAAAACACAGTTCAGCAGTTACCAGAAAGGGATTCTTGTAATACCGATAACATAATCCCTTTGTTTATTTCATCCGAGGAAAAAGATGCAATTCATTGATACAGCACATGCTTTTTATGAAAATGTTCAGTCCTCAGATCTCCAAATCTATTAATAGAAAATACTTCAGAGAGAAAAAATGCTTTAATGAAAATTAAAATGTTCTAATGTTTGGGAATGTTGGGCTTCTCCCTGGTATGCTACACCGGAACCAATTAAATAGGTATACTACAATCCAAAAATTTCAAAGAATGATTTTAATTGCACAAAAGCTAAGAAGCCACAGTGAAAGAAATTCCAGCAAAAGGTGCATATAACAGTGAATTCAATGTTCAGTCTTCTTACATTTTTTTTCCTGGGCACACTACACCATATGTTAGCCAATATCCTTTTTAGACATAAGGCTCAATTTCCATCTTTCTCTTGTTCTGGAAACTTTAGATTTATTACATTTTTTTTTCTATGTGAAGACTGTGTCCCTGACCACTGAGTTGCAGTTGTGCAGCAGTAGAGCTTGGATTATACTCACAGGTGATAAAACCGTCAATCACCACAGACTGGGGTCCAATTATATGTGCTAACTATCACCTGGGTCAGAAGGGGAACAGTTTTCTTTGGAACATAAAGGGAAAGAGAAGTAACTTTTTCCATTCAATATAGTCCCAATATAATCTCTCCTTCTCTTTCCATAGCTTGTATCCTTATAAGGTAAGCTCTTATAGGTATTTGTTGCTTGTGAGAAAAAGAGGTATAGGGACTGAAAAAGAGAATAGTTCATATGGTGAAGACAGAAAAAAATTATTGCTAGTGTACTGCTGTTAGCTTGCCATTAGATACAGTTAAGAAAAACAAAAAGAAATCAGAGGAACTTGTGACAATAGGAATGATGGGCAAACCCTAAGGTAAATCAAAATTTAAGGTCAAAATGGTTTGTTCTGGCTCCATATTTTAAACTGGGAAAATCTGAAACTCCAGTCAGACCACTGGATAACCAGAATATATTGATGAGAAATACTTCTGGTTCAAAAAAAACCCCCCAAAGCATGAGAACATTAAAAACAGGTTTCAGTTACTTGCTTAAAAAAGTTTGCTCACCGTTCTTCTGGTAATGATGGTTCCAAGGTTCTATGCTCCTTTGCAGCATAAACCACCTCCAAATCATCTTCAGGAAAATCACCCAATTCTTGCAGGAGATCTGAATCTAGGTTATTCAGCTGCATCATTAAGAGACCTTCGAAATCCACTGGTTCTACAGCATCATAAAACTGAGGCTAAATAGTACAAAAAAGAAAAAGAAAGAAAAGAAAGAAAAATGTCTTTTTTAGGACTATAAAACATATTTCTGGGTTTCCATTAAATATTAACCTCAAATGCACTAACACCCTAAAAAGCTCATTTTATGGATCAAGAGCAAAGGGTATAAATCACACATACATTCTTACACTTAACCATTACTGTTAAGCCTATAGTTTTAAAAAATCAGGCTACTTGAACCTTATTAGAAAATAGGTTAAATGACAAGAAATTGTTAGACAAATAACGTATATTTCCTTTTCTTCTACCTCTTTTCTTTCTTTAGTAATGTCAGACAAAATTATATAAGCAGTTTCCTGCTGAAGATTTAGCTCAATCTATATTTAATGGCTTAATTTTTCTTTAAATCTATGAAATTTAATTCATAATTAAAAACAAATAACTAGTTTCATTAGGGAAGTGCCATATGCTACATAACTAAGTCAAACGGCAACATGCGAATGGAAGAGGAAGTCACTTTACCTTATTGTGAATGTGGTCACAAAGAAAGATAATGTCACAAGCTACTAATTTTTTTTCTGAAAAAGTGTTTTATTTTTATTTCTCATAAACATGTCTTAAATGTACCGTCTCTTATCTTGATCATACTCAAATTTTTTAGGATGAAGAATGAACTAATATAAAAGTTAAAAGAGAATATGTATGATCAACAAGCTACCAAATTTGAGAGACATACGAACATTCTTGCCACAAGGAAGACGAGTAAACTAGCATTGTTCTTCTGTTTTATTTTATTTATATGTTTTTTAATTCATCACATTTTTATATTGCTCATTTCACATAAGTGACTCCGGATGGCTTACAATAAAAAATGGTACTCTTTATAAGACTTTGCAGTTGAAAGTATCAGCTCTTCGTACAAATGAGAACTTAGAAAAATCAGGATCTTCAGACAGTAAAGAATCTCCACCTGACTTAATAGAACATGAAGTCTAATGATTCATATGTTAAACCCTTAAACCCTATTCAGCCATGCTAGCCGTTAAAGCAAGGAAGCTGAGTACAGTTAAAATTAGCATACAGAATTTTTTGAGGTATAAATAACCTTTTTTTCTGTCATAATTTCTTGAGACTGGGATTGTCTTCTAAACTACGTTTATCTCCATTGTAATTTTTAATGTGCATTTAGCAGATTAAACTAAAAATTATAAAAATTAATATATATATTTAAATATACATGTTAGCTAACTATAGACCACAGCAGATTTATTTGTTAAATAAATAATGCATCCCCAAAGCTCGTATACATAGCACATGCCCAGACCAACCAGGAATTATTGAGAGGTGACAAATATGTAGGGAAAAGAATTGTTACAGGAAGATAAAAACTATTAGTAAAAAGCAGCAATTAAGTGGTTTATCTATAAAAAGCAACCTACAGAGAAACAATTAACGTACCTTTTTAGTGCAGTAAAATTAGCAGTATGATGCAATCAAAATGGTGGCTAGATGAAACAAAAAGTAAGCAACTTGGCAGAAAGCCTTTTGAGAAAAAAATACACACTTTTTATCATCCAATGAATCTCCAAGAAAGTTAAACCGACAGCTGCTCAAGTTGAGGAAGTGAATTAGATGTCTTCAAGAAACAGGAAATATATATTTACTATGTTTTAGTCTTCAGAACTGTGGGTTCCTAATAACCTGTTTATTCTTATTAAAATACAGTTAAAAGATCTGAGGATAAATTTAATATTAGTTCAACAAAGTTCTGCAAAATTCCATTCACTTTAGCAGATATTAAAATTAAGAAAGGAAATATTGTCTCTTAATAGTAACATTTGTAATCAGTGGTGTCTTCAGAAAGATCGTACAAATGACAAAAACAGGCTTTTTCTCATCCTTTTATAGAGCATTATAATATTCACAAAATAGGCTACAAAAGGAACAGATTTTGCAGTTTGGTGGTGTGATAAAGCTTTTGTCATTTTGATAAAAGCAGCAGAACTTGAAAACTCCTTTATAATGTTGTCTTAAGATACATTTATTTCGTAATATTCATGTGTTAAATGTCCACACAGACATTTTACAATATTAATTGTGAAAGATGGTGCTGTGTTTCAAGATTTGAATCAATTAAGAAATAAGAAATTGTATGGGACTATTTTTTAATAGCATAGTTCCGCAGAATCCCATAACACAAACTTTCAGCAGAACATCATAATGAAATCAGATGGATTCACAGATAGCTGAACACCACAGCCAACACATGATCCTTGGTCCATCTATATCCCCAAGGAGCAGCACATGCAGTGGGATTCTGCAAGGTTCTTTCCTGAGCCCAATACTGTTCAACATCCCATTAAACGATTTAAATGAGAGAACAAAAGGTATGCATATAATATTTATGTATGACACAAAGCTGGGAAAGTTTGCTAATAATCCTAACACTGGTTTAATAACAGTACTTGTTAGAGAGTTTGGGGGTCTTGGTAGACTACAGATTAAAGATAAGCCAACAATATGCAGAAGCTGCCAAAAAGCGAATGCAATTTGGGGTTATATCACTGCACTGGCTACCAGTGGTCCTCCAGATCCGCTTCAAGGTGCTGGTACTTTAAAGCCCTACATGGCTTAGGTCCGGGGTATTTGCAGGACCATCTCCTACCTGCCTCCCACTGTCCTGTCCGCTTACACAGGGCTGCCCTCTTCAGGGTACCGTTGACCAGACAATGTCGGCTGGCGACGTCCAGGGGTAGAGCGTTCTCTGTGGGCGCTCCTGCCCTCTGGAATGAGTTACCCACCGAGCTTCGGACGGCGCCTGACCTCCGCTCCTTCCGTCGAGACCTAAAGACTTGGCTGTTTCTACAAATGGATTGATTCTGATTCCTGGGTTTTATTATTTATTGTCTCTGTTTTAAATTGGTTTTAATTACATTTTCTTTTATTATTGTATGTTTTTAACCTGTGTTCGCCGCCCTGAGTCCTTAGGGAAAAGGGCGGCATATAAATTTGTATAAATAAATAAATAAATACATCAACAGAGTACAGGATCAAGATCACAGGAAGTGATAATACTGCTATAGGACCACATGAGGAATACTGTGTCCAGTTTTCGTCATGACACAAAAGATGCTGGGGAACTGGAAATAATGAAGGGAAGAATGACAACAATGGTTTGGAAGCTAAATTCTGCAATGACTGGTTAAAGGTACCTGGTATTTTTAGCTAAAAGAAGCAAAGAATAAGGAAAACATGACAGCAATCTTCTGATACATGATAGAATGTCATACAGAAGAGTACATTTATTCTCCGTGAAGGTAAGACAAGAACCAATTAGTGGAAGCTTTACAGTGAGATCCAAACTTGAATTAACAAGGAATTTCTTGATTGTGAGAATTATTAAACAATGGAACAGACTGCTTTCTAAATTTGTGGTTCTCCATCATTAAGAAAGCACTGTCCCTATACAACTTCATAGTTATTATAGTTTTATATTAATAAGACTAACCTGTTGTCTTTCAATTCAGATTAGATAATGTCACTTTTAAATAATCATTTTTTTTTTCTAGTTAGGCAGAAATCACTCTCTAGCCCTCTTGATTTCTCTTCAATGTATGAGCAAATTTCCACTTACTTATATGTGTATAAATTTATTGGAGCCAATGTCTACCAGGGCAGACCTAATAATCATAAACTCTATGTCAGGGTTCTGACCAATGTCCTAATAAAATCAGGAACCTCAAGCCATTTTGCAAAAAAAAATCCAGTTGTTTATTAGGAGTGCCAGGTAGCACAACCCAAGGGAAACCAGCTCTGACTTCACCCAGTTCGCGTCTTGCTTCTGCCCCTGTTGCCCCTCCCCCCCAAGGTGTGTCACCAGTCACATTCCCCAAGGAAGCAATTTTGTGGGTTGTAGAAGTCATTCCCTCCGACCATTGAGGGTCTCCGTGGAGATGGCCTTGACTTCGGCCTGCTAGGATGTGTTTTGTTTTGACTGAAGTGTGAATTCCTCAGTGCAGTTGTGAGGCGCAATTTCCCATTCCCCTGTCTATGGCAACTTGGGAGCAGGTCAGGAAAGCTTCGCGAGTTGACACTCTAAGGGTCATTAAAATTATAATAAAGGGGGAATTCACAGTTGAATCATGAGAGGCATAATCCTTTTCTTGAACACTATTCTAACTTTCCTTCCCCTGATCCTATCTGATAGATATAGTGTCCTTGCTCAAGTTAACTGGGATAAATGAAGCACATTAATAAGGATCAGTTTAGTGTAGTGACTTGGGAACCAGGAGACTCTGAGTGCTAGTTCTGTCTTAACCATGAAAGCCAGCTGAGTGACTTTGGGTCAGTCATTTGCTTTCAGTCAAATTTACCACAGAGAGTTGTTGTTCTGGAGAAAGTAGGAGGAAGGAGTATTAGATACATTTGCCACTTCGAGTTATTTATGAAAAAATAAAGGTGGGATTAAAAAAATATTTAAAAAGTAAGTTTTTACACTCACCAGATTAATGGAAGAAAAACCAGGTGTACTATTACTTCGCTGACAGATGGGTCCAAAGGATGGTTGATGCACAAACTGTCGTCTTATTTCTGCTGAGGAATGCCTTCAATATAAAAAAAGACAACAGAATTGGTTATACCAATATATTAAACTGAGCATATTTTCTTAATATTTGAACACATTTTACATAATCAAACTGTTGCCCGTTATCCGGTTAGCATTTTTACCATTAATAGAAAAGTAATGGATGCACTCTCTTTGTTTGAGAGTGTTTTTCTGTCAAATTCAGGGACTAGGTTCTTTCCAGAGCTCCACACCAACTCAGGTGCCTAGTTTTATGGGCGATACAACCTCAACCATATAAGGAAGTGCAGACGTCAACTCCCAGAATTCCCTACTCAGCACTGGCTAGAGAATTCTGGGAGTTGAAGTTCACATCTTTTAATATTGTAGAGGTAGAAAATCACTGTTCTAAACATTCAAAAAACTCTTACCTTAAAGAACTTGCTATTTAAAGAGGGCAAGTTCCTATTTTTATCTTTTATTAAGCCAGATACCGATGATATTTGCAAAAGTTTAAAACAATGTCACTCTTCTCATTAATTTTTTATTTAAAGTACATGTTTTTCTTGAGAAATATTTTAGTTATGTCAATATCTAATGGGTTTAATATTATTTTTACATGATGCAATAAATGAATGTTCTATGTATATGTCACTTTCATTCTTTAATGATTGTCAATAGATATCACCCAAAGGCTATTTTGGGGTCCTCCATAATTTTTATAGGCAAAGGTCTTGAGAGAAAAATGTTTAAGAAACACTGTTCTAGAGGAATACAGGGCTGTGGTATGGGTAATTATTCACAATTGAGTGCAAAATTTCCATTACTAAGCAAGGCAGTTGTTAAATGAGTCGCGCCCCATTTTACAATCTTTTTTTGCCATAGTTGTTAAGACAATCATGTGGTCACTAAGTGAATCTGACTTCCCACATTGACTTTGCTTGTTGGAAGCCAGCTGGGAAGGTTAGAGATGGTGATTACATGATCCTGAGACAGAGCAACTGTCATAAATATATGCCGGTTGCCAAGCGCCCAAATTTTGATCACGTAACCATGGAGACGCTGCAACACTCATAAGGGTGAAAAACAGTTGTGTCACTTTTTCCAGTTGTAAAAAGTGCTGTTGTGCTACAACAGTTGTGCTGTTGTAACTTCAAACTGTGACTAAACGAATGGTTGTAAATCAAACACTACCTGTAGCCCAGAAGATGGCTTTGACAAACAGAAGGAAGATTTGTTACCATGGCAACAACCAGAGAAACGTGGCATGAGCCATTACCAAAACAGAGATTTGTGAAAACACCTCAGAGAAACCTCCAATTCTCGTGAAGAAAGGAAGCACGTTCAGATTTTCAAGATTCAGTCGCGATAGCCCTTCTAATAAAAATAGTTTTAGGCCCACAGAGTGCCTGTTTCTTAGTCTTGCATCTTACCACAATAAACTGGCATCTCAAATACAGAACATAACATAACCTGTCAACCGTACTTTGTTGCGGTTCTTCTCTCTGCTGCAGCTGTTTCCCCCCCCCCCTTTTTTTGCTTCCAGCCAGTAAATCATGTTTGTGATTAACGTAGTCCCAGAAACTACTCTTGAAATGGTGACAGATTGGCCATAAGTCAATCCTGTTACAGCCCAGGAGGAGGAAGAGGAGGTGCAGCAGCAGCAGCTTGGGGCTTCTAGGGATAATAGTACTGAAGGGGCAGATTCCAGCAATGTTGAAGCTAATGACTCCCCTCTGGTTGAGGGAAAAACCCAGGACTCCCCACCTGCATCCACAGGCAGCCCTTAGACTCTATGATTCACCCCATCCAGTCCTAAACAGAGGCCTGCATTAAAGATACAACCACAGAGAGCAGATCAGACGGATCATCCAAGAAACAGGCTGGCAGCAGAGGAGACTCCAGCAAGTAATGTACCTTAGCCATGCATTTGGGTGGTGGCTCGGTGCAGCTTCTTTATTAGCCATCCTCCCCGAGAGAAAACGCTGAGAATAACTTTTCAAAGTCTCAGCTCTGGTGCCGTGCTTTGACCTCTGGATTCCACCTCCCTCCGTCTCTCCCCTTTTCCCTTGGATTTGTCATTTGTTTGTTTGCTTCTAAAAAAAAGTTCTGAGTTTGCAGAACTCTGGACTGTGGCAGGGAGCCAGGCAGCCAGCTACCTTGTTGGCTGGCAGCCAGAAAGGCTGGCACATAAAGCCCTCGCCAAAATATTTATATGACAATAATCTATAGGAAAATGTGAGACAAAATTGGGAAAATTCAAAATGCTAAGAAAATGTTAGAAACACATGAAAGGATGAGTTATATGTTCAAGTTAAAAGACACAACACAGAAAAAAAGACGCTTGTCAAGAAGACAAGCTGGCTCTGGTACAAAGTCAAATTTAGCTTAAGCATCTTGGTAGCTTAAATGTTTGCTCTGCAGAAGATGAGCACCCTCTAGTGGCTGTCACAGAACAGAAAGTTGTTTAAGTAAACTGGCCAAAGGAGGATCAAGCAAGAATTCTGAGAATGGGAATGAACTCTGGTTTATTTTTCTAGTTCATCAATCACAATAATGTGCCGTGTGACATACAGAATTACTCCAAACAAAAGTCTGACAACAATGGGATCTGATTAGTCACAGCAAATACATACATCTTTCTCTGTAAACTCTTATATCATTCTCTCTCCAAAATGTTCATTTTATTGCATAAAGGAACTCCGACTAAGCAAATACCCTTCATCTTTCTCTTTCTTGCACAGTGTTTCTGTTTAGCGGATAAGTATTCCAAGTTAGATATAAAATAAGATTCCGCCCAGAGTCACCTAATCAGGGAGGTGGGTGGTATATAAATTTAATAAATAAATAATATGCACAGCTTGGTGAGAAATAAGATTTTATTAACTTCATATACAGTCAGAGCCAACTCTTGAGACTCTGCAAATTTTTTTCTACTGTTTTAAGATTTTGTTCAAAAGTGGAAATCAGCAATAGGAAGTAAACATGTCACAATCTGCCAGGGTTGCTACAAGTCAAGTCACTCAGACACAAACTTCTGGAAGCCACTAAACAGGAAAGCCTGCTAATGACCACAAATGCTCAGCTTACTCTAGTTGAACATTCTTCACTCAGAATTTACAAATCCATATCATATTTTGCAGGTCCCCAAAAAGCAACTGACAGTTGATATTATCATATGCTAACAGGATGGCCATGAATTTATCAGTAGACTCACTGAGCACGATGTAAAACAAAAGCCGACTGCCCTGTGGGTAAAAGAAAAGGCTGACCTTGTTAGATTTTAAATCAAACAAGAATTTACAACAAACTAACTTGTTGCTTTTAATGAACTTTATAGAGTAAAAATTTAGAAGGAAGAAATAAACTTAATCTTCTATTAAAACACGTATATTGGCAAGATAGTAGAATTTGGTCTTTTATCAACAGGATACCAAAAAAGGCAGTTTCAAATACTTAACCTACTTAAATCTTTTTGGGCTCCTAATGTGTGGATTTCTTTTTTATTTTTAACATGTAGTTCTACACCTTATTTTCCTTAAAATGTGTACCCTAAAGTAATCCTTTAGATAGCTTACAAAGATGGTCAGGGTGCAAAATAAAATCCAAAGTATACAAAATAAAATAAACACATCAATATCTGGAGATGATAAAATCCCAGTAAGCATTAACCTATGAACGTGAGGTCAGAGTGTGCTTCTCTTTCGATATGCCTATGAAAAAAACCAGACAGCTGAGAAGCAGCTGTTAGCAGGAAGATTAAAAAAAAAAACACCTTCCTTCAGCTGTTCCTTCAATGACCAGAAGAATGGAGGGTTACAGGCCATTTTAAATCAACTTGGCTAACAAGAGCTAATATAGAACCTTTGTCTATTACGGTTTAAAGATGCCAGGAATCACTCTATAACTGGGATACTGGTACCTGTATCTGTTATCAAATGACCCATATTTGGAATTTTTTTTTTCAAATGGGCATCATCTTATCTCTTCTTTGTTCTAAAAATGGACAATTCACCAGGCCTTTACCTTGGCCAGGTTTGATGCCTACCCTTCACAGTTCCCTGGCAGCGTTACAAAAATACCCCTCTACATTAATGACAATGTGGGGGTGGTTGTATAAAGTCCCTGAGCCACATCTGTTGCTCTCTTACGGGAATCTAAAATGACATTCATTTATTCTACTCTAAGAAATACCCTGGCACAAAAAATGATGCTCATTCCATCACTTCTATCCAACCAGGATTCTGACATATTTTTCCAGGTTGCCCAATTCTACACCTATGTTTGTTCTATTTGACCCATATGTGATGGAAGATTATTCTTAAATTTGGTAATCATCACTATTATTTGCATTATTTATTGTTAATTTTACGCCTCTTTTATTAATCTCTATATATTTTAGGGGAAAGAGAGGAGAGAGAGAGAGAGAGAGAGTGGCCTAGTGGTTAAGCACCAGGCTAGAAACTTGGAGACTGTGAGTTCTAGTTCTGCCTTAGGCATGAAAGCCAACTGGGTGACTTTGGGCCACTCACTTTCTCTCAGCGCAACCCACCTCAAAGGGTCATTTTTTGTGGGGAAAATAGGAGGAGGAAGATGTGTTGAATATGTTCACTCCCTTGAATTGTTTGTAAAAATAATAATGGGAGAATATTATGTTTGTGTGTCTGTGTGTGTAATATATTTTTGTGTATGTTATGTTTTCTGTCTTATAGGCCATAATTAAGGATTGGTGATGAATTGATTCGTTTCTTTTAAAATTGTATTTTTATAAGAATGTAACTTTTTCCAATATAAAGATAGTTGGAAAAGGAAATGCTAAATCTGATTACAAGAGTACACATGTATTGTTTACACTTTTTTTAATGAATAAGCCCAATTCATGTATTCCATAGCTATAATACAAACAGAAAAACAGCATTTTTTCACTGCGGTGATAGCCTACAATAGCCAGATTTTTCAGGTTGTGAAGTTAGTTATACATTCTTTCAACCCTGTTTTGACATTTCAACAGAAGGAGACTTCAACCCATTGTTGGAAATGTCTGAGATTAAGCACAAAAAGGAGCAAATATTTAGGGTTATTGTTTTAATCCCTTAGCTACCAGAAACTAAAGCTTTCCAACTGAAGAATGTGAATTGAAAAACAGGCAGAAAGAAATTTGCATCTGTTTCTGTTGTTCAAAGCTTCACTTACGATTAACTAAGTTTGACTTTTCAGTAACCAGTTTTTCAGGTAAATCAAACAGCAGCATGGCTATTTCCACACTTAAAGAGAATATCAAATGTCACAATTTTTTTTCCAGATGTCACATACATTTTCCAGATGTCACATACATGTGGGTATGGGGTTTGTGACACATAAAATTCTATTTAGTTGCATTTAAACTCCATTGATTACATTATGTAGAGGGGGTTGTTCTATTCATGGTTTGTACTTATGTTGGCTGCCATATATATATATATATATATATATATTAAATTTGATTTATATGCCGCCCTTCTCCGGAGACTCAGGGCGGCTTACAATGCGTTAAGCAATAGCCTTCATTCTTTTGTATATTTTATACAAAGTCAGCTTATTGCCCCCACAAACTGGGTCCTCATTTCACCTACCTTAGAAAGGATGGAAGGCTGAGTCAACCTTGAGCCTTGGAGAGATTCGAACCAGCAGAAATTGCAGGCAGCTGTGTTAATGACAGGGTGCACTAAACCACTGTACTATCAAGGCTCTTTATGGCTTAGAGGTTAATACATCTGCATAATATGCAAGCAAGCCTAGGTTCGAATCCCAGAAGGGTATGGCTAGCTGATGAGAGATAAATAGCTTGATATAGATCTATACTAGTCTCCCTTTATTTCTTTTGTCAGTAAATATAAATTTAACACAAAATAGTTTGTCGTGAGGGCTCCTGGATTGGGGCTGAAAGGTGAAAGGAAGCAGTATGCTCCTTCCCATATTTGGGTAGACCAGGTTGCTTCGATAGAAAACCCATTTAATCTCCCCTGGTACAAGCTGACAAAGCAAGGAGAACTTGTGGCTCAGAGGTTAATACAACTGCCTAATATGCAGGCAGCCCAAGTTTGAATCCGAGTAAGCATATGGCTAGTTGAGAGCTAACTAGCTTGAAATAGATCTATACTAGTCTCCCTTTATTTCTTTATCAGCATATATAATTTTATATAATTTATCAGCATATATAATTTTATATAATTTATCAGCATATATAATTTTCAAGTTTGTGTTTTTCCTCCCGTTCATCTTACAACCTGAGCATCTTCCTAAAACCTTCTTCTTTCCCTGGGTTTAAGGAATGCTTCTGCCCTTTCTGTTTTTGTAACAGCCTCTGAATATTTTGCTCAAAGCCACTGCCATGACTCTCTGCAGACAGTAGGTTGGGTCCTGCACATCACATGAGCTGGGCTCTTTCCACAAGTGGAAAGAATGAATTGAACTAAAAAAAAAAATAAAAAAAAAAATCCAAAACAAACAGGAATTGTTTGCATTCATTTCCTGGTTTTTACTCCAAAGATACCATGGTTTATAACCCAGAACAGTCTTTGCTTTATGTTCTATTTTGTAAAGAAAATAATGAATTTAGGGACCTGATTTGGATAACATGCTGAGAAACATCTTGGAAAGGCTTCCAAGTGTGACCCTAGATATGAAGTATGGTTGCTTTTTAAAGAAATAAAGGAAACACTCTAAAAATTAAATGCAATGCAGAGGAAGAATTACAACAGGCAACGTACACCACAAGGTTCAAAAACCTGTTGTAAACCTGCTGAAGACCCTGTTGTTCCGCCAGGCTGGGCTATCAACATAATAATTTTAAATTGGGGTATTTTAAATTTGTGGGGTTTTAAATTGAGCCAAATTTATTTAATTATTTTAAATTTTTAATCGATGTTTTGTCTTGTGTTTTTAAATATGCTGTACACCGCCCTGAGTCCTTCGGGAGAAGGGCGGTATAGAAATAAAATTATTATTATTACTATTACTATTATTATTATTATTATTATTATTATTATTATTATTATTATTATTATTTGTAAGGTTTTGGTCCTTCTCTGACAACTCTGATGTTCCCTCTTGATCTAACAACACTGCCCTAGTTCCAGTCCAAAAATGTAAGATCTTCTGTTTCACTTTGTTTTCTATAGTGAAAAATAATTCATTATTCAAGACTTTGTAGTCTTTTTTTTTTTTTACAAAATTAATTTATCTTCATCTTGGGAAAGGATTTTAAAATTAAAATGAACAGCAATTACAAAATATGTTCTTGTCTTTCATGTGATCTAATGAGATTACAGGAATCTAAAGTTGAAATAAATCAGTCAGGCTTTTATCTATATTGCACTCTGTAAATAAACCTAATACTGTTTATCCACAATATGTAATATCACGACTTCAGATGGCCAAAAACAACACTGCATAGTGCAATCTAAAATATCATAAGGATCTGAATGATTATAGCTGCAGTATAATATTAGAGTTGAAATATTAAAATAAATATTGTAGTACCATACTGGATTAAAAGAAAATAGCCTGTGAGATATTTCAGTTGTAAGTCTGGCAATATACAGATAAATAATAATGTATCAGTATCATTACTACAGTTTAACAACTGCAACTCTCCTGTCTATTTGCAACAACTCAGTAGTATTTGCAAAGCAAAATGTATAATGATTTAAAATGTAATTCTGTAAGAAACAGAAAGAACTTACTGAAGTATAAAATCACATTATAAAATAAACTGAATAAATGCAATGAGGTATAAAATGAATTCATTCACTAATATTGTTGCAATGGGTACTGAAAAATGCAGTCTAAAATCAAAAGCAAAAAGTATAGGTACATATATTATTCCTTTTGGAAAAAAATATCTCACATGAAATTAACACTTGCTAAAAAGTCTGGTCAGTTCTAAATGTCAGAACTATTAATTTTTTTTGTGACCACATATTCAGCAAGTCAATCTATTTAGTGGTGTTTAATAAAAGGCTGCACTAAATTTCTGTCTCCTCTGCAATTGCACAAACCATAAGACATGACACACTGTAACCACAAACTGCATGTTATTTCCTCACTGTCTTGCCTCCAGCTTAATCCCATTATATTTACAGGAATTCTTTAAAAAAGGGGGCAAAATGACTGATTTGTGGATTGCAGAGTTTTAACTGCTGAAGAAAGCCTCAATATACCGTGTACGCAAGTCATAGGAAAACTCCGAAGAAGTCTTTTGAATTATTCCAAATTAAGTCATCTTAAAGAAGTAAAACATCCTGTTAAAAAGATTTACTGATAGTATTATAAACAGGCTCAGAGCAAGTTCTGACCAAGCCCTTGGCCTTTTCTACTTGCCAGACCTATAAAGATGTTTTTACACAGCAAATAACTGCCTATACAAATAACGTCTTTTGCATAATTATTTATTGGGGTGGGTGCTTTCCGAAGGAAGAAACTGTTGACTCTAGAGCAGGAGTGTCCAAACTTTGGCAACTCTTAAGACCTGTGGACTTCAACTCCCAGAATTCCCCAGCCAGGCTTCTCGGAGTTAAAAGTCCGCAAGTCTTTAAAGTTGCCAAGGTTGAACACCCCTTGCTGTAGTAGAGTCTAAAAATGCTAACGTGGTAATTAATCTAGCATAGGGAAGAGTTCTGTACACGGCCAGAATAACATAAATCCCTTGAACGTGAGCGTCCCTATACGCTGGCGCGTGGCTCTCTCTCACACCAGATCCGCAACTCATCCTCACACCCTACTCACTGCTCAAGCCGCGGTTCTCCGTTCCTCCTCTCACCTCACCCAATCAGCCTCCAAGGCGCACCAGCAAAAGCTGCCCGACTCGCGGCAAGGAGAAAATAAAGCCCCTTACCTACCTGTTGAGTTTCAGGGCAAAGGCCCTCCGATCGGAACTGGGCAGAGTAGCCATGGAGGCTTTCAAGAACAGCGGCAGCGGCGGCTCACTTAAAAAAAAGGCAGCCGAGCCGGGGTTGCTGTCAATTCGGCGGGGAAAACTTCCGCATTTCACACCTTCCTCGTCGAAAGCAGCCAATGGGGAGGGCGCAGTTTCCGCAAGGATGGGCGCAAAGCTCCAATCGCTCTTGAAAGGCGCGAGTCCCGGGGCTCTATAGCGGGCTTCTACCACTTTAGGTTCCCTTTTTAAGGGACCACCGCAAGCGCCAATTTCGCTGAACTGAAAGGCTTTCCAGGCTTTGGGGGGGGGTGGTATTTGTCTGGCTAGAACAACAGCAATAGCCAACCCTGAATTTGGCTTCGACGCCTAGCAGCCCGAGTTGGAACTTGCAAGAGGAAGCCCAGGAACAAGAAGTTGAGACTTGCACTTCAATAAATATTTCAATCTCGCCTCGCTTGGGCGAAAGCACTTTTAAAACTTTATGTATGAGCCCTGCTGGCTGCTACGGGAATATAAAGCCCAACAGACCCCGGTTGAGGAAGATGGTTTTAAACAACCCGCGCTGACACCAAGCCTGCTTCCTAAATTTATTTTTATCTTCCTTCCGGCCCTGCAGACGACCAGCAAAACTCCACCCCGTTGAGATTCCACGGTGGTCTCTTTGGTAGTCGTATAACGATTTGCAAAGCGAGGGAGTCGTTCCCAATCGAAGTTCCAACTTTTGGCTGTGTCAAGCGCCTTGCGGGTCGGTTAAAGTGCGGTAGATGTCACTCTTGCTGCACTTAAATCGAGCGCCAGCGAGTCTTATGGGAAGCCCCATTTGTGGACGTCCTTCAGGGACGCGGCCACGATTCGGGTTTCAGTCAAAGCAGAAAAGTCTCACTTAAGAGTCTCACCTCACTTCTGGAGGTGAGACTTGAGAACAGGCTGCGGGGTCCTTGGTGCTCTCTGAGCTTGGTTGTTTTCTTGCAGACATTTAATTACCCAATTAAGTAGCATCACCAGTCCTAGAAGGGAGAAGGGTTTGGTCTCTGTTTAGAATCCCCACTCCCTTGTAGTTCTGATGATGTTACCTAGTTGGGCAATGAAACGTCTGCAAGAAAACCACCAAGGTCAGGGAGCACCAAGGACCTCATAGTTCAACCCCCAGTTACAAATATTCTCTTCTATTGAGATGGCTGTTAGGAAGCAGTTGCACCACATACTGAACTCTGAAACAACACCAGTGGCTTGAACTTGGCACCTAAGCCTGCGTTAAGAGCACCTGGAGTTAAGCACTGAGATGGTCAAATGCAAACAAATTAATGATAGATTATCAGAGCAAATGTAGATATGTTGTACGTAAACCATGCCCTTTGCCTGCCATGGGATCTGGGAAAAGAATCCGGAAACAAAAAGGGACAATTAAAATGTCATTGAATTAGGTCCATTTTATAATAAAGGGGCAATTTTTTTAAAAAAATGCAGAATATCTAATTTTCAATGGGTGTTTGGAGCAAGAACCTCCATTTTTGTCCCAGCATTGATATTACCCATGTGTCACTAACCTCTCTCATTGCAGTGGGATTAGTAGTGACACAGCATACCATCAGCTGACTTAATTTCTCATCTTTCATAACTGCTTTGAATAAAGCCCAATGCCCAGTGAATAAAGATAAACATCCTTGCTTTGTATTATGATATAACAGGAAATTATTAATCTGAAGTGCCATTTAGTGAGTTCATAAATATAATCAGTTATCAGTCAAGATTATCTAATGCTTTTAAGATTATCACTGTGAGAGGAATGTTTCTTTGGTGGGCAGAAGTGGATCAATATCTATGAAGATCTATGCAAGATCTTTCTTGCATAAGGGGCAGGAAATCAACAAGGTTTCCAACTGCTGGCCATTGAACAATATATATCAGAATCTCAAGTCGTCTATTGCTTCCCATAATAAATCAAAATACACGCATATGTAGATGTGATTGCAGCAGTAACTTGTGGCAAAACAACAATGACTCTTCATGTCATTTTACAACACCTAACAGCGCACAGAATTGCACAGTGTCCTTGTTCCTGTGTCCGGGAACAGAGTGTTCTTCCCTCTGTGGTCCCAGAAAGGGTTCAAGTTGAATCAAGTTTTTTTCTTGCAGGCAGTGGGGTTAGAAAAAGCAAGCTCCCTCCAACTTCTAGTTCTTTCTGTGTCATAAAACAGGGAGTACTCTGAACATAAAGTTTTCTCTAAACATGAATCTCATAATAGGAAAGCACCTCTTATGCTTTACTGTGAACCTTGGAGATTGTCACTGTATACACCATAATATTTCCACCATGTAGTGCTCTATGAAACAAGTGAGTATAGTGCATCTAAATCTGGAAGAAATAGACTCAAGGAAGGTGGGACCTACATGTTATCTTGTGGGTTGCAGGTGTCTAGGATTCTACCTCCAATCCATTCTCCCCCTCCCTATCCAGAGAAAGCTCATTATCCAGACTTCTACTTAGGTATGTTCTTCTCAATATTGATATATTACTTGAAAGTCCTCCGCTCCACTCTCTTGAGTGGAGTTGCTGCTCGGAGTTCATAAGCAATGGCAACTGCAGGAAAAAAAATTATTCTGGACTCCACAGAATGGGTATTTTTTTTCTCCAGAATTTAATTTCAAATAATTTCAAAGTAATCCCACTACAAACTGAACTTCTCAAAAACAAATAACTTAAGGATCCTGCTATGCATTTTTTTCTAGCTGGCTCAGAAAGAGTACTTATCCATTTATGAAACCCAAGACCTTTTAAGTATTTTAAATTTCTTCAGTATGCTAGACAGAGAGAGAGAGCCCAAACTCAGTCGCTGGTTTCCTTCCTTTTTTGTAATATATGCATGGCAGACGGTTGGCCTTTTTTGTTCTATAAAGAAATGAGGAACACACAAGAAAAAAAGTTCCATGCAGTAAAGGTGCCAAGACGTTTTTAAAAATTGCTTTTGCTGTTAGAAAATAAAAGTTTGATCTTGTTGATAAGAGAATATTGAAATTGCAATCCTATAAATCTGTCATGTCAAATTTGAGCTTGATACATTTTATGGCTTCTGCCCACACATTTTGATCAGTGGTAATGCTTTTCTGTGAGAATGTGTATGTCATTGTCATGATTTATTATTAATATTGCTTCTCATCTGGAACAGGAATTGAGCACAGCTCATATGAACACCTGAAGAGCAACTATGAAGTAAACTGGAAACACGTAATTCTATGCAATCTGTTTGTGCCACACATCAGCAAATAAATCACGTTTTCCATCTGCGTGTCTATGAGTGCTTTTACAATATGACAGAACCATGTGGAAAAGAGCAATTCACCTTAGTATCCTTTTTGAAATCAATATTAAGAGCAGTCCACATTTCTGTGATTGAATTATTTTCTCATTCTTTGTAAAGAAATTAATTTTTCTGTACTTTGAAACAAAAAATGTAAGGGCAACAATTTATTGATAGCATGTGGGTGCCCAGCAAATCTGAATGAATATGGCAGTTCTATGGCAAACACCTAATACTGAACACATTTGGGGAAAATGAAAGATCATTTCTCTCATCTCCTCTTTGCAGACTTGGCTGTAAATCAGTTTCACAAGGTGCAATCCGTTAAATTGATTTCAATACAATCGAGCAATTTGGGACATCCTAATTTACTGGACCAGGTGCAATTTTACCAGCCCAGCAGTATGGGCTGCTGTATGTAAGATAATTTCCAGTGTTTACGGTTCAATCATAATGTAATGCTTGGAATCTAGAAAGCCTGGTCTTGCTGTCAAAACATAACTTTTCCCCTGTCTTAATAGATGCGGAATTAAGGTAAACGTGTTACTCTGATCCATTTATTATAATCCGCCCTATTGCCCTTGTCACAGAATGCAAAGAAAAATACCTATTACTCCCTGGCTGAGTAGAAGCTTTTGAGCAGCTTCTTAAAATTCAAGCTTCTCTCTACTGAGTCTACTCCGTTTTGTTGCCTTACCTACCGACTCAAAACACTTTATACGGTTGAACGCAGGAAGGGCGGAGAAATCCCCGCCTAGGGTAACAGGTTGCATCTATCAAAGCACGAAGCAAAAGAGCGCATGCGTACTCAGGGTAGGAACTTGTCAGACGAGAGGTGGAGTTACTACAGCGGGAGCCAAAGCACCGGTGGTAAGCGGAAGTGGGGTGGGGGGGAGGAAGCTGTTAGAAAAGAAATACGTGGGTCGGAGGAATTCAGAAATGCATTGTTTGGCTTGGTGAATTAACCCCAACATGACCATTATGTATATCTGGGTTTACAGAAAAGCTCGATGGGGTTGAATAGGTTTTCTCGGTTCGCGTGGTGCTTTATTGTCGTATTTCTTCAGTTTCGCGCGAAACAGTCCCATTCGGTCTGTCAGAAAGTCTCTAGCTCGAGGACCTCCCAGCCTTGGCTACTTTGAGACCTAGGGACTTCAACTCCCATAACTCTCCCGCAAGCATGGCTGGCCGGGGAATTGTGGGAGTTGAAGTCCACAGGTCTAAAAATGACCAAGGTTGGATGTCCTTGCTGTAGCTCAAGGGAAAACTGGATGAAGGTGTGTCTCCTGTTTTCTACAGCTGTTGGCATTCTTTCTGAAAATGCATAAAAGGATCTGACTGCATTATTGTCTTTGTGATCCTTTTTCCTTGAAAAGAGACTTGGCTGAGGTCAAGCCCTCTTCCAAGCTATTCATGATGAGCCACATTTGATCTTCAGGCTTCCTTAAGTGATTATGGTTGCTTAAAAGTAGTGTTCAACCTGCATTCCTCATTCTCTATGATGAAAGAGGGAGAAGCCAAAGGACGCTCCTGTTTGGAAGTTCATGGGGAAAAAAAACAGTTTACCAAATACTGTAGCTACTGTATTTGTACCCAAAGGTGGTTTTTCAAGAGCAACTGGACTTTCTGGTTTTTCTTTGAAGACGTTTTGCTTTTCATCCAAGAAGCTTTCTTTTATCTCTTTAAGCACCTTTGGGACAACCATGACCTGGATGACTGAGAATCTCCATAGACATGTACAGTGGTGGCCAAAATTGTGGAAACCTTTTGGGAAAAGTGTATTTTCTAAAACTAGCTAATAGCACCACTTTTTTTTGGAGTAGTGCCATAAAATTATATATCAATGGAAAGATAATTTAATCAAGAATATAATATAATAACTTATGAAGGATTTGCTATTAGAATAGCAGTTACAGTATAAAGAAGAGAAGTGAAACACATAGAAAAAACAAGATATACAAAAATTATCATGTCAGTTAATACTTAGTTGGGTAACCTTTAGCATGAATCATGGCCTTACAACATCTTCCCATGGAGTGAACCAAGTCTTTTAGTTCTGCAGCTGTTAGAATGTGAAACCAAGATTGAATGATTGCTTCTATTAACTGGATTTTATTGCTGTGTCGCTTGTGACTAAAGTTTTTTTAATCAGCTCCATAGATTTTCAATTGGGTTAAGGTCTGGGCTATTCCCAGTCCATTCCAGTATTGGAATATGATTATCTTAAAACTCCCCCCCCCAAAAAAAGTAGTGTTAATAGCCCCCAAACCACAAAAATACACTTTTCCCAAAAGATTTCCATAATTTTGGCCACTACTGTAGCTCTTTGTATTTTTCCCTTCTCCTCCTCCATCCCTCTAGGTTCCTGTGTTCAATATTTTACTGAAATCTAGACCTGAGACTTTTTGTATAGTATTTCTTAAATGTTATCTTTAGTTTGACAGAGATGGAAAGAGAGATGGATGATGAAGAGGATTGTCCTGAATTGATTCCCATAAAGGAGCCAGCAATAAAGGATAATGTGGAAGACATTCAATCTAGTAACAACTTTAAGATTCCCGTTACTATCATCTCAGGATATTTAGGTAATAAATGGTAATAAACTCTGATTTGTCACAGTTCTTGGTTTTTAATGAAGAATTACTTTATTTGAACTTTTTTGTCATAATAAATGGATAGCAATTTTAGGAATGCATGTTATGGCCAGATAGAAATGTTTGCATCTCTGCAGGTGCCTTCTATTCCTTGGCAGAATATATAAAAGAGGATTGACAGAATAATTTGGCGGTTAATATTTCTTTCTGTGAGCTTATTTCTTGATAAGATGTGATGATATGGCACGTATACCCCAACTAGCAAGACACAAAAGAATAAGAAGCCTTATGCAGAGGCTTAAGTCCTGTGAAAGGAAGCTAACCCTAATTTTGTCAAATCCACTGATCTTTCTTATTTGCATAGTGGGCTTCACATATTTATTTCAAATATTCAGGTAAGAAGATTTGACTTCTCCCATGTTCTAGAACATTACAATATGGTTTGGTGTTTCTTAACCTTGACATCTTGAAAATGCATGGACTTCAACTCCCAGATTCTCCAGCCAGCATGCTGGGGAATTCTGGAAGCTGAAATCCATACGTCTTCCAGTTGCTAAAGTTTGAGAAACACTGATATAACAGTGATACAGCATACTCCTTGAGAACCTATCGGGCTGGCTAGTGGATAGTGTTGACTGGCTGCTGATTTTTGTTAAAGTAGCATCTTGAAGGCCTAAGACACTGAGTTGGCCACTATATAGCCCTCTTCTGCCTTTCCTTCACCAAGGTTATAATAATTACAGTAGTTCCTGGCAGGGACCTGTTGGTCTGATTGTTTTGGCCAAGTTTAGATTCATCAACTCAAATCCAGAATCTTTAAGTTTCATTTACATTATATAACTGATTGTGTCACATGATACACTAATTCAAGACAAATTTATTTTATAGTTTAATGCAAAGGTTTTCAAGGGGAGGTGTGCAGCTTTCCAGGAAATTACAGCAAATTTGAAGCAGTTTGAATGTTTTGGCAAGCATACACATGCAAAGCAAAGAATACTAATAAGATTTACTCTTATTTTGCCTGGGCAAGTCAGTAACAAATTAATTTTTTTATAGTTTTGGCAGTAAACTGCAAATATAAATGGAAAAAATGAGAAATGAGTGGCTGTCTCAAAAATAGAAATAGAAATAGAATTCCAAGGAATCCAATTCCTCAGAATTCTGTAAAATTAAGTAAAAATTAAAATATTGTTTTAAAACACATGTTTAATGACTTCCAAAGAAAAGGTTTTTAATTTATATCATAGGTAATTGTGGCACTGTAAATTTTGACAATCTAGGCTTAGTGGTTTGAGTAAACTCACTATTATTATTCCTAACTGGGAGTTAGAAGGCAGTTTCTCCACAGGGCTAGTTCTGTGCTCAAATTCTTTTTCTTTGTCTACTTCCAAGTAATAGTTGAAGGAACATGGAGTCTGCTGATAATGGCTCCAGTTCAGACCATAAGCCTCTGAGAAAAATGTATAAATCAAAAATTGCATTTTGAAACTCTGTTAAATAGAAGTTTTAAAATGTACAAAGCCTATTAAAATTCATTTCAATATTTTAATGTTTCTGAAGGTATCTGGTGTTTTAATCTTCTGTTATAGTTGGCTGATCAAGTAGGTTAAAAGGAAGGAAATCTTACAAAATGTTCAAACTGTTACAAATACAACTGCACAACTACAAATACATGATCAAATCCTGCTTTTTCAAGTATAGGTGATTGCTGGCTTAAAAACCTAGAGCAGTGATGGCGAACCTTTTTGGGAGCCAAAAAGGGAGTGCATGCGTGTGCGCCTGGGCCACAAGCTGCAAGAGGAGCTTTCCGGGGCGCATGAAAATGAACTTCTGGTTTCAGCTACTGAACTTCCGGTCTGAGCCAGCTACTCTTCCAGGTTTCTGGCGCACATGCACACGTGACGATCAGCTGGCCGGTGCGCATACCCACGCAGGAAAACGGAAGACCAGCTCTTCCAGTTTCCGGCACTGCCGCATGCAAAAAGGCCAGCTGATTATCGGGCGCCAGAAACCCAGAAGAGGAACAGGCAACACCACGCATGCCAGGCAACATGGCTCTGAATGCCGCTTCGGGCCATAGGTCGCCATCACGGACCTATGGGATTAGAAATATTTTTAAAAAATTATTGGAATGGTATCTCAAAATATCTCCGTAGTATAAGGAATGGGACCTCATTGTTCTTTTTTAGTCTAGTGAAATTTGTTCTGCTTTCTTTAGGTGCAGGAAAAACTACTCTTCTTAATTACATTTTGACTGAACAACATAGCAAGAGAATAGCAGTTATTTTAAATGAATTTGGTGAAGGTATGTAAGAATGCAAGTGAATGGAAAACAAAATTTCATGTTGAAGCCTAAGTGTATACTTTCATAAATGTAAAGTGTCTTCTTCAATTTATATTTATATTCACACATTTTAAGAGTTGCAATGCAAAATTTGCTTTAGAAGTAATATTATGTAATGTAAAGACATTGTTTTAAAGTTTGTCCTTTTAAATAAGGACATTAGGATACATGAAATATTGCAACTGAGAAAGTTCTATTTGCTAAATTACACAAAGATTGATGTTGCAGGAAAATTAGGGTGTGGCTTAATTTTCTGGCTCCTTTAGCATCACTTTCTCAAAAACCTTCAAACATCCAAAACCTGAAATGTATTATTCTTTCACTGTTTTATTTTCTTTCAATAAAAGTGCTATTTTTATTATAGCTTTTCTTGTTTTCTCAGGTAGTGCATTGGAAAAATCCTTGGCTATAAGTCAAGGTGGAGAACTCTATGAAGAATGGCTGGAGCTCAGAAATGGCTGTCTTTGCTGCTCAGTAAAGTAAGGATTTTTTATTTGGTAAAATTGATAATTCTAATATTGAGGATTTAAAACTATAGTTTACATTTCTCATGATGAAGGCCAATTATGCTAGGGAAGATCTAGTATTGTACTACTATAGGTAGTCCTTGACTAGTTACAACCACAATTGGGACCAGAATTTTCATTGCTAAGCAAGGAAAGTTGTTAAGTGAATTGTACTCAATTTTATGACCTTTTTGCCATGGTGGTTAAGCAAATGACTGCAGTTGTTAAGTGAATCATGGAGTTGTTAAGCAAAGCCAGCTTCTCTCATTGACTGTACTTGTCAAAAGCTAGATAGGAAGATCACAAATGGCGATCATATGACATTGGACTGTTGTAACTGCCTGATTTATATGTTTTAGCAAATTTAACAAATCATAATAAAATTAAGTTCTTAAAATTAAAAGGTTTGTATTGTAAATTGGACCTATTTTAAGAGAATGGGTATTGACAAGTAGCTTCCTTTTTGACACTTTTTTCTAATGAATAATTAGAAGTAATTAGTATTGAATAATTTAGAGAAGATAAAAGAAAACAGACAGAATGCAGAAACTTAGATATATGGAAGCAAACTTAAAATTAACATGGTTCTATAAATTCATTGTAATTAATTATTTACAAATTAATTATAAGATTTGCAATTAGTTTGTAAACTTATTTAATAAGTAAGCTTACAATCTATATTTCTGGATAGATACGTGATTGGGAGATAATATTTTACACACAACATATAGAATTTGATACAAATGTAACATAAAAAAATAATGCTGTTTGTTTAATTTTCTCATTAGAGACAATGGTTTGAAAGCAATTGAAAATTTGATGCAGAAGAAAGGGAAGTTTGATTACATTTTGCTAGAGACAACCGGATTGGCAGATCCAGGTATACAGTGAAATGAGAATGAATATGAAACTCTTTTTTCTGGAAAATCTATTACATATGATAAAGATACATTGTAGGAAGTTTCAGTGCATTTCTGCTTTATAATACTGTATGTTCTATTAATCTAGCTAGGATATACTTCATAATTAGAATAATCACAGAACAAAGATAGGCAGAGTCAATTAATCTTTATTGTTTCCATCACAACAGCATCAAGGTAGTAAGGCAGGCCCCAGATGTGCTATATTTACTTTTTAGATTTTTAATCTGCCTTTATTACTTGATAATAACTCAAAGAGATGAACATATATAATACTCCTTCCTCCTCCTCCTATTTCTCACAACAATCCCCCTGTGAGGTATGTGGGGCTGGGTGAGAGTGATTGGCCCAAAGTCACCCAACTGGCTTTCAGGCCTAAGGCAGAACTAGAACTCACTATCTCCTGGTTTGTAGCCCAGCACCATCACCACTACACCAAACTGGCTCTTTTCGATACCAAAATCTCTACCTTCACCTACATAATATTATTGATAAGCAGCACTATCTATGTAGCTAATCTTGAAAGTGCTGGCAGTATATGTTAAATGGTACATGAATTACTCCTGATTAAAGTCCACTTTCCCTGTTTTATCTAGTGGGATCAAGTCTTACTCAACATAATTTTGACAGCCAACTTTTTAGTCTGTTGCAACTAAAATTTAAAAGTACTTTAGAGTCAGAATAGAGAATCTTTGGCCCTTTAGATATTGATAATGCCAACTTCTGTCATATCTTGCCATTTCTGACAGGAGTTGGAGAGCAACAATATCAGAAGGTCTAAAAGGGGAGTCCCCTTAATCTTCATCAGTTAGTTAGTTCTGTTAGAAAGTCAGTAGCAACGTTGTGCACAAAATAGGGTTGAACAATTGTGTTTACTTACCTTTACTTCCTGAGAATTTCAGAATTGAACTTCAGGAATGTTAGGGACATTGACCAACTCAGGCATCAGGTTAACACTGAACCTCAGCAGAACTCAGTTTTATTTAAAAGGTAAGTAATTTTCCCAATTGATATCCATACACGATCACCTATAAAACAAAAGAGGCCATAGTTCAGAAAATGGTGGATTTTTCAAAATTGAGGCATTTTACATGGCCTCAAATGTATTAGTGTGATGTTGGTTATTTTAGGATTTATTTTGCTACTTGCAATCATAATTCTTTTCAGCAAATCTTTCAGTACCTTTCAGCAAATCTTTTAGCATATAGACAGTCAGCTATTGTCCTATAAATTTCAGTGTTCCCATTGTCTCTGTCCTGGCAGGCTAGATACTTGCTAAATACTTGCCATCCTTTCATCTGGTTTGATTTTTCCGTGCAACTTTATAACCTCACTATTTTCAAATTTCTGCCTTTTCTAAATTATCCAACTTATTCTCCTATTCATTCTCTAAAATGTTTATGTTGTGTTTAAGGCACACAAACATAATTACTTTTAATGAATATAGATATTTTGGTAAGCAGCAGATACCTGTTTGTTATAAGAATTTGATTAAACTAAATAGCCACACAAATCACTTTGTGATTCATCATTGTATTCCCCAAATAACTAAATTACTTCCACATACAACCAGGTAATAGCATAAGACATGAATATAAAAATGGTTGCATTGTAGAGCATTTTCTGGTCTTCTGGTCCTGTTGTTGTCTACATTAATGTTTCTCAACCTCAGCAATTTTTAGTTGTGTGGACTTCAACGCCCTCTTTTATGCCAGAAACTAGGACATAGAATAATGGATTTAAATTACAGGAAGGATGATTGCAGTTGAAGGTACTGTAAAAGGAAATCCTAACAATAAGAGCAGTTCAACAGTAGAAGTCATTGGTAAAGTCAAAGTCAAAGCCTTTATTCTCATTGTACATCATGTATACAATGAAATTGGTTTAGCTTCTACTGCTGCAGTCCCTACAAGAATACAAGACAACATGAATAATATAAAGAATAATCCTTATACAAGTAGTTAGGAAAAAAACTAGTCATACATTTCCATATGTACATCATATTCTGTGCAACATGTATATTATTCTGGTGTATGACCTTATATCATGGTATATACATATTACACACTACACTGGCACCAGTGAAATTCATCATATTAATCTGTTTGTGGTGCTATATTGTGTTTAGGAGTCTGACAGCCTATGTGTAAAAGCTGTTTTTAAATCTATTTGTCCAGCTGGCTATACTTCTGTGTCTTCTGCCCGATGGTAAAAGTGAAAAGAGACACTGGCCAGGGTGTGAATCATCCCTAAGTATCTTCCTTACTCTGCTGAAACAGTGAGACCTGGCAATGCCATCCAGTGTGTTAGGGGGCAACCAATGGTTTCTTGTGCCAAATTAATCACTCTCTGTAGTGCCTTTCTTCTGCGGCTGTTAAGACAGCATACCATACTGTTATACAGTATGTGAGGACACTTTCTATCCTGGACCGATAGAAAGAAGTCATCAGCGGTTTTTCCAAAACAGCTGAGTTGAGCCTTACTAACCACCAGGGACGTGTTGTTTTTCCAGGTGAGGTCTTGACTAATGAGCGCTCCCAAGAATTTAAAAGAGGAAACCCTCTTCACACGGCCCCCCTTGATATACAGTGGGACAGGTTCCTTTCTGTGCTTCCAGAAATCCAGCACCATCTCCTTTGTCTTGCTAGTATTTAGATGTAAGCAAGGAATGGTAGTGGATCTCCATCACTGGATGTTTTAATGCATAAGTTAGAACAGAATTCCCCAACCTTTTCGGCTTTGCAGACCAGCTGGGCTAGAAGGGATGGTTCTGTGCAAGCTGCGGGCAAACGGAGCTGTGTGCACAACTCCATTTGCACAAACGGCAGGCACATGCTCATGCGCTCGCCCACTACTTGTGCAAGGGGGGATGCACATACATGTGTGGCCACTGCTTCAGGCAGCCTAGTTGTGAACAGCTCATGGCCCGATAGTGGCCCGTGGCCCAGGGGTTGGGGACCCCTGGGTTACAGGGCCATCTGCCTGTAAATTGAAATCCTACAAGGAACAGGATTATCTTGATAAACTATAACCCCCCCCCCTTCCAACTCTGTAATATATTTTTTCTTTGCTATGAGTTTTCACTAAAAAATAATGAATGAAAGCTGCCTCAAGAACCTCAGGGCCTTTTAAAATTAAATATTCACTGTAGCTTAAAGTAAATAAAATAATTTTGGCATTCCAATTGTTTCATACTAAGGAGATTGAAATTCTCCGATTCAGAGCTAAATCACTGTAATGATAAAATAAATCACCCAGTTTGTTAAAGTGGTTGAGACACCAGGCTAGAAACCCGGAGACTGTGAGTTCCAGTCCTGCCTTAGGCACACAGCTAATTGGTTAACCTTGGCCAGTCTCTCTCTCCCAGCCCTAGGAAGAAGGCAATAACAAACCACTACCAAAATTTGCAGTTGCCAGGAGTCGACATGTCTCGAAAGCACATACACACACACACACACACACACACACACACACACACACACTCACTCACTCACTCACTCACTCACACAAATAGGACATTGATTTAGCTTTTGTTGTAAACAAATCTTGTTTCAGTTTAGCTGGATACTATTAGGCATTCGAAGAAAAATAATAATAGATACCTGGAAACTATTAGATGTTAAGGCCTTTTCTATGTCTTGCCTGAGTGATTACTATAAACCGTTGACAGGCGCTTCAGTTTTGACACCACTGATGCTTGGGAGGCTACATCTTATCAATTCAGGTGGACAGCTTCAGATATTGAAACAGCTTCAGATACCATTGTTTTATGCATGTCTTTTTAAGACAGCCTTGACATCCCCTAGATTTGTGAGCTTTTGACAATACTTTAATTGTTGTCAAATTCTCACGGCCTTCATCTTGTGGCATTTGGATGTATTAAATCAGCTCACGTCAAAATAAATTGATTTCTTATTTTTCAAAAACTATCATTTTTCACTGCTCTGTAAACGGCAGACTTGTTTTCATTGCTTTATAATAGTAATGTTTTCGTAGATGTGTTCAAAGACAAATTGCTCAATTTGATTTCATAGTTTTTCTGCATTGTTCTTTACAGATAAAATCTATATAAATAGCTGTTAGTCACCAAAGATTCTAGCATGCTTGGAGCATATTATGTTTTTATTACTGATGTTGCTATAGAGTAAGCCCAAAAATTACTATGCTTCATACATGATTGAAGTATATCTGTGCAGAAATGTTAATTCTAAAATAATGAAAAAACCAATTGTATGAATACTATTGTAGGAAATAGAATTTATATCTGGTATTCTATTGTTTAATCCTTATTCTTTAAAATTCTACTAAACTAGAATGGAGTTAAGTAATTCATTGAAAGTACATCCCATTATGATTTCTGTTGATATAAGGAAATGTCTGTAAATTGAACTGAGCGTGAATTTTAAATATACAGAAAAGGAGAAAAAGAAAAATTAATTTTTGAAAACTTTATCGTATATAATTAATGTTTATTAATATGTATCTTGGAAATGAAACACCGTAGGTTGATCAACAAGTTTTCTGTAAATGATATTTTCAGTTCAGTGATACAATAGTCCTCGACTTACAACCACAATTGAGCCCAAAATTTCTGTTGCTAAGCAAGACAGTTGTTAAATGAATTTTGCCCCATTTTACAACCTTTCTTACCACAATTGTTAAGTGAATCACTGCAGTTTTTAAGGTCATACACAGTTGTTTAGTTAATCTAGGTTTTCATTGTCTTGCTTGTCAAAAGGTGGTCACATGACCCAGGGGACATGGCAACCGTCAAATACATGCCAGTTGCCAAATGTTGGAATTTTGATCATGTGACCACAGGGATGCTACAATAGTTGCAAATGTGAAAAAAGGTCATAAGTCACTTTTTAAAGTGCCGTGGTAACTTCAAACGGTCATTAAATGAATGGTTGTAAGTTGATCTATCTGTATATTCCTAACCTACTGCTGAAGGTTCTTTATACCTAAAGTGAAAATCAAATGTTGTATATGTTTTAGAAGTAGTCTTTCTTATAAAAAACATGATCAAAACAAATAATTTATATATTTTTTTATTTTATACAAAATAATAATTTGTAAGCATTTATCATTTTTTCTTGCTCTTTGATTTCCCCCCCTCTTGTTGGAATATAAGAAATGAAAACATTTGTTCTATTGGTATATTCTACATGTTTTATTTGCTAGGTTCTGTGGCCTCCATGTTTTGGGTTGATGCTGAATTGGGAAGTGACATTTATCTTGATGGTAAGAAAATTAATATTTGAATATTGTGTGTGTGTGTGTGTGTGTGTGTGTGTGTGTGTGTGTACAAAGAGAAATCCTGAGATTAAATGAAACGCAATTGTGTTCAAAACAATTTAGCTCAATGGGGGTCTTTAAGCTATTTAGATATGTTTGGATTTTTGAGAAAGCATTGTGCATATTATCATAAAATGGCTGTGAGGCAAATGACAAAATATTATACTGTCACAAAATGTCAGAAGATATTAAACTGATGAATCTTAAATGTAGATTTTTCTCCTTTCTACCAACTGTTTTCTTTGCTAAGAAAATACTTATTTCACATCTCAGAAGACAAAGCAATTCACCTCTTATTAAATTTTTATAACTTAATTCTACAAGTAAGAAAATTTTCCCAGATTGCTTTCTTTCTTTCAGACAAAGAAAATATACTCAAACCACATGGCAGCATATGGTTTGATTCAAATTTTCCCTCTTCCTTTGTCTCAGGATTATCTCCTCTAAACAAGGATTAGCTCTCTTCCTATGTAACAGCCCAACTCCGTACATTCAGACATGCAGCTAACCACTCCATTCATTATAGAAACATATTCAGCCCTTCCCTTCCCTCGTCTCCTTACTTGCAGTAGCTTCTTAGGTTTTTATTTTTGGTTCTTTGATTGAAAGAGAAGAAAATTGATTGATTGGAAAGTCCCAGCTTATTGTCATCTCCTCTTGTTTCTTTCTGGAAAACATTCTGGATTTATTTGGAGCATGAGACATATACCGTAGGAAGAGGAAAAGGCAAGACTTTTCTGCTTTCCAAAAGTTTGAATTCAAATCGTTTTTACTATTCCTGAAAGTGCCTATGATAATTTTTTTAATTAACCTCAGCATCTAAGGAAATGTTTTGAAGGGTTATTGCATCTTAGGTACCGGTAATTTATTTTCTTAATTCCATGTAAATATGTAAGACATCTGCGAATTCTGTTGGTATTTTTCAAATCAAGGCTCTTCCTTCCTTTCTTCTTTAGGTATAATATCTGTTGTTGATGCAAAGCATGGGCTACAGGTAATATAAGATGGTTATTGTCAGTTACACAGCAAAGAAAACAAACTGATGATTTTTGTATGCCTAATAAACTAGGATGCTTGACTATGCATGTCTCTTAGAGGTAGTCCTTTACTTACCATTATGATTGAGCTGGGAATTATGGTTGTAAGTGGTAGGTAAATGAGTAACCGTGTGATCACACTTTATTTTATGACCTTTTTTGCAGCAATTGCTACAGTCATTAAGTGAATTTGTTTTCCCCAGTGGGTGCTTCTTACTGGACACGAAGTAAATGGCAGGAACTGACAAAAAAAAATGGCAAAAATCACAGTCACATGATTCCCAGTCACTGCAAATGGATATAATGCAAGCTGGTTGCTAAGTGCCCAAAGCACAATAATGTGATTGTGGGGTGGTAGTGTTGCAGCCAGAATTTTGAAAATGAGTCATGAGTGGTTCTAGGGAGATCTGAATGGTCACTAACTCAGGATTAGAAATTTGTGCAAATCTGAGCAGTTAACCACTGAACATACATTTATTTATATCATGATTTGCCATACCACAATGGGTTTTAAGGTTCATGCAACATGAATTAATCGTCTGGGTTTTTTTTATGTGACAATAAATATACTTAGATTAATTGTTTTATATACTGTATAGGGAAGTATTTTTATAGTTGACATTTTAAAAAAACTTGCCAAAAGTTTTTGAAGTAATAAATGTATAATGTTTGATATCTTTGGAATGCAGTCCGCTGTGCGTTATTCAATCAGCAAACATGTAAAGAGCTTGACACATTGCCAGTTAGACGGCAGCCTTTACATTTTCTCAGTCATACGCCAGATAAATAGCTTTCGCTTTGTGTAGGGAATTTGCGATCTTGTCCAATTCCTGTGGTTTCAAAGCCTGACCTTTGCCTTGGCATATGATTAAAAACCATCCGGAGGCCATACAAGTGATGACACTGGGATAATAGGTAGCAATTTAGAAGTGTCATGCTTCGGGGATCCAACCTAGTCCGTGTGAAGCTGAGAAACTGTACCCTGTGGCTAGCAAGCCAAATTGAAACTGAAATGGTAATTGATATCATGGACTATCACTCTAATGGGATTGTCACCTAGGAATCTGAAATATTCATGTTTTAATCTAAAGGCGAATGATTGGACAGCTTGCAATGACAGGTCACAACACTGAGGACTTAAACCAGGGATGCTGTTCTTTTTAAATGTATAAAAGCTTGGCAGTGTTTCATGGAGAAGAATCAGTGAAAAGAAAAAAAAGGTCAAAAGAGAGTTCTTATGCTATTGTACATCCTTGTCAAGATATTTAATCAAAAAATATTTTTGAAACTTTTTTTTTTCAAATTTGCAATATGGATTAAAAATATTTGCAGCTGCATTTAAATCGCTTCTCAACCTTTTGGCCAAAATCAAGTCTGTTAAAAGAACCTTTCCGTTTGCATGTTTCTTTTTCTTCTTTTCCTTGAAGTAATATATCACACTGGAAGCGTCTATATTGTGAGGGTAGTATCGGGGTAAGGTGCTAAATTAAGACTGGGCAGAAGGAGGTTCAAGACCAGGCTTAGCCGTGGAGTCAGTTGGAGCCACCAACTCTTCAGCGCAACGTGTATCAAAGATTTCTTTGTAGATAAAGTGAAGGGAGATCCCTGTATAAGTCATCCAGAGTTCTAGAAGGAAAAGAATATAAATTTAACAAACTAATATTTAAATTAAGTGCTGAAATACCGTAGCAGTGATTAACATGAATACAGATAGACTTCAATTTAACAACAGTTCATTTAGTGACCATTCAAAGTTACAACAGCACTTTAAAAATGTGATTTATGACTAGTTTTCACACTTATGACCATTGCAGCATCCCCATGGTCACATGATCAAAATTTGAACGTTTTGGCAACTGGCATGTATTTATGACGGTTGCACTGTCCCGGGGTCATGTGATCATCATTGCCAACCAGCTTCCAATGAGCAACGTCAATGGGGAAAGCCAGATTTGCTTAACAATTGCGTGGTTCACTTAACTGCAATGATTTGCTTAACAACCAATGGCAAACAAGGTCCTAAAACGAGACACCACTCAATAACTGTCTTGCTTAGCAATGGACATTTTGGATTCAATTGTGGTTGTAGGTTGAGATTACCTGTAATTGGGAAGTGCTAGTGGGTGTGTCGGGAATGACTAGCACATACAGTATGTGTGAGGGGAACCTTTATCTTTTTAGTGGGTATGTAACTATTAGTATTAGTTCAGGACCATTGACAGCTAAGTGAATGGATGGTGACAGTCTAACACACAGGTGTCAAACTTGCAGTGCCATGCAAGTTTGCGGTGTCATCGCAACTTTTTTCCCCTTCATGGAGCTGGGTGGGCATGCTCTGAGCGTGACACATCCAGCCCGTGGGGCGCCAGTTTGACATCCCTGGTCTAACAATGTATCTCAAGCAGATAAAACAATGAAATATAGGTACCTTTATTAGATTTTCTGTGAACACTCAGAACTTTTCCTTTCAGAAAGCACCCTCAGAATGTTTGCTGTAAAAAAATTTTAAAATCAAAGTTATTAAAATATAGATTAAAATTTCTACTAATGTTATAATTATAGAGAGAATTAGCAATATCTCAATTCATTTGAACTGAGTATAATATCTCTCAGGGCAAATAATAAGTAGAAGCAGATCGAAGGCAGCTATTTTAAGTTCTTTTATATATCTGGTTGTGAGTTTTTCTCTTTAACCTTTTCTTCACCTGATGTTTGAGAGTGAAACATGAAAAACAGTTAATGATATTCCAAGTATTTGCTGCATAATGTGTACTCTGTAAATATCAGTGATTTAGTTTACAACACAAAATATTCCTCTTTATAATGGTGTTTTTGAATCTTTTTTTCCAGCACCTAAAAGAAGAAAAACCCTCAGGCCTTATTAATGAAGCTGCTAGGTATTGGTGTATTGCAGTTTTTTTCTCTAAATCTTACAGTTGATTTAATGGAAAGTGCATAAACAGTAAACAGCTTTGGATCATTTAGGAACATTACTACTAAGTTCAATTAGTAGATCCAATTCACTGTATTTGTTTCCTGAATGCTTCTGCTCAACTGTTCCTCTGTGATATCCCATGGAAGTAAAAGTTATTTTATGTATTTGCTTTTTGTTCAATTCACATAACTGTCCATCTCACCACATACATGGTCTGGATGGCTCAGAGTTAAAATAACAAAAAAACAAAACCCATATAAATAGCTAAAAACAATGACAGCAATTAAAAGAAACATAAAATGCAGGAGAGTGCCAATCAGTAGCATACAAACAATACAGCCATCTGACAGGCTTCTGCTGACTGCAATTTGGCAGTTCGAATCTCACCAGGCTTAAGGTTGACTCAGCCTTCCATCTTTCCGAGGTCGGTAAAATGAGGACCTGGATTGTTGGGGGCAATAGACTGACTCTGTAAACGGCTTAAGAGAGAGCTGTAAAGCGCTCTGAAGTGGTATATAAATCTAAGTGCTATTACTTTTGCTATACCTCCATGGGATCTTCAGACCTGTTGGCAAAGCCATGTTTTTAGGGTTTTCCAAAAGGCTGATAAGGTTGAGGCCAATCTAATCTTACAAGAAAATATGTTTTACAGGGCAGATGCCACCCGGACCACAAGGTCTCTTCTTGGATCCCATTAGATGAAACTCCTTAGCAAACATGACCCGTCACATGCCATTCTGCTGGACTCGATGGGATGAGTAAATGTAACCAGGGAGAAATATAATAGTCCCTCAAATCACCGGACCTCATAACCAACAACATAAATTGAACTCAGATGCGTTTGAATAAAAAAGGAGTAGACTCGCAGATGGTGGTTAGCTTAATTACTGACTTAATTATAGTTAAATAATTAACTATAATCCATAATTGACTGGATTTCTACAACCCAATAAGTTACTTTATCAGAAGGCAACCCAAATTACAAGCACCTTATGTTAATAGAGCGCGGGAACAAATTATCTTTTTTTTAACACTCTGGAAGTTCTTAAATTTCTTTTGCTATATTCCATCAGAATAAGTAAGTGTGTCCTACTTTTAAACGACTTCTTAGTTCAACATTTTACCTTCTCCTGTACATCAGTTTCTCTTTAATGTAATGAGAATGACTATCTTTAAAAATTACATTTTTAAGCATAATTGTTTAGAAGTACATTCCACAGTATTCAATGGTGAATTTAGGAAACAATGTACATCCTTGGTGCTTTGAAATCAAGTAATTTTTTTAAATTTTCAATAGAATTTGTTTTTATTTTGCATGAGCACTATAATGTAGTCCTCCTGTAAGATAAATAAAAGTGATACTTGTTATGTTGTTGGTTTGAGCTCTGAGCTTGGCAATTTGGTAGCCAAGATGTCAAGGAGAGATCTTCAATGTGCATTTCAGGTGATACTTGAAGCACACAAATACTTTGTGTTTACTTATTTTACTTATTTTTCACTTACTCATTTTTCTCTAGGCAAGTGGCTTTAGCAGATCTTATCATTATCAATAAGGTAGACTTGGTTTCACAGGCTGAACTGATGAAATTAAGAACAGCTGTCTGGTAAGCATACATTTATTTCCAATATCTATTTGAAACATTTTTATACTGTCCCTTTACTTTAAAAAATCCCTCAGAAATCTAAACAAGTACAATTAAAAGACGTTTAGAGGTTTCCATTGCATTTCAACTATCTAATCATTTAGGTCAGTGTTTCCTAACCTTGTTCACTTTAAGACATGTGGACTTCAACTGACATGCTGACTGAAGAATTCTGGGAGTTGAAGTCTTCATATCTTTAAAGTGAACAAGGTTGGGAAACACCGATTTTGGTGAACCATGCAAAAGCAGTAGAAAAATTGGCAGCTTTTCATCTGAGAGAAGGGGGTTTTTTTGTCTTCAGGCACTAATGAGTTCAGCAAGATAAAATGGCTCCTGGGGAATTTTGTTGAAATATTTATTGTTGATTTCCTATGACTGTGGTCACTGGAACAGTAGATTACATGGGATCAAAAAAGTACATTTGATGTAATTATTTAATTGTCAGGTATTTATTTAAATAACTTTTCTTTAGATTTACAACTTTTTACTTGCTGTAGGCTTAACGTTTGTATGAAGTGAAACTGCTAGAACAAAGATTAGTTGTAGTCTCAGTTTAATGAAGTCAGGAAGCTTTTGACTAAGGCAGAATTGCAACCACTGTCTTTAATCATCTGTTAATCCTCTATTGGGAGAAAAAGATGATTTTGAGGCTGTAATGCCCAGCTATTTCTACTTTGGCAGTAGAGTTGGATTCCACAGTGTGGAGGACTCTGCATACTGTAGCTGAAATCCTATGTTTCATTTGTAAACCACCAGAGTGATCTTATCAGTGAGATGGGCATATAAATTTAATAGATAAATAAATAAATAATATCCAGGTTAAGGGCATAAACTGGATTATACGATTGATAGGCCATATGCTGCTTAGTTGTACTGCTGTGACCAATGTGGTAACTTTAATATTTGGGGTAGAATATGATTTCAGAAGTTCTCTGACTGGAAATTAAGTGGGCCGCCCCGTGCTATAGTTCCAGTATCCATTTTTCTCTCTCAGAGCAACTCTGGACCTCCCTTTTTTGCCCTTAATCCTACAACTCCCACCAACACCAAAGACTCACCCATTTTCAACATTATCATGATATTATCAAGCCCTTCCACAATCTTTAGAAGCCAAACAGTTTTATAAACTATGAAGCATAGTTCTTGAGTCCAAAAGAAGTTATCCCTCTCTGAGCTGAGAGATGATATGAAACTGTAGGATTCCTGTTTTCTAATTTTCTTTTCAAACAGCAGATTTCTTTCAGATCCAAAATTCTGAGAGTTAAATATATCAGAAAATTGGATAGATTGGGGAATGTTTCATTGTGTCTATAAGCACCAGTATACCTGCAAATACTTTTTGGTGGCAATCAGTGTCCCTGCTACGCCAGATCTATAAATCCTCCTCTGTCTTATCTAACTATTTAATTTAAACATAAAAAGAAGCAAGAAATCTGTAGAAAAAGGAAACTATATTTTTTTTCTCCAGAAGAAGAACCCTGTGAAATAGATAGGCTGGCAATGAGTGATCAACACAAAGGGATCCACCGAACAACATAGATGAGTTGAGTTTTGAGCCCTAGTATCCTCAGCAAAAGTTCAAGAGTTAATCATTGTAGTACACTGGTTCAATACATAACAATCATCTTGGAGGATTTGCGCAACAATGACATTTCTCTATGAATCTCTGAATTATCATATGAGGCAGTTGATCTGCCTCTTTGAGGGTTCTTCTTGCAGGAACTTGAAATCAAGCATTGCCTGTAGCTATTTCAGTTTTTTAGAAAGTCCTCCCTGCCGAATTTGAGGAACATTTGAAAACGCCCTGTGCGTTTGGTTTTCCTGTTGAACATGTTAAATTAATGTTTAATGTTCTAGACGTTGTGGTTTTATATTTTAATTAAACTTCCAGAAAGCCTTGTTAATTCATAATATGTAAAATCTATTATTATTGTTTTTGCAGGGATCAGGTTAAAGATAGGAATCTAAATTTTGTCAAGTGGATTTGTAAATTATCTCTGATCATAAGTATTCTATCTTTTTTCTTCTCTTCAATAATGTTAGCGCAATAAATGGAGTTGCCAACATTTTAGAAACTCAGCGCTCAAGGTAATTAAAACAATGTTAAATTAACTACTTTTTCCTACTATTGTGAATAATATACATTAATCTGAAAAGTTTATTTTATTCAGGAATATATTCTTTATGCGAGATATGAACAATTTAATAAATTGAATAATTTTATATAATTACATACTTTTTATTTCATATGCGTTTGGCTATACAGATACTCCCCTCTGGTTCAAAAATATAGAGGTTTTAGTGCATCAGGATGGTAGAACGTGTGGGTTTGTGTGTGTGAACGCGTGGACGCCTTCAAGTCAGGTTGATTTCTGGCGACTGCCTTAACAAGTTACAGAAATTGTTTGCCATGTATTTCCTCCTTCCTAGGTCTCAGAGAAAAGCGGCTGACCCAAGGTCACAACTGTCTTGAGTTCCTAAGGCAGGATTAGAACTCACTCTCCTGTTTTTAACCTAGTGAGACCATATGATTAGATATAATATACATACTTATACTACATACTACATTATATTATACATAATATAATGTATGTAGCTAGATAATGTATATTATATTATACATAATATAATATACATTATCTAGTCCAACCCTTAGCTGGCCATTCAATCCCCACCAGATTGCTCAAAACATTGTTACTGGACACTTGGACAAACAGCTACATTTATAATTAAACTGAGCAGAGTTTATGTAACAAAGCAAATAGGATTTTATTAACTAAAGAATGTATCTCAAGTAATTAATAACCTTACTATTTTTATATTGTATTAATTTAAATTTAATTTTACTAAATTTATTAAAGCTAAAGTGTATAAATTTTATTAATTAGTTTGGAAAAAAGTACATCAATAAGAAAATAATATATCAAACATTTAACAGCCTTTCTTTTTATTCTCAACCCCTAAGTAGCAATTAATAGAAGCAAAGCCTTAAATATTTCCCAAAACAAAAATGCAATTGTTCTCGTTATCTAATGAAGTTATCATTACATTCTGAATTCTTATAATGCAGTGTTTAAAAATTTGCTAACATTTAAATGTACCATAGGTAGTCCTCAATTTATGACCACAACTGAGCCCAAAATTTCTGCTGCTAAGCAAGACAGTTGTTAAGTGAGTTTTGTAACCTTTTTTGCCATGGTTGTTAAGGGAATCAGTGCAATTGTTAAGGGAATCATATAGTTTTTAAGCAAATCTGGCTTATCCCATTGACTTTACTTGTCTGAAACCAGTTGGGAAGGTTGCAAATGGTAATCACATGACCCCAGGACAGTGCAATTGTCATAAATACATGCCAGTTGCTAAGTGCCCAAATTTTGATCATATAACAATGGGGATGCTACAATGGTTGTAAGTGTGAAAAACCATCGTAAATCGCTTTTACAATGCCATTTTAACTTAGTGTTCAGTCACTAAAACGAACAGTTGTAATTCAAGGACTACTTATATATTACTGGATAGGAATAAGTAGCCTTTTAGATATTGCTAGTTAATAATAGAAGTTGTAAACATCAGTACTTGCACTTTACATATTTTCTAACATAGTACTAATTCAGGAAGGAATATAGCACAACAGATGTTAACAGAAGAATGTAGGCGATATCACATAAGTGTTCATTCAGTCTAATGCAAATAAAGTTCTTGTGTAATTTTTCTTATCTAAAGATGCTGGAAGGCATATGATCTAATCCTGTATTGACTTAGATCTATCAGATTATTACATTCACTTTTCCTCTATATAACTTGTTCTAGAAAATATTTTTCCAAATAGTATATGCAAATTTATAACAAAGATAACATTATACAACAGGTTGCAAAGAACCTTGTAGATATCACTGATGAAGTGCAATACACTCATATTTTGCCTGACAGCAAAAAGTTATGAAACAATTTTTTGTTACTCACCAGCTGACTACTGCATTTCCAAACATTTTAATCCCATTAACAGGTCCATTGATACAATTTCATTAGAAATTCAGATCTGCTCCAGGCTGGAGGATTTATGTCCTGCTGCTAAACGGTTGATTTATGAACATTCTTTTCTGTAGTGACTGTCATATTGGCTTATAGGGATTACAGTCTTTATCATTCTTTCTTTTGTTGAGTTAGGAAGGTGGAGTGGAATGTGTGAAATAGTTTCAGCAACTTAACACTCTAACTCAGTCTTTCTCAATCTTGGCAAGTTGAAGATGGGTGAACTTCAATTCCCAGAATTCGGAATTGAATTGAATTCTGGAAGTTGAAGTCCACCCATCTTCAACTTACCAAAGTTGAGGAACACTGCTCTAACTTGACATTCTCTAACTTAAAGGTTCCGGAATCGATACTATAACTTTTCTTGTGTCCTATTGCCTGTTTATCGATCATAATTATTCTGCCAGCATGACACATTGTAAAGTGTAGTAGTATTAAATTTAGATTTTTAAAAAGGTCTCTACCTTCAAAACTAGCATTAGAAATTGTTTGGAGACGATGAACCATTCATAAGTTCTAAAGATATTGTTAAAGTGTCCACAATGAAGGTAATTATTAAGCACTCTTTGCGATTTCTCATTTTCTGGACTTTGCTTTTTAAAGTCAGTTTAGATATTCCTGAACAAACTTTGGAGTAAGAGAAGTGTCAATGTTGTAACGGCTATGCTGCACGAGTTTCCTGACAACAAAGGATTGTTGGGGGCTCTGTGAAGTTTCTTACATTCCCATAAATTTAAGACTTAAAATTAGCCATTCCTGCAATGCTAGAGAAACTGAAAGAAGATTGACTTTTCTGTGAACAGTAATTAATAAAGGAACTCATGTTTTCAATGGGAACAATGAAAAAAAGTATTCTATATTAATTTTTAAACTGAATGCTTTTCCTTGGTGTGTCTAAAAAACCAAACAAACAAAATTGGTTGAATTAAATCAGGATTACTGAAATTGTAAGGATCAAATTGTAGTTTCGAATCCTAATTTATTCTCAAATCATCATAGTTCTCTAAATTTGGACATCACATGCAACTGAGGTTCCATGTGAAACTGAATGCTTGGCTTTCCACATTAGCACAGAAATAAAGGGGAGGAAGATGTGGAGAAGATACACACACCTCTGTTCACCTTTCAAAAGTTTTTCAAGAATTCTCTAAGCATTCAAAGAGGCTGACCAGAAAGAATAAAAGGCTACAGTGGAGAGGAGCAGTCACAGGAAAATACCATTGAGCAAGAGGCAGTCTTAGTATATCCATAAAGTGTGTTATAAAAGACATAATTTTATTTTTCCCCCTAGAGTTGATCTCTCTAATGTGTTAGACCTGCATGCTTTTGACGGTGTATCTGGAAAAAGGTAAGATTATATGTTGCTCTTTGTTTTAGAATTCAACTTGTATTTCTGCTACACCCCGATATTGACAATTGTCCAGATTATGTTTTGTGTTTGCAATGCTATGGTTTTAAATGTATTGTCCTTATAAGTTTGCAGCAGAAACTTCAGCTTGAAGAAGAACCTCGTGCACATCTAGATAAGGTGAGCAGTAAATCTGCGCTAAGTATGACTGATTAAACTTTTATTAATAGTATATATGTGCCCTTTTATGTTCCTTTTCCTTCATCGTTATATCAACTCCATGAGGTAAACCAGATCCAAAAATCAACCTCAAGGAAGACTAGAAATGTGCTGTATTGGTTGACTATAATAACAGAATTTTGCAAGGCTGTGCTTTTCCTCCTCTCTATGCATTATCAGTCATCAGGGGATACAAGAAAGAATGCTACCAGATTCAACAACAATAGCACTTAGACTTATACACCGCTTCACAGTGCTTTACAGCCCTCTCTAAGCAGTTTACAGAGTCAGCATATTGCCCCCAACAATCTGGGTCCTCATTTGACTAACCTTGGAAGGATGGAAGACTGAGTCAGCCTTGAGCCGGTCAGAATTGAACCGCTGGCAGTTGGCAGAATTAGCCTGCAATATTGCATTTTAACTACTGCATCACCACAGCTCAAGTAATAATGTGGTGGGAAATAAAAAGTAAGAGATTAGATTTTGGATTTGAATTCTTTGTAACAGATTCAACCCCCATCTGCCTGGGGGGAAAACTCCTGGGGAAAAACTCTACCCTCAGTACCAGTCTTAACTCTCTGCTTTCTTTAATTTCTTCATGCAAGTTGATTCTTGGGCAAGAGAGGGGCAACCTTTCCTGTTTTGCCTGAAGGGAATGTTTTTGTCTGTGCAGGTGGTGCTACCTATTAGTTGCCTTCTTTATTGGAGAACATGTGAGATAGATAGCCTATGCTCAGCCATTCTTTGCAACCATTCTTAGTGGAATGCCTCCAAGAGTTTGTGATAGATTCAGTCTCCCTTCTCTCTTGTTATATAATCTTGTTAAGCATAAAATGTGAACAGAAAAACTAGACCCCCCCAAACATCTATGTGAATTTAATCCTTGATTGTCTTCCCTTATGAGTCAGCCTATGCTAAATAGATACAGTAGGTACCACCTGGAAGACATTGGATCAAACCATCCAAGGTAATGATTGGTCAGTGTAAATTTTTGTTATGGGATGCTACTCCCAATCCTCTGAGAACACGTCTGGGGAAACTTGCTTTTTTTCCAAGTGGCTGGCCTGGAACAAAGGTCAGTGTTTGCTCTGGAGACCCAGGGAACTGTCCTTTAAGTATTGACAAAGATCAGGTCAGTATAGACTTAGCCACTGAAAATTAGCTTTTCTTATTTTGACCCTTCTGTGCTCAGTTCCCTAATAAATGTACTGAATTGGGAAGTAGACTTAAATTAGGCCTAATGTGTAATCTGGGAAATGGTCCTAGGCACATGGAAGACTGGAAAATACTTGTATATATTTGGGTTTTTTTTAAGAGAATAAAGTATATATTTGGGTTTTTTTTAAGAGAATTAAAGTGGCCAAGATTGGACACATCTGATCTAATTTAAGTCATTTCACAAGCTAAAACTGGCCTTGTAAAGGAAGATTAGGGCCATGTTCCTTGTATAAGGCCAAGTTCCTGATAATCTGTTTTAAGTTTTATGACAAATAGCAAATGTTTTAGGGCGTGCTGTAATAATATATATACTCTTTTTTAATTAATCTGTGTTTCAAAGATTTAGCTTTTTTAAAGGTTTCTAAATAGTGTTAATCTGAATCTTGCTTTATGAGGCTCCTCTTAAGTTATTTAGGATAGTTGAAAGGAAGTGCTTTGTTTTTCACAAAAGCAGGGTTTAAGTGGATTAAATGGAAAGTAGTGTAAAAAAGGATGATTCTAATTTCAAAAGGCTTGTGTAGCAATGTGTTATACTACTAAGCGGGGTTCTTTGGTAGCATCCTGATTTGGAACTGTGTCAGTACAATTGTGTTTTGTCAATGCTGGAAAATGAGAGATCACATTAGAAGACGGCTTCCTTATAGCTATATACAGGCATGCACTGAAAGTATATGTGCATTTAATTATTGCATTTAGGATTCTAAATGGTTACAATTTATTATGGAAAGAAATGTATATGATCATTAAATATATAGTTCAAGAAAAAATATGTAATTTTATGTAATATTACATACATTGCATCGCATTGCATTAATTTGCAGATTCCATGGATTGCTAACGTAGAATTTTTATTATTAGAACATATTTTGCTTTTACTAAAACAGAATATAGCAATTTTTATCTTATCAATTTTCAGAGTATTGTTACATCCACTTTTGAAGTGCTAGGAAGTGCAACCGAAGAAGACCTAAATGTGTTTATTCAAGTAAGTGCTGTATTATTTGCATGAAAAATCCAAATTATTTCGTACTTTCTTTATAGACTAATGCATTTTTTACTTTAAAAAAGAAACACGATTTGAAAAAAACTTGGCTTTTTTGCCCCAGAAGTTTATTTTATTATGAATGTATAATTCTTCCTATCATTTTTTTATCTCTTTTAGAATCTGTTGTGGGAGAAAAATGTAAAAGACAAGAAAGGTAACCCCATGGAAGTAATAAGACTAAAGGTTCAGTACTCAGTATTATCATTCTTATTTTCAAAAACGATACTGTTTTTATTTGGATGCAGAAAGTGGTTGAATATGGAAAGTGGGGCATATGCTAATTTGGAGTCATCATATGGTGCTCAAACACTTAAAAGGGCTAAAATTTTGCTCTATGTATTACAGCCATATGTGGTTCTTTTTCATCAAATTTTAATATCAAAAGGTCTGTACTTGCAACTTCTGTACCTTCTAGAAGAAATGTATGATAGAGTTTCTTCGTGCGCAGACATTACGCTAATTATGAGAGAAGGAACTCTTTCATGATCTTTAAAACTACAGATAGTCCTTGACTTATGACCAATTGCTTAGCGCCCATTCGAAGTTACAACAAACCATGGCAGGGGCATATTTCAGGTGCTCAGCAACTACCCTGTTGTTAAGGCTGTTTGCAACATCCCGCAGTCAGACGACCACGTTTTTTTGCCAAAACAGCATTTACTTCTGGTTTTTGACAAAAGTGGTCCATAGCAAACAATTGGTTTGCTTAGCGATTTTGCAAAAAAGGTCGCAAAATTGGTGACCCATATGGGTTACTTTACAATTGTCATGACTTACAACCATAATGGGCAGTTGTAAATCAAGGATTATCTGTACAAGGTTGTTGATATTATAGATATTATGAAAACATAGGTTATATAGTTTTTACCACAACAGACATTTATTTACTTACATATGCTATGCTATCCCATCCTATGTTAGGCAGTGAAGAATATTTATGCACGTAGGCCTCCCTTTAGGGTTAATATAGCACCCATTCATTTATTTATAAAATTTATAGGCCACCCATCTTATCTCAAGGTAACTCTGTCCATCACTGTTAAGATGAAAGCAATCAATTCCTTTTATACCAAGGATCTTAGAATATGTTTTATTTATAGATTCTATGTATAGTATTTCTAAACTTTATATTCAATTTATAGAAGTCTTCACTAGCCACTTTGCTAATTTTATTTTATTTTCTAATCAGGGATTGGTGTCCATCAAAGATAAATCTCATCAGGTGATAGTTCAGGGTGTTTATGAGCTCTATGATCTAGAGGAAACAACTGTGAAATGGAAAGAGGATGAACGAATTAATCGATTGGTCTTAATAGGTAAGAATATGGGCATTACTATGTATAAAACTATTAATTCTACAAAAAAATGGAAATGTAATCAGTATAATTGTTCTTAATACAATTGTACAGAAAATGAATTAAAACCCAGTTTCTAAAGAGATATCCTGACATTTGACAGTACTAAACTTTGCGTTTCATTGACATAAATTTCCCTTTTTAGCTTTATAATGTGTGTGCGTGTGAACATTTTCAAAAACAATTGATTCTGCATCTGAATTGGTTTGCTTCCATTTTATTGTTATTTGAATAATAATAAGCAGTTTCTGAATAATATATGACAGCCTTGGACAGTTCTTACCCAGACTAGGTGTAATTGGAAGAAAAATCATATCTTTTTTCCATTCTCATATAAAGCTTTTGTATATTTTATATTTTAAAAGGTATGGTTTTCAACCAACCATGTTTCAGTTACGATGTTATCCCTATGAACTGCTGAGAGTTCCTTGGGATTATAGTGTTATATAAATATAATAATAAGTAATACATACATGAAGCCAAGAATAGAAAGCAGCTGTTTATTTATCATGTAGATTTCTCAACAAAAACAGAAGGAACATGCAGAGAAAGAATGCTGAAGTTACCCTCCTGTCTGTATCTTAACATAGATATGCATTTATCCAATAATTTGTTTTGCTGGTTTTTAGTAGCACTACGTGCATTTCAGAATGACTTGGAATAAATTATTTGGACCTCAAGCAGTACCTTCCTGTTAGCCATTAGAGCAGCCCAACTGTTTTCAGGAGCCTGCGTCATCCTGAAGAAAGCATATAGTTTCTAACACTAAAAGTATGCAGAATTAAGAAAAAGTCACCAAAAGGAAAGGTTGCTGAAAAGCAAATAACCTTGTCTTGTTTTAACATTGATAAATAATGATATAGTTGAGATTTTGGCACTCAGCTAAAATAATCATACTTCTTCCTTATATCATAAAAGCAGATGAAAAGTATTTTGCTTGGCATGGTTTTTTCTTTATTAATTGAGCATTAATTGTATAATGTCAGCAATTCTCTATCCCTTTCTTGATGCTATCTTTTTTTTTAAAATGTATTATTATATTAATAAAAATAAAAGAATTAAACAATGAAGGGCAGGGAAATGTATTCTCAGCTGTATGACACTGTTCTTGTTAATCCTGCTCTACTTTTTAAGTGATTAGTACAATTTGCATCTGCCATGTATGTGTAGATCAGGACTAAGAGTTGAGTCAAATTCCTAATCTGTAATCATTTGTAGATGCTCATTGCATAGTAGCATTGTTGATTGGGTAGACTACTTCTTAAGAGAAATAAAACATTGCCAGGGGTTTAAGGAAGGTCTGCAGCTGTTCTTGGATTTCCACAGAGTTTGCAACTGAGGTAGCTCTAGAAAGTTTGTTAGAGAGGAATGATTCAAGGCATGATAGCTTTTCCTTCACTAATTTACTAAAAATTTAGATAAAAGGCAAATGTTCCTGCAGCACAAGCTGGGAGAAGGAATATTAGAACTAAGCCAGCCTTCCATGGAATAAGAATGGGGGGCGGGGGGGGGGGAGAAACAGTGGGAGTTGCATTTGAGGAACATAACTCTCCATCCAAGCAATTCCCCCAGCATAGTCAGGACAACAAGCATATCTGAGCAGTCTTGTCTTTACAAGAAAGTAACTGAAGTAGACAACATGAGAAGAAATGGATCCCTACTGACTTGCTGGGGCATTCCCTTATCTTTTTATCATCTGGTTTTAATAATTTTTTTGGTAAGCATTGGTTGTATTTGTAATGCAAAGTATTGTAAAATATTAAAAATGTTTTCAATTTTGTTATTTGTCCCTAGGAAGGAACCTGGATAATGATATCCTTAAAGCACTCTTTATAGCAACTGTGACCAAAAGAGAAGAAAATAGTTGATACCAGCTTCAGAGGAAAAGTGCTTTGTAACCCTGCATTTTTTTACCAAGGGATTATTAAAATATTTTGGGTCTATTTTTCTTTTTTAATAGTTGGGTCTTATAAAACTATTGCCCATATATAGAATATCAAGTCTGAATTTATCTAGAATTAGCAATTAATAAAGAAAATATGTGTGTGTCCTTGAAATGTCACTTCTCCATTTTTTTTGAGACAGATTCCATTATTTTTTAAAAACACACACGAGTTATGGGAATGTATTCTGCATCTTTTTCCTTCCTCTAGACCATGTTTGGTGAACAGGTGCTAAGATTGAGCTCTTGCAGTAAATTAAACTTTGACTAGGACTATCCAATACAACCTTTACCAACTTGGAATTCTCCAGATGCATTCGGCTACAATACCCATAATTTTCAGCTAATATGGACAACAGGTAATGGAGGTTGTTCAGGAGTATATCAGGATAAAGATTAGGCAAGGGTGCTCTAATGAATGTTGAAAATTGTTTCGTTAGAGCAGGGGTGTCCAACCTTGGCAACTTTAAGACCTGTGGACTTCAACTCTCAGCATTCCCCAGCCATCATGAACTCACAGCTCAAATGTGAATAGATTTCATTAGTTTTAACACACTTCTGTTTTTTTAAAAGAATTGGGATGCCTTATCAAAACAAATGAGGATGACACTTTATTTTAAGAGTAAGAGCATGAGCCTCTGCTTGAAAGGACATTTGAACCCCTCAAAGGTAGAGAGTATGAGGAGTTCTTTAAAGAGAATAATCTTGGCCAGTGATTTCTCTGTGTGTTTCTGCCTCTCTGTCACTCTGTCTCTCTCTCTGCAAACTGCAGAAACACATTCATTTGTCACCCTTTTCCATTGCGCTGCAAACTCTGGTTTCAGTTCAGTTGCCTAATTGGAATAATTGGACTGCCATCCCAAGTACTGACTTCCTGAATCTCTAAGGCAGCACGTTACTTCTTTGGAAGCCATAGATACAAGGACAAATGAACCTAAGTATCACACCCTATAATAAAGCACTACTGTATTAACTCTTCTAATGTATCAGATTTCACATAAATCTTAAGATTTCCATCTACTTTTCAACTTTACCAGTTGTCTGACTGATTTTCTCATCCTCAGGGTAAATTCTATTCTATCAGTGGAAGTGGCTGGTTGACCTTGAGTAATCTTTAAAATCAGACTTGTTCTTAAAGTGAAATTCTAAACATTTGGTAAAGAATAAGATCCATTGATATAATTGCAGTAAGATTGCATAAAATTAGGTGCCCAGTACTTCTAATCCAGGGACTTTAAATAGTTAAAACAAGGATGTTATTTTCTATTTTTTAACGTGATAGGAAAATAATACATTTTGGTGAATTTGATAAGTAGGTTATTTCTTCAGTTTGACTATTTTTTTAAAAAATATATTACTGGATAACTGCTTTAATATGTTCTGCTATTTCTAGAAAGCTTTAAATCTTGGTGAATTTTGTAATTCAGTCAATTATAGATGAACAAGCTATGGTTTGAAATTAAACATTCAACAGTATATTTCAATAAGCAATAGCTTAACATCAGAAAGATTATTCTAAAATTTAAATATATTTAACCAGAAATGTATGAGTTTACCCTAAGTGATGTTACAAGACGGTAGATGTCTTATTGCCTGACTGATAGGGTAAAAAGCACTAAAAAAAGAGAATTCATTACTTTTACAGTGTAGCGCAGTGGTGTTTTATAAATAAACTTCTTTCATTTAGTTTAATGTTGATTAATGTACACATAAAAAAACAAAAAAGAATTGTGTAAATGTTACAATCTACTTCAAGCTTTGTAATCAATGCACTGTTATGCAGAGTAACTTAATTCTAAAGAGGATGGGATGAATATCATTTATTTTTAAACACAAATATATTAGAAGCATGTGGCAGAATTTACAATGAAAGAACTACAGGGCTGAGTTGGATCAGTTCCAGAGTACAGTTAGCAGATCAGCTGAGCAAAAAATTCTCTTGAATTTTCTGCACCAAGTTTTCTCTTTCTCACCTTTTTTATTATTTTGGAGTCTAGGAATGAAACTCGTTGATGGATAATTATGTTTTTCCTGGCATGAATAAATAATGATTTCCTGGATTTATCTGTATCATACCACATACCTATTGTATGTGTAATATATTTTGTATAATACATTGTAATATATTTTGACCTCTTCATTGCAATTGACAGGAATTTTAATTTTTGTGCTGCTTTTTTTTGTTTGTTTGTTTATGGATAAGTTTTTTTCCCCCTCTATTTTTTTAAATTAAAAAGGTTCCTTATCCATATCTGTAAAGTGCTGTGCCTCGCATGATTTGGGGGCGGGGGGATGTTTCTTCATCTATCGTTTCTTCCTTCTTAACCTCCACTCTGCACCTTGTATAACCTAGAATACCTCCCCAGTTTATTTTTCCCTCTTCAAGAATAAGCCATGGGTTCTTTACCTGAGTGTCCAGTTTGCCTTGCTTTCTAAAAATTGTCATTCCCTGGAGGCTCTGTTCCAGAATACTCTGCGATTTTGGGACTGTAAACCACCAGAAAGTAGGATGGGTCTTTCAGCCAACGTTAATTTACCAAAACAATGGAGTAAAAAACCCTATGAGAATTCTGAGCCCAATAATTTTTTAAAGACAGTTCCTACTTCTTCCATACTAATATTGCAGCTCTCTTTATTTCAGCCCATCTGGGCTAGTTGGGTTAAGTTTTCTGGACCACAGTTTCTGTCACCATTAACAATGTTATCAAGGGTTGCTTGACTGGAACTCATATGGAGAGCCATGCCATGCCCCTCTTTAAGACCCTATTCACACGGGACACCTGCATAGGACTTCTGAGTTCACCTTCCTATCAGAGTCAGAGGGAAAAGGGGGGGGGGTCACCTCCGATGCGCTCCCTCCTTCCCCAGGGATTGGAGCATGCCAATGGAAAAGGAGACCCTCCCTCTTCAGTTGACAGGGAGGGTAGAAACAGGGCAATAAAAGACCCCCACAGCCTCGAAGCTGGGTCATTCGGTTGCACCGGCTGCAGGTCCTCTTCGCCCTTCTTTCGTGGCCGCGTGGGTGGATCTTCCCTTCCTATGAGCCCATCCGGCGAGGAAGCCTTTGAGGACCATCTCCGAGGAAGTCGGAATTCAGATGGGGAAGAAAGTCCCGGCTTCTTGGGCCAAAGCAGCCGGGGACTCTGGACCCGTCCGAAGGAAAGCCGGAGCGACGGCGCCGGGAGCAGCCAGCCCACCGGAGCAACGGTGGCAGCTGCAGCGGCGACGGCCCCCGAGGGGCTGGCCAAGCCCCCTTACTCCTACATCGCGCTGATCACCATGGCCATCCTGCAGAGCCCGCAGCAGCAGCTGCCTCTCAGCGGCATCTGCGCCTTCATCCGCGGGCGCTTCGCCTACTACGGCCGGCGCTTCCCCGCCTGGCAGAACTCCATCCGCCACAACCTCTCGCTCAACGACTGCTTCGTCAAGGTGCCCCGCCAGCCCGGCAGTCCCGGCAAAGGCCACTTGTGGCGCCTCCACCCGGCCTCGCAGGGCATGTTTCACAACGGCAGCTTCCTCAGGCGCAGGCAGCGCTTCAAGCGGCCCGCGTCCTCCGCCGCCGCCGCCGCCGGGATCCTGCTCTTCCCGCCTCCCCCTGGTGGTGCCTTGCTGCCTCCGGCGGTCGGGCTTCTTCCCGCCTGTTCGTCGCCGCCGCCGCCGACGGAAAAAAGTGCGGGGGCGGCCTCAGTGGCCGAAGAAGCGGGGAAGGGGCGCCATGGTCCCGGGGAAGAAGAAAAGCGGGCCCCGGGGGAGATCGGCCAGCAGGGCGGCGACGGCAGCAGCAGCAGGTGCTCCTTCAGCATCGAGAGCATCATGAAGACGGCGCCCGCCCTGGTGCAGCTGAGCGCTTGGATCCCTTCGTCTGCCGCCGCCATCTGCAACCGCAGCCCGGCTCTGCTCTCCCGCCCGGAACGCTTCGTAGCCTTGTGGAGGACCTTGCTGGCTCCCGGCACCGGTCAGGGTCCTGCAGCGCTGTTCGCGGGTCACTCAGAGTTGACCCTCAGTCCGTCTCCTGCCTTTTAGATCCGCGCTCCCTTTCTCTCATCGGACTTTGCAAATCGCTTGCAGGCGGCAGTTTCAAGGACACGTCGGATCTTTAATTTGACCTCCGATTGCTCTGCTTTAGCACACCCCTCCCCCCAAACTGAAGAGGTGGCTCCTTAAATTCTGAAAGTCACTTTCCAGGTCTCCCTCTTTCTCACCACACCGATGAGGGTGTCTGATTACCCTCCTGGGGTGAAGCACAGCTTCCTACATAACGAAAATTACATCCTTCTGCAGGCAGTGACTGAGCAAAGTTTACATGTGCCTAACATCTAAGGATCCACTTTAATGCAGTGTTGAAGTGAAGTGTGACTGAACTAAAAAAAAGAAAGCAGACTATCCTGATTTCCAATCAGAATTGGATTGGAGCTGAATTCATGTCAAGGGACCGCTTCATTGATTGTCAACATTTTAAATAAAAACAGAAATAGACAACTGAGATGAAAGGGCTAAATTGATAAAAGATGTTCCATTTTATGAAGAGCATGAGGCACTTTGATTCCCAGGTTTTGCATTTACCTCCTTATAGCAACTTGTTTGTGTTTCCTTGCAGCTCAGCAGAACACTCATTCCTCTTTTTTCTTAAATATTGTGGGTTATTCTGGAGACAATATTAGTCTGGTCCTTTTCATCTGTCCTCCCATGCCTACCTATATAATGCTGTATTCCTCATTAATGATTGTAATCACTCACATTAAACCTATATAACACCTAAAATCCAAGAAATTAACCAAGTTTTAAGCTGATCCAAAGAGAGACTAGCTCCACACAGAGACCAGAAGTCCAGGAATCTTCCATTAGATTTGTTTGTCAAACATCAACAGGTTTAGAGAAACTAAAAATTATCACTTTTTGTTATTCCTTACATTCTACTTTCAGCTAGTTGGTTCAACATTCCTCCTAATTCTCAGCAACTATAAGTTTTGAACTGAAAAGATCTCTGTCTGCATTTCTATTTCTATATAGATTTCCCATCCCTTAGTTTATTCTTTTTATAAAGCATCAAAACGTATTTTGAACTACAAGCGAACAATTATACCATGTTTCCCTGAAAATAAGACCGTCTTATATTTTTTTGAACCCTGAAATAAGCACTTGGCCTTATTGCCATGCACTCAAAAGCCCGATTGGGCTTATTATCAGGGGCTGTCTTATTTTGGGAGAAACAGGGTAGTACTATGAGTTAGAGTGTTTTTGGCACCGAAGTCAAATATAGGTACTTGTCATATGAACAGATTGCTCTTCTTGGAGAATAGATCAGTATGTATTATACAATCTGTTCTAGGCCTCAAAAAGTATCCTATTTAATTTAGTTCAGTAATATATCCCACAGCAAAATTTCAAAGGTCAGCTATTAATACAATCAACTTCTATTTCTGGAATGGAGGGAACCTCATTTTATTATTTGCTTCAGACAACAAAATAGTTTTGGATGGATTTTTCTTCAATTCAATAAAAAAAAGTTCATGGAGAGCAGACTGCAGGGAGGTTAAGATAAAGATTTCCACTAACCCAGTTCATCTGCTGGGGTAGATGGAGAATTAAGCATCCTATGTCATCTGCTTGCTTTTTAATATCTAATCTATTTCCATCCTGTGTTTTATACATGAATCTGGGAGATCTGGATTTTATCAAAACAAACTGTTATTACCTCTGTGAGACTTATGTAAAGGCAAACTGTGTTACACAGAATCAAACAATAAATTAAGATAGTAAAAAACATTTTTGTGAAATTGAGAAAGTTATCTTTTTAATGTTCTGCACATTTACAATAAAGTAGTAGATCAGAGAAGGAGCGATACTAATTTTTTGTGGTTCTTTGTGTGCGAGTTATATGTGGGATTTTTTTCTGCAATGCGGAAATAATTTTTTAAAATAGTACAGTACTACATAAGTGTGTAAAATTTGCTCTCATTTTTGGTTAAGAGTGTGTTTAGGCTAAACATCATCTCATAGCCCCAGATTGGGGGATCAAAAAACATCTATCTAATAGCCCACACTGGACCAGTAAGGCAAAATACAGTTCATAACCTTCAATGAAGATGCTTTCACTCATCTTTTCCTGTCAGATTGCATTATATCAAGCATTTGTAGCTCCATGCTTCTTTATGCAACTTTCAATTTCTGTACAGCTTTTGCATTCAACATCAAGCTTCTAACCATACATCAACACAGGTTGTTACTTATACAATGTGTTAACTATAAATGGCAAAAAATGTCAAAGCAGTTGGAAAACAGCTGAAGATGGCACTTCATCCTGCAGTGGATTGACTTGGGCTAATAATGAAATTTATGTGTCTGTCTATATCTATCTATCTATCTATCTATCTATCTATCTATCTATCTATCTATCTATCAACATCCATCTAAACATATATACATGCATATACACATATATCTATGACTTTATTCGGAAATTTGTCTTGATAGTATACATAGATATTAAAAATGCAAGCAATTAAAGGATATAAGGTATGTTTTATTAACAAGAAAGAAAACTGCTCCTGAATTTGTGTTGATAGTGGTTAACAACTTTTTTTCAAGGTTACGATAACTTATATTTTTTTACAGCTGAACTGCACTGTTCCAATTAAGGTTTATGTGTATCTTGAAAAAAATATAGTATACAATGAAGATTTTTCACTCCAGGTGGCGCTATTTAACCACTTTCTCAGGTATTTAAAAAAGTTTAAAATACAGGCACCAAGCTGCTGTTCTGGATTTTTCTTTTCTTGCTTGCTTTAATCTTAATCTTTAATAAGATTATTAAATCTTATTTTGTTTTTTTAGTACTGTATTCTAGGATTGGTGCAATTATCGTGGATGATTTATTTAAGGTTTTGTCCAAGAAGAAAAGCAGCACGGAATAAGTTTCTGAACCTGCTGCCCAGTTGCTGGTAGTCAGTACAGTGTTTAAAGAGAGGAAGAAAAAAAAAGGTATGCAATATAGTGAGATTAACATTATAAGTTTTAGCTGGAATATTTGCCACAATTTTTGCAGATTTTGTCAGAAAAACATCTTGGGCTGAAAAGGTTTGCGTTTCAACAGTACCCTTAGTTAATCACTTTCCCTTTCAAATATATTAGATCCAAAACAATAATACTTATCCTGAATATTAAGACGTTAGAATTATACATATTTAATAATGTCTGATTAATGCAATCTCATATCAATTTCATAACTGAGATTAAAATACATATGCATGTTTTAGCATTTGTGAATATTTTTAAAGTAATTACAAGCATTGAGCTGCATAAAAATAGTATTTTTCTGATGATTCACGAAAATTATTTTACTTTTTCCATAACTTTAATTCCCAGGAGCTTATTTGTTACATTTCACAAAGATTGTTGGCAGTTATTCAACAATTAGCCTTTCTATGCAGAACATTCAGGCAGTTAAGAAAATACCCAATACAGCAGTGAAATAAACATATCCATATGTAATGTAGCAGGGATGTGTATCACAATTGTTTTATTTTTCATTATGTGTACATGTTAAACAATTTTAATATAGCTCAGGACAAGAGATAAGTGTTCATAATAAAATAATAGAATTGGTAGAGCTTTTCACTGAAAATGGAAGCTGGATGAAATAGAAAATCTAGCAGATGCTAAATAAGTTAATACTTTTTCTGTCCACAGGAATAGTGCTATTTACCTTTGGTTTAAATAGAAAACTGGAAGCAGGTAAATGTGCATTCTGAACTACAAACAGGTCTTTTCTTCTTACATAATGAAAGGGGAAAAAGAAACATTATTCCAGATTTCTTTTTGCCTCTTTGTAAATCCCAAATAGTTTTCCAAACTTTGCTTCAGAATAATTAGGTTTGGCAACAACCTTTGTAAAGGAAGAAAATGCACAGTAATATTTTGCTGTGTATCCCCACTTGCATAAATATAATGGAAAATAAGCTTAAACTAAAAGCATTTGGTAAACCTGCCAAGAGTAGAAATTAAGCAATCGGATACCTTCGTTTTCAAACATGATTTATGCATTGTGGCTGTTCCAATGCTCCATATGAACTGACTGAACATCCTAGAATTTGTTTCAGAGTGTTTTCCAATGTGCAAGACTTACATTACAAACATGGTACAGCCCCGCCCCACCCTTTGCTGGATTTAGTGCTGGTGCTTAAAGCATTTCATCATTTATCTGAAAGTGATGAATTGCTGGTTACTGGAAGACAATGTACTTCTTCGTGTTTTGTCCTCACACATATAGCATATACTTACTTGTAATTTCCATTTGGTGTTTTTCTCTAAATACTGGTGGTCCTCATTAACTGAACTGCCTCGTTTAGTGACTGTTTGCACAGTTGTTTTCATCAACTGTGATGAAAAAGTAATTTTACTACCATTTACTACCTTGACAGGTCTGTAAAGCAAAGGAAAGCTGAAATAACATCGTAAGCACAGTTGCAGCTTCACTTAGTGGCTGCTTCACTTAACTCTGATTTGCTGATCTAAGTGTGATCACTAAATGAGGACTTCCTGTATGCATAGTCCTGTAGATAAGTTTAAGACCAAGTATTTCAGCTAAACAAAGCTGTTAAGCAAGCTGCAATTAAATAATACCTATTTCTAACAATTAAAAATTTCAAACTGTTCTATATAGCAGTTTTTTAAGGTCCTTTACCCCTTCCCCTTCCTGTAATCAAAGCCACCAAGTCCAGAAGTTCCAGTGATTAAATGCATATCACAAGGTACATAAAGTTCATTTACATAGGTGCATATAAAACATGAGATACATACAAAAGAAATAGTTTCTGTGGAGACATCACATTTCCATTACTTTCTCCGTCTATGTAAATCCATGTCCTAACCTTCCCAAAGACATATTTCATAATGATGGTGTCCACCCTACTCCTTGTTCCATAAATTAGCATATTAATATGAAACTGGGTAGACTAAACCATGAGGTTAACCATGGGTAAGCATGGTGTGCAAATATCGCCCCAGCCTGTGACTTTATATGGAATAAGCCTGGTGAATTCCTTCCTGCAATGTGTATAATCAATAGCTCCCTGACCAAAACTTGCTGGTTAGAATTCCTGAGGTATAAGTTTATCCCATTTAAACATACAGGAGAAATACTCACAGTATTTAGGAACATATGTAGAATATGCTTATCTTCCCTTAACATGATGAGAAACTGAATTGTTTTATGTCAGTCAGTGTGTTCTTATTGTGACATATTTTTTCTTCCATATTCTTTTCCAGCCAGTCTTGTCCCCAACTATCTCTGGCATCATCAGAGTAATGGATCCAAAATAGCACAGTGAGGAAACAGTATATTATTTATTGGGTAACTTTAGATTCTGGACTTAATGGTCTTTAGATAGTAAATTGTGTTAAGATTAGAATATGTTCTAGTTTAGCCAGGGCTATCCCAGTTTGGGGCTATAGTCTGAGAAGCCTGTTGGCATTTTTAAAAAAGTCCTTATCTAAGGGCTTGAAAATATGATAATAATGTAGTACAGTCCTGTTGATCTGGTGGATGGAGACCTAGGATTTAATCTCAAAGGAGAAAGAGAAAAAAGTGATTCCTTCTTCTGAAATAAACCATTACGGAATGGTTTCCATTTAACCACCAATTATGTTTCTTTTTTCTCTGGCTGGATTTCTGGCCCAGGGGAGAAAGAAGAAATTCATTAAAAAAATAAAAAGGGCAGAAAGAACAATAAGAATGGGGGGAGAGAACATCCATAAAAACAAGAGTTGCAGAATAAAACTATGGGAAAATTAAATATATTTTGCATCACTGCTATCAGTCTTCTTTTCTTCCATCTTTCTCTCCTTTCCTTGTGTCTTACACAGTGCAAACCTGAGGGTGGGGCCTGTAAAATTGCTGATTTTAAGCAGCCATTATAGCAATTTTATTTGGCTAAAGAACTAAGCAGATAATGTTCAATTAATTACTATTTGGAAGAGACTTCTTATTTTCTAACACATACCAGCCGCTTCCAGTATTAGAAAAAGGAAACCCTAACCTTGTTTTTAGAACATTTTCAAAAATGCTGACTGGAAAACTCACCTGATACTAAGGCCTAAAGTAAGGGGAGGGGGGGAGGTTACTAAATCAAATGCAAGTTATAAAAGGAACCCAACTGCACTGTCAATGCTGGTGTGTCATGCGATCCTTTGGAAATACATAACCTTTCATCCTGGTTGATCCCATTGTCCTAACAGAACATTGTCCTAATGCTTTTAGCATGTGGGTGTATGGGCAAACCTCCCTCTTAACACACCTTATGGGCTGCGATTCCAGCCCAGAGCTCTCTTTTAGTTGATCCAAAAAAGAGCATTCCCAACCATTTAGTCGAGAAGCGGGCCAGGCTGATCTATAAAGGGGCTGGGCGGCTTTGTGCAAAATAGAAAGCTGGAGGACTGACAGGATGTGATCCTCTGGAACAAATGTCTTTCACAGAGAGAGAGAGAGACGCCCCAGCTTCTAGTTACATCTCTGGCAGCGGACAACAATTCTCAGCTTCGCTTACCAGGGTTATTACTGGCCGAGGCTGCCGCCTGCAAAAGAGGCTTTGGCAGCCCCCTCGTGTCCTTCTTCGAAAAGGGCAGCTGGCTCGTCCCGGAGGACATTGCAGAGAGGGAGAGCGCGGGCAAAGCGGCTGCGAGCGTCCCGGGCGGGAAGAAACCTCTTGCTCTTGGCTTTCCTGAAGCGAACTTGCCTTCGGCATCATGCACAACTACGGGACGCCGAGGCAGAACGAGGATTAAGGCGGGAAAAGAGGCGCGGTGGGGTGGCTGGGCAGGGCGGGGCGGCGCTGGGAGCTCATCCTTCTCCTAAGCCTAGGGGAGCGCCCCGGGCAAGAAGCATCGCCGCGCCGACCGAAAGAAGCTCCTTGCCGGGATCCCGTGCAGGCTAGAAGCCGAGAGCCATGGAAGGGAGCCCGATCCCGGTGCTGACCGTGCAGACGGTCCCGTACGAGGACCAGAAGCCGACGGGCGGCGGAGGGCTGAGGAGGCCCACCGCGGTCTTCGAGGGCCAGCGCAATTACTTGCCCAACTTCATCCAGAGCCTGCTCTCCTCCATCGACCTGCGCGACCGCCAGGGCTGCACCATGGTGGTGGGCAGCGACGGCAGGTACTTCAGCAGGACGGCCACCGAGGTGGTGGTGCAGATGGCGGCAGCTAACGGGGTAAGGGCGGCGCCTCCTCCCTTGGGCTCCTCCGGACCTTCGTTGAAGGCGGACTTTCTCCAGCGGGATATTAGGGGATTGCCCCCCACCCCCACCCCCGGCCGCACTTCTAACCCAGGATGAGGATGATATTAGGGCAATCTGTCCTTCTTATCCATTTTGGGGAATTCTGAATTCAAAAAAAAAAAAAAAGATTGGATCCAGTTGATCTTGTAAAACCAATTTATGAGGTCAACTGGATCCGATCTCCTTTTGAATCTTCAAGTTGCCATTATTCTAGTGGATAATGGATTGGATCCATAGGGTAATGGATCTGCAGCTCATGATTTATTCTATCACATCTTATTACAAATGTGTAGGATATATATTCTGTCACGCGCCTTTCGGTTATTTATGGCTTCCATCCAATTTCATTTATATCTATAAGGGCCCATGCTTTCCTTTGTAGATCTATTTGTAAGCCTGCCCTTCATTGCCCCATCTGTGTAAGTTCCTGACTGTTGTAATGATCAAAGTGTGCTACAAGACTTGGTGTACTGACTGGTTTGTTGTGAGTGTTAGAGAACAGCTATTGATATTTTACAGTTTACTGGGGTTTATTTCGGAAGCTTACTAAATTTCTCTGTGTTTGACATATTGAGTTTGAGTGTGACATATTTACTCCAATAGTGTATGGAAAAAATGCAGTGGTTTTGCACTGTGTTGTCTTGCTTTCCACTATATCTATCAAATTGTTCCGAAGTCTTTGTCTAATTTTCCCCCGTCTGGTATAGTGTCCCATTGTTTTTGTTATTCTTATTCACTCAATCTGCCTGATCATATAGTTTGCATATGGCATGCTTTCAGCTGTTCCTGCCTTTTCATGACCTAATAGAACTACAAGCTTATAGTGCAAACCCAGTCGGTATGGTTAGTTCAATGTGGTGTGTGTATTAGCACAATCAGGAAGTTGTGTTAACTAAGCAGAGTATGTGGTGAAATATGTGTAAGTGTATTGTGTGAATTCAGCCAGTAACAACTCTTGTAATTTATTTATATTTCCATAATTTCATAGAATAAGGTGGATTTGAAATCTGTGAAGTGAAAGATTACAGTTTCTCAAATATGGTTATCTACATTCCTTTAGTTTAAAAGTAGTTCCATCACGCCAGTAAATCTATTTAGGAAGAAAACTGTGATTTAGACATAATTAAAGCCGATTTACAAGTTTAAAACCCATAATAATTTCAATATAACAAGGATATGTTTAATATCCAAGCTATATGTATCACATTATTTTATTTTTGAAGGCCATACAGTATATTTCTGAGTCAGTGACATCTGCCTGACCTTTTCCTTGGCTTGCAGAGAATAAGGAATCTCCCTCTGAAAAGACAATAGTAGATTTGCTGTGGGAAAGTATTGGAGACAAATCTGCCTTGGAAGGAAATTAAAACATTCAGCCAAATCCTCTGCAAATGTCTTTCATACTTTTACTGAAGAATTTTGACATGGTCTTTGTTATGCTCTTAACAAAGAGAGAGATAATCTAAAAAGGAGTGCCCACCATTTATATTTTCTACTGATATTAAGAAACTAGATTTGATGATGCACCTCTTGGCACCTCAGTTGATTGCTCATTCCAAAATTATACACAAAAAAGTTTATGAATAGCCTACATAAACCAGATATAAACTTGAATAGACATAATCTGAAGCTAGCGATTGTAAAGAGCAAAGCACAAATTGGAGATAAAGAAGATTAAAAACTAGAATAAGCAAGACCAAGCAGGCAGCTAATTAGCCAGCATGATTTCCAAGGCTAAATCGATCTTAACTGTAGGATTTTATCAGATGAGTTGGAAAAGTTGTCTCTTCCTCTTTTGCTCCTGATTAAGGCACAAACATGGCCCATAATGTTTTTTTCTGTCATGTTAGTTTTTCACTGCCAGCCTCCTTCCCACCTCCAGTCTCTGACAGGCATCCTTACCTCTTTCAGGTCTAAATTTTATATTTTGTTTTTTGTTCTGATATAATTTTAACGGCTAAAGTTTGTTACCCTTCACTGACCATTTGGTTGCTAGTGTGGTCAGGATTTAGGATTTCATCAGTTGTTGTTGTTGTTGTTGTTGTTGTTGTTATTGCCACTTTAGATTGCTGTAGTTATGCTCCTTTCTGGCTGGTCGCTGGGTTTGGTCCTCTGTGTCCAATTTGGCTTGGACTTCAGAAACATCTGCTTGATAATGCCTGATTGGTGCTTTGCATAGGACTTTTCGGGTCTTGTATGGATTCCTCAGACAGTAAACAGAGAACAAATCCTTGTTGCACAGAAGAGTTAGAACTCATTGGCCTAAGCTACTGTCTATACTCACTCCACCCATTTAGGGAGAGTGATTGATGGCCCACAGATAACACCTGGAGGAAGGAGAATCCATCAGTCCCTTGCCTTAACCTGGTACACAATAAATAAGGATAATCCAATCTGGTGACATTGTTTTATGGTAGAATGGGGATCTGAATGGGGCCAGTCAACATTGTGCTGACATATTGTTTTGCTGACTAAACAACTGCTGGAGAGCATATCAACTCAGCAGTGAAGAAGAGTCCTGTGAGTTCTGATTGGAATAGTTCCTGGAAAATATTTTAGTTAGCCTAGGATATAATTGATCACCCACACAGCATATACTTGTTCCAGTAGATTCTTTCTTTATCCCCTCCCATTACTTGGATATTTTGTCCATACTGTACAGTATCAGCACTTTAATTTTTTTCTCCTTTGCTGTGCATTTTGGAGCCCCCTAGTTAAGTATTCCAAATTGTTGACATTAAAAAACATCTAACCTTTTTCTCTGTTGTAACACATCAGACTTGACCTTCCCTACAAGATACGTCAGGAGGACAGATCAGACGACTATATTATAATCATAATTTCTTTGTGATTATTTTCTCATAACTGCAGGTTATAGTGCTGCTATTTTGACATCGTAGTGACTTGGCTTCGTAACCATTTCCTTATCAAATGCCATCATAATTTAGAATTAGTTAAATGTTCATTATATTCTTGAAAAATCTGACTTGTCATGAACGCTGAGACTTTCTTCTTTTAATCTAATCTTGTTAAATTTGTTGAGGAAAAAATATAAGTGAGGGAAACAATCTGTTCTTCGCTGTGGAATGTGGGAAAGAGCTGAAGAACATGCTTTGTATGGGGAAAAAAATTCCATGTTTGATCCAGAATCTTAAAAACATGCCTCTTATTTGACCGTTTGCCAGTAATGACGGTTACGAGGCAGAAGCATTAAAAATGCAGTACTACTTTCTATAAGACAGCTTACTTTCAGTTTCAGTGCACTATAACATTTGATTAAAATGGGAAAAACATTAGCTGGTTCACTAAGCAGTGTTTTTATTAATTATGGTTTATTGACTAAATTACAGTTGGCCAGTATCACGCAGTAAGTTAAGCCATGAAAACTGGTTGAGAAACCAAAATGGACAGTGTATGGAGATTCTCAATCATCTAGATTATGCTTTTCCTAAAAGTGCTTTCCCAAAAGGCAACTGGACTTTCTTGTTTTTTTTTTCTTTGAAAACATTTTGCTTCTCATCCAAGAAGGTTCTTTGAACAAGTTACTTTAAATGATGTGAACTTGGCCGTTACGAAGAACATATAAGGAATTCAAAAACAAAAACTTGGCAGCATCTGAGATGTAATCTTTTTGTCTATGCATATGTCAAAGTTAATTTATTAACTTTATGTATAACAATTATGAAACAGGTTGGTCAAAGTAGCAATTCTTAGATTTTTCCTTAATAAGTCACTCAGATAGAATTTTATGTGACTATGTGTTTTATATTTTTCAAACTATATATGGGACATTAGAATTCTGATAATAGTGCCTTGACTAAATACGGATAGACAGAAATAGTTTTACATTCCACTGAAATGTATTAAAAGTCAAGGCATTTTAAGAGTTAGCTTTTTTTAATAAACTATGTCATTTTAATTTTAACGCAAGGCACAGAGAATTTAGAACAAGCCATTATTTGAATGTATAGGGTTTGTGGGCTCAAACATTCTAGACACTCTGGTCAAGTACGTTTTAAACAATTTCACCCATGTGTCCCCGTTTCTTCAGCTCATTTTTATTTTCATTAAAAGGGAAAAAAACATAGCCTTTTGAGAAATACTCTTCTATGGTTTGCGAAAAGGAGTTGCATGATTAAGAACTCCTTCGCACACACAAAAAAACCCCTCACAGCTAGACTGTAAATGTCTGTTCACCAGTATGTTTCAAATCTATACATTTTTGTTATTGTTTTAAGAATTTTTCAAAACTTGAAACATCTAAGAACAGATTGTGCTTCATGATATTCTACAGAATTGTCCAACCCAAATGTACACTCTTCTCAGGTTTTTCAACAGATGGCTAGTCTGTCTACAGAGATCCTGTTCGAAGCCCATAAACCAGCAAGACATTTTTTAAAAATTGAGAATACCATCCAGATCATACAGTACATAAAGTAAGGCATAGTTATTTTAATAGCCAAAGGGATCCATGCGAAGAAAATTGGAACATGCTCATGGCTCCCACTTAAATGCTTCTAATACTTGGAAGTACAAAACATTTGAGTAGTCACATTCTCAAGGGATAAAGTCTTGCAGGGTTTTTTTTAGAATAAAACAACTGATTATATAGCAGTTGTAAAGTTGATAGTACAGTATGATAGAACAGTTAATTAACTTCTACTGCATGTTAAGCCTTCAAGGTTTGGCCAATTTGTTTCCTGCATCTATTAGTATAAGGATAGGAAATTGTGTTTTGCATGCAATGCTGTATTCTTAGAAGCTCTAGTGGGAATAGAAATGATCAGCAATCTGATTGTGGAATTGTCTCCATTCAGTTTTAAATTATGTTTTCCCTTTGTGTCTTCAGTCAGTGCCTCCACTCTTATCTCGGTTTGCCAACTGGTGAGGCATTCAACTCAGTTTGAAAATTCTCATTCTATATATTAATACAT